CTCCTGAGAGCCGGTGTGATTGTTTGCTGTGGAAATGGGAAGTGTACCGCTCAGGCTGGAAAAAGAGTCTTTGACGGAGCCCCTGGAGACAGGCTGCTTTACTGTCGCCATGACAACAGAGGGAGAATGTTAGATTGTAGAGGACGTGGGGCTGGAGGAGTTATTTGAAAATGTTTGATATGCCGTACGTGGAGTGGCGCTGCCCATTAGCCCTGCGTGAGTCCAGACTAAATAGTTTTCAGGCTGTCAGCAGGCAAGTGTGTTTTTTGGGGGCAGTGATTTGGTTTCCCACTGCGCCGACATCGATCACTGAGTGGCCAGAAGGTGGAGTAAACTTTGATTACTATGCACAAGTTGTAATGTCTGAGGAAAACAAGAAAGAAAAGGGCAAAGAAGAAAACATAATTTGTTGAGGCACTCGATGTTCCAGTTGTTCCAAAGTATTAAAAACATTCAGAAAACACAAAATGTTTGGCTGTGAAGGAAAATCTCAAAGAAACAGTGAAATAATCTGAATTTACTTTGTTGACGTTGTTGATAGATAGGAAGTTCCTTTTGCAAAATTTAAGAAGGAACAACACAGTAAACACAATGTTCTATCAAGATCATTAAACTATAAAAAGGTCAAAGGTCATTGTTGTTGAAACATGACAGATGGCGGCTTTGACTGGAGTAAATCAATTAAAACATTAATGATTAAAGATGAAAGAATAAAGATCATTTCTAGGTTTTTCCCTTACCTTATATCCTCGGCTAACTTTTAGCTTATTTTTGGAAGACATTATGACTGATAAATCAACCTTTTATCAAAAGTTGACCTATTTCCTGTCTCTTACGTCCTGACCTCTCCTTTGACCCTGTGGACAGTATATGGAGACCATCTCCTCTCGGCAGATGGACATGCAGAAGTTCATCGCAGACGGCTGCAGAGAGGCCCTGCTGGAGGAAAAGAGACGCTTCTGTTTCCTGGCTGACAAACACTGCATGTTCTCCTATCATATTATCAACTTCTACGACAAAGTAAGTGTGAAGACGAAGATAACTGTCCTGCTGTCAGGCGGACCCCTGCAGTACTGTACATGTTGGCTTTTTAACACCTGCTCTCTCTGTCTCTCTCTCTGTCTCTCTTTCTGTCTCTCTCTCCCTTGCTCTTTCTCTCTCGTTCTCTTCTGTTTCCAGGCCAAAGAGATGCTAACTGTGAAGATGCCAAACTGGCAGGAAAAGTGCAGCGACATCACCAAAGTGCCAGACACGGTGGCAACAATGATTGAAGGTCTTTCTACCACTCCAGAAAAATCGCCGGCAGTCGAGCAGCGCTACAGCGTGAGTTCTTCAAATGTTTCATTGGTGTATTTGGTGAAATAGGATGCAGTATTTGAAACATACTTGCCAACAGCAGGACAACATAGAACTCTTGTTCTATGTGTAGCACAGTGATTAAGGTCATTAATACATTTACTGCAATCATTAAAAGCCAATGCAGCTGTCAGAGTTGTGCTGTGTTCTGAACTGAAGTGGTTTCATCTCTGTGACCACTTTACATGACATCATAAACACCCTAAAGTGTCGCCACCTGTTGGACGGCCCTCGTCAAGAAACAGAAATCTTTGTGTGAACACTAGTAGTCCGTAGTCCATGGGTTGAAAAACCCAGAAGCTTTAAGTGCTAAACTCATCAGCTACCTCTGCTGAAGTTGGCTTTATCATGATGCTGTCGGCCAATGTGGGCTCTGTCTCTCTGTGTGTACATGACTGTTGTTGTAAATGCAGCTCTTCCCAGGGCTGTACAAGTGAAAACATGAATATAAAATGTTACCTACCGTCAGGAGAACGGACCCTGAGTAGATCAGAGCCTGGAGAGTTTATCTGTGGGAGCTATCTCCTATTTCCTGTTTTTATGAGGTCACATTATGAGGTCACGGCTGCCGTTGCTGCACAGATAGAGATAATAAAAGATGCCTTAATTACAGTAATGACAGTTTAATTCAAGGCCTCAGTAAAGGATGTGTCCTTTGAACAAAATGTTTGCTGTGAATGGAGGATTGTGAACTGATGATGTCACTCTGGTCTCTCTTGATCCAGAACTCCATGCACTCAGTGGTTCCTCCTCCGGCTCCTGCAGTGAAGGCTCAGTTCAGTCCGTTAGCCAACATGTTCGACCCTGAGCCCAGGTCTCCACTCACCTCCTCTTCAGACCACAACTCAGGTACTGATGGCTGCACTGAAAAGACTCAGACTCTCACATTCAGTTACTGTTGTTTTTATGAAAAGACAGCCACTGCTACAATAATAACAACTGAACACACTGAAAAGAAACATCTAAAGCCTAACATATAGTGTTGGTTATGTAAAAAACAACTCACCTTGAATGAAGCATGGCTCCAAACTGCCACTCGTTTAAACATAATCTAAAAAACATTTCTGTCCTGATGAGTGCAAAGGTTCTTGAACGGACAGTTGGGGTGCCGTTGAGTCCTTTTCCCTCACCTGTGCCAGAACGTGTTCTGACATGTGAGATCTTTCCAATATTTCTGATTCCTGCCTGACGTTGTTATTATCAGGTCTCTTTCATAAGTGTTGTTGTGTATGAATGGTTTCCTTCTCCAGACCAGGGCAGTCTGGGCGAGGACAGTCTGACCAGGTCCACCTCACTGTCCTCTGGTCTAAACATGACCAGGAAGCACCGGGTCAGGACCATCTTCCCCCATACGGCCGGTAACAACACCACACTTCTGAGCTTCGACGACGGTGACATCATCACTCTGCTCATCTCTGAGGAGAAGGACGGCTGGCTGTACGGAGAACTGGAGAAGACGAGACAGTAGGTTTTAGTTTTTGTCATTTGTCAAACGTCAGTCAAATTTAAAATATGTCAAAAATAAACTGAATTTTAAAATGTAGCTTTATTAGCTTCAAGTTGTGCAAGGAATTTCTAAAAGTTTGGTTAACAACCAACAAATGAAGGTAAAAAATTAAATAAAATGAAGTTAAAACTCAAATTAGTCAAAAATATTTTTTTTTCCTTGAACCAGAAACTGTCCCACATCTGTGTGACAGGAACTGGTCTCAGCTGGTTGAGATCACAACAAATTCAAATGTTGCTGTTTATATAATAAACAAAACAGCTGTGGCGCTTGACAGGCCAACATTTACATATATATTTACATATACAGTACGTATTCATGACAATGTGTTCTGATCTTGAACACAGCCTGTCGACCATGACCATGGTGTGACAACAACGGTGATAAGGGGTGATGTGGTAAATGAATGACTTTCACCTCCATCCACATCTACAGGCCATGGTGTGGTGCGGGGGGTCTCTCTGTTGTTTTTTTTTTTTTTTTCACAGTAACAGTGAATACAGTGAATACAGTGAATACACACACAGTCCAGTAATAGATGTTTTCACTTCACGTGCTCAGAAGCAGACCTTCCTTTTAACCTAGCTTATATAAAGAAACATGTAAATGTGCGCAAATTGCAGCGTTGTCACACCCATAAAAGGAAATGTACTTTTGTTTCTGACAAACATGCAGCACTTCTCACACATGGCGTTTTTCACATAACTCAGCCAGCAGTACTAGTTCCAGCTTTGTCTTTCCTAACATTTTTGCTGCGCTAATAGAGCGAAGCTAAAGGCTGGGACAATGACAGGAATGTCGACGATGACGATCGTAAATCTTTAACTCTCTCTGCAACTCGCTGCTGCCTGGAAAGACTGTTCATGACTGTAGGAGTGAAATACAGGTGCGAGCCTGGACTCAAACCCACAACCCTCCAGGTGTAAGACACCCACACCACTGGCTGGTGCTCAACAGATGGTCCAAAAGTGTCTCAGCATTTAACATCACACAAATCAAAATAAAAATATGCCATGAAAGGTCAATGAAAGGTCAGATTTTTAAGGCTGGTTATTATATACAGTATCTAAGTATTTTTGACATAGTGTTGTGTTTGCACCCTCCCCTTTCTACAGACGCGGCTGGTTTCCCTCATCATATTGCAGACCTTACACTGGACCAGTGATATCAAACAGGTAAGACAGACATGTTCAAATTCTGGCTCGTGGGCCTGTCGTGGTATTTGGACAGGTTTTATTGCGTGCCTTTAGTGTTTGAAATGACAGCCCGTCATCAGGATGAAACCGAGGCTAATAAATCAGAGCAGTGGAGCAGTTGCAGGTCTTCTCCTGCAGTGGGCAGCAGTGGTGGAGTGGTTCTGGGTGTTGGCACGTTTTAACTGAAGTCTTTTTATGACGTACAGCAACAGCCTGGTGGGAACTCCGGTGCGGAGTCTGAGTGTGGCCAGTCTGCCTGAGCAGCATGAGGACGAGTTTGAGGATGAGGAGGAAGACGGACCAGTGCTGATCCCTCCACCAGACTACAGCGACGACGGCCCCTCCAATCCAGTTTCAGTCTCCTCCACGCCGTCCCCAAAGAACACGGTCAGTATCAGAGCGCTAACGCTAACTCTGCAGCTTCTGTTTCTGGATTAAAATGTTGGGGTGGGAGATGAAGATAATCATTAAGATAATTTTCCACTCAGAGATGGTGACACACGCGGTCAGTGAACATGCCTTACAGCAAGAAGGTCACCAGTTTGATAGCTGGGGTTTTGGGATTTTTCTAAGTTTCCCTCCACAGTCAAAACCATGCAGTTGACCATGTGTACCTAATCAAGTGGCCACCAAGTTTGTGCCCAAATACTGTTTAACAGATGTAAACACTTTTTTTTTGTTGCTACTGTACAGTAAAAACATCTCGCTCACTAGTTTCTCTTTCTAATTGCCTTTGTTGACGTGCCTTTAAGCCAGGCACCCCGTCCCTGGTTGCCAAATTAGGGAGTGTGCTTGTGTTGGGCGTCTGCCATGTTTGAGTTTCTATTACAGCTGACGTCACATGTTCCAAAAAGCTCTTCCATTTCCCCACAGGATTTCTTTATTAGCTAACCAAAGTGAGTGTCGGTTCCACGCCCAGGCCACTGAAAACCATAACACACGTCTTCACTTTTCACCATCTGACAAATCAAGTCTTATCAACATCGACTCAAGGCACAGTCATTCCCTCCACTCCCTCAAACACACCCCGGTTCCTCTACCTTTATTTATCCAGACGTGGAGAGTTTTATGAACCACAAATAGGTTTTTGTTTGAACTGTGCAGACGACGCAGGCTTCAGAAGTCTGCGGAAACACCCAGGGAAAATATGAGATTAGAGGAGGAGAGAGGGAGTAACAGAGGGAGGCAGAAAGGACAAGAGGGTACAGACCCAATTTCATTTGGTGCCTTCACTGTGTCAGCTGATTGAAAATGAACTAGTGTGTGTCCTGGCAGCAGGCGTATCCTGCAGACTCCCTTCTTTCTCCGCTTCGTCCGTACTCGCTGTCCTCACCGTCCTAGGTGTCTGCTGCCTCAGGGTTTTACCAAAAGATTAACTCCTTTCGCTGATCCGTTCTAAATATTGTCAGAATGTAACACCTACTTTTTGTGAACAGATTGGATGCGTTGTAATATTACCACTCAGACACTGTTGTCTGTCTGGACAGCTTTTAGCAGGTACATGAAGGACGGTAAAGTAAACAGTAACAGGTGTGTGTGTATGGAAAAGTCAGGAGTGTCAAAAAACGTGAGTTTGGAGCAGTAAATGAAAATGTAGAGGTGCACTCAGGCTGACACATGGGTTCAGGTGGCTACAAAAATTAAGCAATGCCACAAACTAGCAGATTGTTTTACTTCAATAATCATGTGACGGATGTGGATTGTGGCACAGTGAAAAATAACTTGAAATTCAAAGGAATTTGCCTTACTGTGCCCCTGCAAAGGTACAGTGTCCCTGAGGAAGGAGCTGCCCCCCACTTTTATAATCAGTGGAATAGGCTGAGATGATCAGCTGTGGCCACCATCAGCAGGTCGACTAAAAAAATGAAGAAGAAAACAGTCTATTAAAGCAAAAAGTCCAGAAACTAGAAAGATAAGAAACGTCTGTGTGTTGACTGCTCTCTGCTGGAGCTGTCAGGTACTGCATGTGTTTGTGCTAAATGATTATTGCAGTAGAGTCAACCAGGTTTACTAGAAATGTTAAAGATAAAATCTGAGTTTACATGTGCGGTCGGACCCAGTCCATACAGGCTGGAACCAACAAAAGGAGAAGACTCCAAACACACACGGCGTTGACTTTGATAAGTTTCACACTGACACATTTATCTTCAGCATTTCCACTGTTTCTGTCTGCGTTGTCATCCTCATGCTCACTTAACTGTGTGGAGTGGATAAGAGAGAGAGAGAGAGACAGAGAGACAGAGTGAGGAGGCGCTCACTGGCCTTTCTAGATTGTTCAGATTCCAGACTGAGCTGAGATGTGAAGTGTCAAAACTCCAGCAGTCTGATTAGAAAGAGGAGACGTGGGGTTGATGAAATCTAATCAGACCAGTTGGACTGCAGTCACTACAACTGAAGGAAATATCAGAGGGAAGTCACAGGCTTTTGTTGTGACTATGGCGTGTGTGTGTGTGTGTTTAACTTTTTCTCCTCCATGTGATCTCTGGGGGTCCTTGATTTCTCTTTTCTCTGTTTTAACAACAGGTTTCCTTAGTCAATGGCTCTGCAAAGGCTCCTTTTCTGGGGTGAGTTGAGCTAACGTGTGCTAACACATACTCCCAGTTCATGTATCAGCCGCATGTGACTGATGAGCTAATGATTGGCTGTTTTTCTTGCAGGGGAGGTAATCCGTTTGCCACAGTGAAGCTGAGACCAACTGTCACCAATGACAGGTCGGCGCCAATCATCTAAAGCCGGAGCAGGTTGGCATTTTCACCGCCGTCATGCCTTCTGCGGGAGTCACACCGCGACACAACATACTGTATAGGAACCCAGACCCAACATCTGAACAGCCCGCCTGCCTAGACTCACTAGTTCCAGTCTGCTTTATCAGAGAAAATGTTGATAAAAACTGTCTTTGTGTCTTTTACTGTGTCACTGTGTTGTTTTCATTACCAACAGGAAATCTCCAAGTAGACACTGGAAACACGTGCTCAGACATCGTATTATAATGTTTGACCACAAGTCTTAAAAGGAACATTTCAACCCAAAAGTAAAAATGTGCACTGTCATTGTCATTGTGTGTTAAATACAGTTTGACTTAAATGACAGGTGCTTGGGGGTTGTCTTGTCTTTGCCATGTGAACTCTTTGGAAGAGACACAGGTCAAAGTTGGATCTTTACTTTGGGTTGAATTCTTTCTTTTAGAAAATATCTCATGAGATGTTTAAAGACCTGTAGCCGGAGCAGAAAAAGGAAAAACATGTGAACGATAGAGTGGCCTGAAGCTGAAGGATCAGACTCAGACCGTCTTCCTGACTTGCCAAAAGGTATTCATCCCCAGGACTTTTTAGTCCTCTCTTAGAATTGTATTTGTTGTTGTCCTTCTTAGGAGGCATTGTGAGAATGAAGGGAGACTGTTGCTGTAGGAGAGGGTTGTCCAAGCTCAACAGATTGTCAGTTTACATTTTAACATATGAGAGATATTTATATACTTTAAGTTTGTATCAGATATTTAAATTAAATGTGTAAACAGGAGTTCAGTGACTGGGGTTTCTCTCTAATCCCTGATTTTGCTGGCTTTGATTAAACTGCTGCTTTGTTTTTAATGTGGCTTAAATAACCATTCACTTTGTTCTACCGTTCAATGTTTTCTCCTTCTGTAAACCATGTGCCATTTATGCTAAATTAAAACAAAAAGGCTCCATGTTTGTATTTCATTTGCACAAATATTGACTTACAATTGAGTCTACCATGGACTGCTTCAACAGATTCAACTGACATGGACATCTACAGACACCCCCTTGTATAAATATATACAGTATATGTAACATATGATATCATAAAAATATTGTCATATGTGTAATGTTTGATTACACAATGAAAAAAGGGGAAATGTTTGACAAACAAACAACAACAAGTGGACCAGTACTGGACTACTATACCACACTTGGGTGCACGTTGGACCTAAAAACACTATGTTGGTCAAAAACAGCTACAAGATGGCATTAAAAAGTTATAAATGCCAATTCAGAAATATAAATACTGAATTCAGATGTTGACTGACGATATTATTGGACTGATTGGTAATGACAACAGTATCAATTTGATTAGAATGAATGGAAATCAGATAGAAAGACGTCTCGACTCGTGGTCGCCTATGTATTTGTGACCCTACATTACCCTCTGCTGGACACTGCGGCCATGCACAACCCACTGCTCTCACCTAACCGGAAATATGGTGCAGGCTCACTTCCTGTTTCACACTGAGGACGAATATCAGGATGTGAGCAGCGAGAATATAGCCACAGTGTGAATAATAATCTGCTGTTCATTCAGTTATATATATATATATACATTAATTATGAATAAAATGAAAGACGTCTGACTGAATGAAAGAGCGGTGGTGACGTCACTCCGTCCTACGACTCTTCACTGCAGGTCAGTGTTTGTTTATTCTAAGCGAAACTAAGCCTTTTACTAAGCCTGCACCAAATCAAACTGGTTCTGTGTTCCCTGAGCATTTGTTGAAACATGTCTTTGCACCTTAAAGCAATCATATAATTATTTCCTTATTTTTATCTTGTCACTTGCTGTTTGTTATCGGGGAAATCGTATTTAGATGCCCATGTCGCTGTTTTTTATGCTACAGTATTCATCATTAGAATGCCAATGAAACCATAATTTTAGAAAAAGATTTTACCCTTCGACTGCTGACAATCTTAGACCAAAATACACGAAAGAAATAACAATGTTAATAAAACCCAAAACTGTGAAGTTTTTCTATGTAAATATTATTTACACTCTTGTAAAGTTCTGTTGGCTGTCTTTCACTCTGTTGGTAAAAGCAACTTAATTAAAAAAAGAAAAAATTAAACAATATAATAAAACAGTGTGAAAATGTAGGTATTATGTGCCCCTAATGAACCTGCTACTGTCTTGCATGTCTTTTCCATGTAGCTGTTTGCTGTTAGTGTGGTTCTTATACATTTGCAGACATTTGTCAAAAGTCATAATAATTCCAGTTGGTTGTTGAACCAGCCAAGTGATTCCCTTCTGACTTCAGCCTTTTTGCTTAGAGATTTACCAAATGTGGGATGTTTACACCCAGTTTACAACACTGAAACTCATAAAGAACACATGTCAATTCACCTTTATCTCCATTCAAGAGTAGTGCTGCCATGTGATTGGCCTGTTAAACATTTGCATGAACAGGCAGTTAACCTTATGACCTTCGAGAACAGCATGTTCTTGTGAATTTCTCCATTTTGTTAGTTTCTTGGGTGCATTTAGTTTGTAACGTTTACACTCGTTCATGCATGACTTTAGCTTTAGATTTATTTTGTTTTATTCTTCATTAATGAATGCAGGGGGCGTATTAATGAATGTAGAGTTAGATTCAAATTGAAATCCAAACTATTGACATATATGTGCCCTATATGTACATGAGAATATTTACTACGGATGGCATGAATACAATAAAATGATCAATTCATATTTCGATTGAAATAAAAGGTCACCAAGGTTCTGGACCTTTCTTTAGGATCTCAGTTATGTGTTCAAACCTGTTGCAGGTGCAGCCATGCCCTCCTCTCTGTTGTGGGCTGTGGACGTACATGGGCGGGTCTACAGCCTGTCCACGGTGGGCCAGCAGTGGGAGCTGTGCCGTGATGCCCACTTGGAGTTTAAGAGAGTGACAGCGGCCCAGCAGTGCTGCTGGGGCATCGGTTGTGACAACAGCATCTACCTGAACGTCCACGCCTCAGACGTGCCCGTTCGTTATAAGGAGGAGAGCTACGAGAACCAGGTCAGTCTCTGTTAGCATTGTTAGCACGGGGTTTATTCAGAAGAAAATACTTACTAGAATAAATAATACATTTTGGACATTGTCTCCACTACGTTAAATGTTTCAAGACATTTTGAACGTTTTAAGGGTAAACAAGGTAAAAAATTAAATTTAAATTTAAAGAAAAGTTTCCTGATTTTATGTTGAAGATATTATGGAAGAAAACTTTGTGAAGTCTTGGTTTTTGTCGTCTTTTAAATCCTGAGTAAAAGTGAAATTGTGGAGTTCCCTTTTGGACTGGTGTGACTCTGGAAGGGAAAAAGTGAGTATAACATCCTCCTGCAGCAGCTCTTCTACTTCCTCTGTTTGACCTGAGGTGATTGTGCTGCAGGAGCAGAACTTTAACCAAGTGACTGTGACATTGAAAGACTTCAGTATTGAACTAGCGACTAGTCGTTTTATTCTTTCACTGTCTCTTCTCTGTTGCAGCGCTGGAATCCTGTTGACGGTTTCTCGGAGCGTTTGCTTCCGAGCGACCGTTGGCAGTGGAGCGATGTCACAGGTCTGCAGCATCAGCCTCTGGATGGTTTCCAGCTTCCCTCCAGCAGCTGGGAGTGGGAGGGAGACTGGTACGTGGACGAGAACTTTGAGGGAGAACCTACAGAGAAAGGGGTTAGTGATGCTTCTCTAACCACCCCCACTTAAAATGATTGCAAGGTGCTGGAGAAGATAAACAAATGAATGAATGAATGACTGAAGGTTTTGCTCCTGCAGGGATGGACCTACGCCGTGGACTTCCCAGCCACCTACACCAAAGACAAGAAGTGGAACTCCTGTGTACGTCGAAGGCGCTGGCTGAGATACAGGAGATACCAGGCCATGGACTCCTGGGCCAAAGTCAGTCTGGTACCTTCTACTGTGTGTAAGTGTGTTAATGTAAATAAAGGTTTCTTCAGCTGTCCTCCTCCTCCCTGCCCACAGATCCCCTCCCAGCAGACCACTCTACCTGATCCGTTCAGCGACATCAGCTGTGGAGGCTGGGAGGTCAGCGAGGAGCCCAGAGGTCGTCTGTCTCTGTGGGCTGTGTCTCTGCAGGGGAAGGTAGCTCAGTTTATATTTGTACAGTTTATTGTGGTTTTTATTCAAATGTATAAGATGTGATGGTAAAATGAAAAAAATCCAACCAGTTGGAGACACAGAAACCAGTCTGAACTGGTTTTAATGGTGGCATCTGTTTTGGATCTAGGTCTGGTACAGAGAAGGAATCCAGCACCACAGTCCTGAAGGCTCGGTGTGGGAGGAGGTTCCTCTGCCTGGTGAAGTGGTCCAGATCAGCTGTGGGCCCGGGGACCTGCTGTGGGCCGTGCTGTGGGAGGGGCAGCTGATCGTCAGGGAGGGGATTGGTCGAGACTGTCCTAAAGGTGAACAGCCACAGCAGCAGTGGATGAAGGAGGATTTATATATAATGTTATTTATTGGTAACATATTCTATGTTGTTCTCAGGAACGTCGTGGACTGTGGTGGATTCTCCAAGTCCTGATGTCGGGGCCATACACGTGAGTGTGGGAGTTAATGTGGTCTGGGCCGTGACCAAAGACAACAAGGTGAGAAAACAGAATTATTTACTTAGCACTGTAATTTACTCAGGTTCCTGTCTGTGGTTCTCTTGTAATTTAATCTGTTGTTACTGTGTGTGTGTGTTTTATTATATATATCTCTCTCTTTCCCCCTCTCTCTCTCTCTCACTCACTCTCTCTCTGGCCCAGGTTTGGTTCAGACGTGGTGTGAACTCCCACAATCCCTGTGGTTCTGGTTGGATCAGCATGGTTGGAGAGATGATCATGGTCAATGTGGGACTCAATGATCAGGTGACTTTAGATCACATGATGTAATGACATCACACACAGCTGTAAGGAGTTCACATCTCATGTGTGTGTGTCTGTGTGTGTGTGTGTGTGTGTGTGTGTGCAGGTGTGGGGTATCAGCTGTGAGGACAGAGCTGTGTCCTTCAGACAGGGAGTGACGTCCAGTGAACTGAGTGGAAAAACCTGGAAGATCATCAGCCTTCCCAGAGATGGAGAGCGATCTCACTCCAGTGCCAGCAGTCATCAGAGTGTGAGGGAGAACACACACACACACACACACTTTCTTTGTGTTTATTCTAACAGTATTGTTTTATCTTTGTCCTATTTTTTGCCAGCGCTGGTTGTTTCTTCAGTGGTGAAGCTCGTGGTCAGTCTGTGGTCAGTGATGTGGAATCAGACACAGAGAAAGGAGCCACATCTGATAACCCAGAACCCTTTTCTGCTTCTGTGGACCAGACATTTGACCCCCCTAAATCCCGCATTCCTAAAGTCACCAGCGACAGCTTCATCTCCGAGCTGGTCTCTGATCGAGAGCCGTCAAAGAACATCAGAGATGTGACACCTGCAGTCCTGGAGGAGGAGGAGTTCACGGCTCCCTCTGCTGGTGGTGCCACTCCGTCTCCTTTAGACCCTCAGTGGAGTAACGTGGACCTGGAGGAGGCGCAGGTCCAGCAGCCTCAGCCGGGACCAGCACTGGAGTCTTCTGATACCTGCAGTCTGTCTTCAGTGGCTACGTACACACTGGCTCTGGAGGACTCCTATGTTGCAGATGAGCGCCCCCTGTGGGCATGGATGAGCGGGGGAGGCTGTAATGTGGACAGTCACTCCCAAATCAGCTGGTTTAACTGCTCCATCAACACATCCAGTGAGTTTAGAAGTCTGAAATAGATTTTTTTTTTGTGCATATCTTACCTTTAACATCAAAGAAATAAATACTCCATTTGAATTAACTCCAAATATGAACACTCACCTTATAAACTAAGATATTAAACCGCAATGTCCCTTTAATTTTGGTGTTTAATATAGCAATAACTAACCAGACATCTAGTGGTGAAGCAGTGGTATTGCAGAGTTAACTTGTCCGTTGTTTTGGAGTAATAACAAACAATAGAATTAAAATGTCTTTCTTACACCCTCCTCCACCCAGCTTTGGTACAGTCAGTCCAGTCCATGACTCTGTCTGTGACCCCGGCACAGACGGCAGCCTGGAGGAGACAAATCCTGGAGCAGCTGGGTGAGCGGTCCAAGAGGGAGATGGACAATTTTAAACACTATGAACAGGCCGTAGAACAGGTACGAACCACTCTGATCCACTCAGTTTATTTTTGGCTTTTCCTGTAAAAATAGTTTTTAAATTGAAATCCCCTCTTCCCCCCCCACACACACACAAACACATGTTGGTGCCACAAGTAAACTGTTAATTTAATTCCACACTTTGTTTCTTCATGTAAATAAACTGGTGTTCTGTCTGAAATTGGTTCCTGGTTCCTGGTTCCAGTCAGTGTGGGTAAAGAAAGGGTCCATGCAGTGGTGGAGAGACTGGAAACCAAACAAATGGGTGGACGTTCAGTTTGCTTTGGAGCAGTTCTCAGGACCAGAGGGTCACAAGGACGGAATCCTCTTTGTTTATTACAACTTCTACGAGGAGAAGAAGGTGAAAAACTTCCAGAAAGATTGGTGTAGAGAACGGGTTCTTCTGGTTGACTGACTGTGTCCTGGCCTTCTTCCTTTTTTCCAGTACCTTCATGCCTTCATCAACGAAATCACCATCCTGGTTCCTGTGCTGAACGAAGCCAAACACACGTTTGCCATCTACACTCCTCAGAGAACTCAGCAGAGGTGGCCAATCAGATTAGCAGCAGCCACGGAGCTGGAAATGCACGACTGGGTGAGGAGAACAGCCACCTTGCACAAGATGAGGAACAAGGTCGACTTTCAACAGGAACGAAAGTTTTAGACATTTTTTAATCAAAAACATTTAGGTTCTTTTCTGCTGCTTCATTACTGTTTCAGCTGCATAATCTATAATCTGCTGCTTAAATCCTGTATCTTGGCAGAAGTGGTGCTGTAGCAGCTGTCCCCAGTTGTCCTCAATGTAGACTGTGCCCTCTTGTGGGCATAGATGATATGGCGTATATTTTTATGAAATTAGTTGCTTCAGAATATATGGCAGGACCTGCCAAACTAAGGACATGTGACTTAGTCCGGATAATACGGCACCTGTTTCCCTTCTCTTTCTATCTTCCCCTAATTCTCTCTCCTTGCCTCCCTTTCTCCCCACCCTCCTCCAGCTGGCCTTGCTCAGTGTGTCCTGCTGCGACTCCAGGGGAATCCAGGGACCTCCCTCCAAACAGGCCATCTGGTCCATCACCTGTAAAGGAGACATCTTTGTCAGTGAACCCTCTCCTGCTCTGGAGGCCACACCTTACCCGACACCATGTGACCAGATGTAAGAAAATATGACCCCTAAGTCTTTGGATGACTGTGTGTTTGTAATACTTAACCTGTCGTTCAGGTACTGGCGACAGGTTGGAGGTCACCTCCGACTGGTGGAGTGTAACAACACCGGAGTCGTGTGGGGAATCGGCTACGACCACACAGCCTGGGTCTACACCGGAGGCTATGGAGGAGGTTTCTTCCAGGGTCTGTCCAGCAGCACCGACAACATTTACACCCAGACTGACGTCAAGAACGTCTATATCTACGAGAACCAGAGGTGGAACCCAGTCACTGGATACACCAGCAGGTAAAACAAGCGCACCCGAGTCATCTGTAGGTTTACAGTATGTACAGTGTTATTCTCAGGATAACTCAAACTTTGGTAGAAGGTGGTTTGTGAGGGAATCTGATTCCCATTTGTAATCTGTGAATTTTATAGTTTTGTACTTTGTCCTTGTCAGATAAATAGACTTACTACAATAAAATGAAGCTGAACAGTGTAATACCTATTAATGAGATCAGCCAGTTCTTACTACATTTGAAGATGTTTTTTTTCTAGCAAACAGAGGAACTATACATTTTACCTTTGCCCCCTAAAGTCCTCTCCACAGTCGGTCAAACAGATTCGTCCTCCCCTCCTCCAGGGTCAGGTGTAACCTTAGCATCTTTGTTTCTGTGTGTGTGTGTGTGTGTGTGTGTGTGTGTGTGTTTCAGAGGTTTGCCTACAGATCGCTACATGTGGAGCGACGCTTCAGGTTTACACGAGCGGACAAAGACCAGCACCAAACCGCCCTCTCCCCAGTGGACATGGGTAAAGAGCAGCAAACAGCCTGCAGGGGTTCAGAACCAAACCACTAAGACTCTGGTCTAGTCCAGTCTAATAATAAATGAATAAATAAAATGAACACAATAAAATACAGTAAAGACTTCCTGTTACGTGTTGTTCTCAGGTGTCTGACTGGGCCGTGGACTACGGTGTCTCTGAAGGGACAGACAGAGAGGGTTGGCAGTACGCAGCTGACTTTCCAGCGTAGGTTTGATGAACCTGAGAAATGAAAAACATTTCTCAGGTCCAGCAGCTGTGTGTGTGTGTGTGTGTGTAGCAGTCAGTCTCACTGCTCTGATCTTCTGTTTTTCTTCTGTTCAGGTCGTATCATGGCTATAAAACCATGAAGGACTTTGTCCGTCGCCGACGTTGGGTCAGGTACTAAATAAACACACACTGTTCACTGTGGGTGTGGGAAATAAATTTTCGTTTGTTTGATGTGGTTGGTTGAATGAAAGAATTTCAAAGGCTGAAAGAATAATGTTTTTCCCATGAATCCACTGGATGTTCAGACAAACATCAAATGTTTTAAACCTTGGTCAGAATGTATCAAATATACAGTATCTTTTATTGTTACTCTCGTAAAGGAAGTGTAAGCTGACCACCACAGGACCATGGCAGGAAGTCCCGCCCATTGCTTTGAGTGATGTGACAATCTTGTCATGTTCCGCCGAAGGCAGTGTGGACGTGGTTCCTCTGTGGGCCATCAGTAACAAGGGTGACGTACTGTGTCGACTGGGCGTCACTGCACTGACTCCTGCTGTGAGTCTTCTACCACATGGACACATTATATACTCACTATTTAACACCGTAGACTAGAACAAGGTTGATGTTCTAATGTCCTCCCTCTGGTCACTCAGGGAACCTCCTGGCTCCACGTAGGAACTGACCAGGCTTTCAAGTCCATCTCCATCGGTTCTACCAGTCAAGTGTGGGCCATCGCCAAGGATGGTTCTGCCTTTTACAGAGGTTCTGTATCGGCCCAAAGACCTGCAGGTCAGTATGACGGAGACGACACTTTTTTTTTTTTTTTTACTGCTGCACTGCCTCTCAGATGTGTATCTCTCTCTACAGGAGACTGTTGGTACCACATCCCATCTCCAGCCAAACAGAAGCTGAAGCAGGTTTCCGTTGGATTGACCTCAGTCTACGCTGTAGATGAGAACGGTGGGGCCGACTGATTTAAAACTGATTTGAAATATCAATGAGAGCTGTATATTTTTGAGGAGGATGTCACAGAGGGATTCTTTCTCCCTGTAGAAAACCTGTGGTACAGACAGAGAGTGACTCCTAGCTACCCCCAGGGCTCCTCCTGGGAGCACATCTCCAATAATGTCCGGAAGGTTTCAGTGGGACCTCTGGACCAGGTCAGTGGAACATCACTGCCAAGGTTTAGTGCAGATTTGTTTATATAGATGGTGGAATAATGTTTGTTGGTTGAAGGTGTGGATCATAGCAGACAAGGTTCAGGGCAGCCAAGGTCTGAGCCGTGGGACAGTGTGTCATCGACTCGGTGTCCAGACAGTGACACCTAAAGGACAGTCATGGGACTACGGCATCGGGGTAAGACATTAGAGACTGACATGTACATAAATGTGTAGTTTTTGTTTTTGTGAAGTATAATTCACAGATATAATTGATTTATGAAAGTTAATTGATACAAATTCCACCCCTACACTCACCCACACCCCTCCACCCCTGACCCCCTCTGTCTTAAAGGGAGGCTGGGATCACATCACAGTGAGAGGAAACTCCATGGAGCCAACTCGACTTCCTTCCCTAACAAGCACTCCTATCCCTGCTCTTTGGAGCCCCCTGCTGGACATAAACGCAGAGGCCAACAGCAGTGCCACGTGACGTTGAACTTCACACACAAAGATATTGTCTATAGAACCACTATAACAAAATAAGGTCACAGTAGCAGCAGTGACGTCATTAATACATTTTTAGGTCAGAAAACCTGGGACATTTCTGTGAACATCATTCCATGACATTTCCTTCGTCTCAGACTCTGATCACTGCTGTTTTCTAGAGGTATTTTTCTTCATTTGTTTACATTTGTCAGAACTCTGGTTGCTTAAAACTGCGACACTCATTCACTTTGGCAGACTGCCTTGTAGTCATTGTAAATGACTACAAGGACCAGCACTGTAGCCCCCCCTGGTACAAAAACTGCCATGGTGTCATATCTGTCACAACACAGAAAGAGCCAGTGATGTCATACGACCGATCATTGTCCACTTTTACATCTAGGTGTAGCTGGAACCTGAGCTCCAGAAACTGCAGCCAACACTTGGGTTCAATGGGATCTAACCCAATATTTGCAGAAGTCAAACTTGAATATATTTAAATTGTTTAGGTGAGGAAACCACTGTGTGTCATGGCAGCTTGAAGAAAGAAAGGTTTTCTGTTAGGCTCTGCGGTAGTCCTGTCTTCAGTCTCGTGGCTGCTCCATCAGCAGACCTCTATCTGCTACAGTCGCTTCCTGTACCTGTCGTGCTGCTGCTTGGCTCATTTGGTTTGCTTTTTTCCTTTTTTTAGAGAACTTAATATACCTTTAGATGATAATATTGTTGCTTTAATGGTATAGGTGCAATCTTATTGGTGTAAATGAGGCCTGCAGTGTTTGTGTGGTGGAGGTTTATGGTTCAAACGTCCTCCTGAAAACCCAAACTAAACCTTCCTCTTTCTCAGGAGTTTCCATCATGGTGTTGTTGTCCAGTGTTTGTCGTCCAATAACTGAGCAGTGTGAAAAAGAAAAACAAGAATAAACACTGGCTCTGTGGTGAATCTGAGACACTAGTGTTGTACAGTGGTTCCTGCTGTGGCGCCGTCCAGCACTGGACGACATCGTTTTATGTTTTCATGTAGAAACAAGTGTAAACACAGACAAACTGACAAATCATGCAAACAATAAAGTACAAATGTCGTCAATGTGGTGCATGGTCAGAAAGACACTTTTTATCAATAAATAAATGGCTTTATTAGGCTCTTTAAACCATTTCTCCTCTCTCACTGCTTCTTCACTGAAAACGTTTTCTTTTTGGAGACGCACACAGCAAAAAAAGTCAAATAAAAGACACTTAGTAAAACAAATGTTCTGCCTTCAAGCTGCAGTTTAACCAGTAAGACCAGTAAAGTGGTACTTCATCATCATGAGCAAATGAACAAATTTGCTTTTACGGCTTTAGCTTCTCAATATTTGGGTAGAGAAGAGCAGCTTGGCCTTCTTTCCCCTGCTGCCTGGTGAGACAGTTGTGGCTGGGGGCTATGCTCAGCAGCTTTCACAACAGAACACACAAGATCACATGATAAGTCATAAAGGAGAACAAGACTCGGCCTCAGCTCAAACCACAGATGAGAACAAAGATTTTTAAAGATAGACAAAACAGTAAAGGAAGAGCCCTTGTTTTTGGAGTACAACAAGTGATAGAAGGAAAAATGATGAAGAGACACCACAGCTGTGACTCGTCTGTGATGAGGCATCAGGTCATCTGAAGAATTTAAAAAAGTCAAGTTTCAATAAAAGACAGTGCTGTCTACTTCAGTATTTTGCTGTTGGTCAGGTCCACTGTGTTCTGCAGAGCATGAACAACACCACCTTTCTACCCCAGTGACTCTTATCTAGAAGCCTGGATACTTTCTATTTTTATTTTTTCCATTTGGACAAATATGAACTCTGTGTTTTTTTACTATTGTAGTGTTTTTCCCCTTGGGTATTCATGCCTCTGTGCCTGTCACTACTGACACATTTGGCACGTCTTCAGTAGAACACCTCCAGATGTGCCGAAAATGACAGTTGTTGACACAAATGGAATGTCTTCACTGCAAATGTTCTCTTTTAGGACAGCCCCCCTAGCTGTATCCTCAAAAAACCAACAACCCTAAAGTTCACTGGTTGGTGCTGCTTTAAAAAATATGTTTCATCATTGACCAGGTGACGTGTCTGCTCCAAACCTTCTTACTCTTTAACTCGTTACCTGGTGGATGATGAAAGTGAGTCCAGAACTCAGTGTTCATGGTGTTTGGATCAGAACAGCCTTGTGTCCGTGGGTCATTAAACCCATGAAGAGGAAGCTGCAGACAGACCTCATCCTTTCAGAGTCAAGGTATCAGGTGTCTATGAAAGTGGAACAGGTCCTGGTTCCAACAGGAACAACTTAAAAAACCTCCAGCTTACACACCAGGTTCTTGCCTTCTAGCTTGCTCTCGTGGCCTAGGACTCTCACCTTCAGCCTCTTAGCTCCTAGCCTTCAGAAGTTAGCTTCCTTGGCTAAAACTGTGCATGTGGGTGAGGTACTGGGTGAGGTTCTCCTCCCCTTCGTCTCTCAGGTGCTGCTGATAGCACTGGAGAAGTTTGGTGGCATTGGCCTCTGATGGAACCCCTCCACCAGAGCCAGCAGCGTCACAGGCCCCTGACATGTCCAGGACGATGGTGGTCAGAGCCTTGATGTAGTTCTTGGCCAGTGTCAGAGTCTCGATCTTGGACAACTTTCTGTCCATCTTCACGTGTGGAATGGCTTCCCTTAGTGCTTGGAAGGCGTTGTTGAGTTTGTGCATCCTTTGGCGTTCCCGCTCGTTGCTCTCCAGCCGGCGGAGGCTGCGTTCTTTGGTGCTGGTACCGCGTTGCTTCCGACGACGACCTCCGCCGATGCCGCCTCCTCCCTCCTGTCGGCTCCTGCCCCCGTTCCTGAGAGAACCTCTCCAGGGGCTGGCAATCCTCAATGATTCCTCTGAGCCTTCATGCTCGCTGGAGCCCGGTTCTGGTTCTGTATCTTGCTCAAGTTCTGGTTCAGGATCAGACCAGGTTCTGCTGGACGATTTCACAGCCTTCCTTTTGGACTTCATCCTGCTGCTGCCTCCTTCAGCTCCCAGCTCTGGTGGATCTCACAGCCTGTGTAGGCCTGCAGAAGACGACAAGTGAAGAAGTCAACCTTTACATGCTGCGTACCAGGTTCATTTTCTTTTCTATTTTTTTGACAGTGGTCTTGGTGACGTCGACAGTTAGTTGTTTTTTGTTGAAAATAATGATGAACGTTAAGAAATACTAATATGGACATCTGTTAAAGTCCTGATTCAATATACAGATATGTTTTCTTTCTGTATATCAGAAAAACACCAGGTTCGGGGACTGGGGGCAGGACTGCAAGACCCCCAACAACTTGTTCTGACCTGTTTAGCCTGGGCAGAGGACTTGTTTTCTGGCCAGAGGGGGGGCAGCCCTGTCTGTGACAGCTTTCAGGGCGAGGCTAACGGCTTTATTTGAATTTATACTTTAAATGGAAATGTCCCTCGGAGACCGGGGAACAATCAGGTGGTTGGTGTTGTGCTGCAGGTCAGATTGGTTAGAGTCAACCTCCAAAAACTCATTTTCAATTTATGAAAAAAAAAAAAAAAACATTCTGGGAAGTTGAACCATTTATTGATTGGTTGCAGGATTTAGAAAACTATATTTCTATGTTGTATTTTATAAATTATTATTATTATATTTTTGTGCTCCCTTTGATAAAAATACAAGGTCATATTTGGTTTGTCATCTGAGAGAATATTTAAACTGGACATGAAAAAAAGATCCAAATACCAATAGAATGGACTTTTACTCATCAGTGTGGAAAATGTGTGGAAAAATCACTGAATAACAAAAAGTCACAACAAAATACAAGAAAAGCTCAACATTATAGAACTCTGGACTACTGAGGTATAATACAGTAGATTAACTGTTAAAGTAGCTGCAGATGACAGTTTAAACTAAGGTTAACATTGTTATTTTAATGAACAAACTTTAAATTAATAATCCAGTTCTTTAGTTATTTCAGTCAGTCTTTAAACCATTTTTAATTAAATACCCTCTATTTTCCTTCATTCTCCTGGTTTCCACTAAAATGACTGCACAGGTGTGTGTGTGTGTGTGTGTGTGTGTGTGTGTGTATCTACATCCTGTCCTATCTAATTTGTCTGCTGCAGTGTGAAAACTCCATGATGTTGGTCTGTTTTAATCTGCACTCTCCAGAGATAATGTCCATTTCAAGGTTATACACTCACAGCTAACACACACACACACACAGACACCAGCATTGGTCAGTTCAGCTCTGCTGCTCTTTAACTGCACTTTTAAAGTTTATTTTAGACCTGAGCTATGACGTCAACTAACGGAGTTTTTTTTCACCGTAATAATGTAATTAATGCGGATTAATTTTATTCAAACCTTAGCATTCCAAAACATGAAGTTAAAGTCACAAGATAAAGATGATTTGCATAAAATAATGAGCAAAAGGTTTCTTTAGATGAAACTAAAAGTTAAAAAATAACGGAACCTTTCTTTTCTTTTCTTACCTCCTTAGTTTGAACAATTTTCTTTCTTCTGCGCGTTTTTATTGGCGGAAACGTCAAAGTTCACGAACCGCAGATGGAGCAGCAGCAGGAGGAGGAGAAGGAGCATTGGACCTGCACGGAGCCCGCACACTTGTGTTCACCGCACACCGTCACATGTGCGTGTGAGGAGCCACCTGAGGCTGATGTACACGTCGCTCTGATCAGCCAATCAGAAAGCAGCAGCGGCAGCAGAGAGCTGCTGCTGCTGCTGCTGCAGGAAACAGCACCATTTTTATTAAAATAATAATAATAATAATATTACAATAATAACAATAATTACTTCGTTTCTGTCAAAAAATCATCTTTATTTTTCATTATATAGTTGTTTTTAACATGAGCCTTAAAACAAAATATAAATATACATTATACACACATTTATAAACATCAAAATACAAATAAAATATTAGATACCTTACATTCAAAGAATTAAAAATAAAATTTTACTTAAAAGGAAATATACGTAGCTTCAGACTCAGATATAATAGTCATGGTTCATAATGCTCGTAATGAGGTGGGGTCCTGAGGTGGCTGTTTTGTTTACTGTGTCAAACAGAATTACTGTTGTTGTGCAAATGAAGGGAATGAGGTAAAACGTCCCCACTCACAAAAACCAACAAACAACTTCTCCACCAAACAAACAGACGTCATGTTTCATTAGTTTTAATTTAGCAAATTTATAGAAAGAAAATAAAATATTGATACGTAGCTTTGTGAGCTAATCAAGGCTAACCAACAAACGCCATCTTTCCTCCGTCCTTGTCTTTTCTGTTAAGATGTCGTTAGGATTAACGTGCGTCCAGACAGTTGACGGGCGTACTCTCCCTCCACGCCTTTCCTTCCAAACATTTGCCATCATTTCCATGGTCTTATCACCTCCCACTGCTTCATTTGAATACAGTCCTCCAGGCCAGCGTTGGCTGTGTGGAGCCCTGGTGTTTACATCACCTGTGTCGGTGGAGTGGGTGCTGTGATAATGTGAACTGATCTCTGATCTCAAATACACAAAGGTGTAGTAAATGGTTAAAACAGCCCCAGTCTCACCCTCTCCCCCTACAGTGTGGTGAAGGTATCTGGAGTAATCTGCTGTCTGTTTGACCCAAGGCGTCACAATTAACTGTTGGCTGACCTTTGACACTGTGGGGATCAGGGTGGAAAGAGAAGAGTTGGTGACACAGCTGCACAGCCATTTTTATTTTCTCCATACAGAAATGGATTACATTCCTCTGTGGCCCACATAGGCTGCCAGGATTTAGGTCACAAGAGCCCAGTGCTGGCTATTGTGATATTGTGGGCCACAGTCAACCTGAGATGGATACTAGATGTGGGCAAAAACACAAGACACATACATTTGTTTCAATAAAGAACCAGGGGAGTGTGGCCCCCAGTATGGTACCTCAGGTAGACTGGGTAGAAGAGTGAGGTTAAAACTGTGGGACAACAACAGCAGCTTCCAGGTGTGTTGCTCCCACCTAATGGTTTTTGGTTCTATTGAGTTATGTGTGTGTGTTCTGTGTGTGTTCTGTGTGTGTGTGTTGACTGCTCCTGTCAGGTTTCCTCTCTCCTCGCTCTGCTGCACCATATTTATTTAACCAAACCTTGTCTGGGTTGTTTCTGCAGAAATATTATTTTTATACCATGTTTATTCAAAAATGCTGATAAATTCTGAGCTAAAAAACATACAACAGAATGATGAGGCACGCAAACAGCGCCACCAGCAGCAGCAGAGAAGAAAACTGATTTTTTTTTTTTAAAGATTAAAGATTTCATGTTTGCAGGATTTCTTTAGGTTTTGGTTACTTTGCAACCAAAACCAATAAACGATGATTGATGACTTGATGCAACCAAGTCCATAAACCCATGTTACCCACTATTAGCACCAAAACTTTAAATCTACGTCATCTACTTTACAGAATAAAAGCTGTGAGCTATTTAGCCCACGTTCTTGTTGGGACCAGAGACGTAGCTATTTATTGGCCAAATATTTCATAGAGTAAGTTGGCAACTTTGAAAGACCGATATGGGAGCTTTTTGGAGTCTCCCTCTGCTGGTTGACGTTGGTACTGCATTGAACTGCAATTTGAAAAATAAGAATGTCAATGTGTTAGATACAGTACACTGTATTCTTCAGTCACCGTTGATTAGAAGCTGGAATTGAAACAGTCCAAGGTCTCTGTTTGAGAAAAAACTCCCCAAAAAATGTTCCTGTCTCTGGAAAGGTACCAACACTGTTATGCAACCATGTTCATCACGTCATGGCCAGCCGTAATGTCAACTGTCCAGCCAGAGTGCACTGTCACACAGTCCACTGCAGCAGGTGCCAGGGATCCATCTGGTGCCCAGCAAAAAGGAAAGCCATTAAAATCCCCCTGACTCATCATAAACCTGAGGCAGACGTGGTAGAGGACGCAGGTCTGGAGCATTAGTCACTTTTTCCATGAGACCAAGGCTGAGCGTCTGAAGGAAAAACAAGTGGGAGTGTCACATTAGGCCACGGCGACACTGAGGTGGCCGTTGGCTAAACTCCATTCTGAGAAACTGGTCTGGCCCAGTGACAGGACTTTCATTTGACCAACATACAGACATAAATTATGGGGCCTTTAGTGACCTACATCTGGTATTTTGAATGTGGGTCACGTCTATATCGGGTTTAAAGTCTGTCTAGGTATATGCTGTCCAGAATGTGGACCACATACTTCTTTTTTTGATAGGACAACTTTGTCTGGTCCTGTACTTTGCAGAACAGAGCTCAGACAAACTTGGGTGGTCCGCTTCTGTTGGGGAACGGCTCTATTAGTCCACATAAATTGACTCAGTCAGACATATCAGGATTGTCCGGTTATTTTCGAACCAGAAAACATATCTATAAGTTCTATTGCTATAGTAGGTTACTGGACAAATGGTTTTGGATCTGTGGGCCAGATAAATGTGATATTTAAGTGCCCTGCTTTATGTGGACCAGAACAGTGGTGTTGTTTCCCCAGAGCCCAGTCCACGGTCAGAACTCCAGATCTGACTCGTTGACGTGTGTGAGAAAGAGGTGGTTTTGTGACAGCAGGTACCGCTGTGGTCTAGTTGGAGCGGGCCACATATGTGTTGGTGGAGTACAGATGTGTCTCTGGGAGAGACCGACGTGTTGGAAGCTGTCCTCCAGAGCTGAGAAGTCGTCTTCCCATTCCAGAGCTGCAGGCAGAAAATGAGCAAACAAAAATGAGCAAACACACACACTCACACACACACACACACACACACACACAAGGAATTAATAAATAGAGCCTGCAGCATCTTTCAACAGAATTGACAAACAGTCAAGTTAAACAAAAGTGGTGGAACTACTGTCACGCCCTTTGTCTGGAAAACTGTAGTTTATCTTAGAAGTTTAAAATCCGTATTTGCCTTGTACCTTCTACGACTGTATGCAGCCCAGGTGTGGTGTGAGCAGATAATTAGATCACAAACTAAATACTGGGTTTACCATTCTCTTCTGCCTGGATCTCAGGGGTTGGTGGAGGTTTGTGGGTCCCACAGGTCAGGTCCTCCGTGGGACTCTCCTGGGAAAGAAACCATTTAAGGTTAATTATCCGTCCTGAAGGTTGTCTAAGTAAATATTAGATGGATATTACATGGATCAATAAGTACCTGGTCAAACAGGAAGACCATGACGTCATCATCAAAGGACACACTCTTCTTCCTGATTTTCTTGTCTTTTCCAGAAGATTCTCCTGGACCACAGAGGTTCTCAGGAGCCTTTAAAAGGCCTTTGTGTGAGTGAATGTTCAGATTCTCTCCAGAGGTGGTTTCACAGTGATGGACCTCAGGGTTGTTGTTGGGATCGGGCCGTGGATTATCATGTGACCCACTGTTGTGGTGCCTAAAATGGAAGTCCGTGTTTTCCTCGATTGTCCTACAGTCTGGAAAAAGTCCAGCTGCAACCAGGTCTCCACGGGAAATGATGACATTATTGGAGTGGTCCATTCTCAGAACTCTGGGCTGGGATGTCAAATTCATTCCATTTCCTCTGATGAATGCTAGGATGTCCTGTGGGTTCAGGACTAGTCTGGTCCAGGGAGCCTCTTGTGGACACTGTAAGACAGTGCAGTTGTTCTCTAAGAAACAGCAGTGTTGATGGAGAGTTGTGAGGTCTGATCTGAGGTCAGTGTTCCTCCTCAGGTTCAGGGCTATACTTTCTGTGTGGTCAGGGACAAAGAGGTCAGAGGTCAGCTGCAGCTTCTGCTCAGCCAACGTCACCTGACCTGAAGAGTACAACAAGTGTAATTCTTCTTCCCTGAAAGGAAGAAAACTGTATTTGATCCAGATCAGGATGATGAGGAAGGAAGGAAAAATAAAAGATATTTATCATTAAAAAAAAAAGATAAAGGATTTAAATGAAATATTTTGTCTTTATTCTTAGCTGTTTTAAAAAGGTATTTCTGGACAAGGTTTGTGGCTTTTTTAAATTAGCTTTATTAGACAATATCTTTAGCTCTTTGTCGTCACCACTGATGTTGTCACTATATTATTCAGGCGTCAAATACGTGTCACAAAGATTTACAGGTTATGTGGTCCATATCTGGTGGGCCGGTGTCCCTAATGTTGGGCCACATTTAAGCTAAAGGACATCAAGACATAGCCTCTCAGAGTCTGTGGGCCACACACCCAATCTAAAGATCTGTAGGTCGTTGCTTTAATACTTTGTGCGGCCCACGGCTGGGCCGGATCAGTTTTGTTTTGATGGCTGGTTGTTGTTGGTTTTATGTCTGTGTGCGTTATCGTGTGATGATGTCATCTGTGACCTACGGCTCCCAGTGATAATTAAACAAACATGAATATGGGCCACATTGACCTCAGGTACTATTCACCAGTCCTCACTGTTTTTTTGTCCCTGGTACTATTTTAAAATCTGGACTGTTTTTTAATCCACTGCCTGATTTATTAGCTCCTGTGTGTCAACAACAGGATGTACCTAAAGTGATCGGTCAGCCTTCGTGCACCAGCGGCACACGTGCACACTCCCAGACATGTGTGTTAGTGGTGCCCTGGGTCCTGAGCTTGAATAAATATCAGGGACCAGTCCATCTGTGCAGACAAAGACAATAGGAAACTTAGACCCCTCTGTGGTGACCAAGCAACTGCAGGAGCAATGAGTTAGGAGGGGTGTGGGGGAGGGGGGCAGTGGGAAGGGGGGGTGGTAGAGAGGAGCTGAGTCACAGAAACTGTGACGTGCAGGTGAGAACATACACACACAGTCATGTGTGCAGTGAGCTTCTCTGCTCTGTTCTCGCCAAATTAACACCTGACTGTGCAGCAGGTGGCGCTGCAGCTCAGAGGAGAAGCAGATATCTTGGCACAGGTTTGTCTGAAATCAGACCTCCAAGGCCTTAATTGAAAAAAAAATCACAGGCTTTGGGGCTATTATAATGGTGATCAGGCTTGTAATTGGAAGACTGCCGGTCCGAATCCCTCCATCACTTTTTTTTGTTGCTCTGGTGGGCTGTTAGGGGTACTGCAGTATTTAACTTTGGCTTTTGAAGCAGCAGCTTAATTAGATTAAATTTAATAATATAATTTAATTTATTTAATTAAAAATTTAAAACAAAGGACTTTGACTACAACTTGATTTACTTCTGTAAACGAATTATTCATGGTCTACTCTGATCTATTAAAATTATTCCAGATCACCGCCTTGAGCCCAGAACCGCAGGCACATAATGTAGAATGGTACCGTTCTGTCTCCTGTCTGTCCTCACTGCATCGTCCTGTCTGCAGGCTGTCCAGTAGAATCAGCAGCGTAGCTCCTCCCCTGACCTCCTCTAACTCTGCAGAAATGTCGACAGCTTATTATCCGGCATGAGGCTGCTTTTCAAATGTTGCTGCGTCATGCTGCAGCACAACAAACATGCATGATTTCATTACACCAGAGACGCTGGGGCCTCTCTTTCCTCTCCTACCTTCTTGGTCTCTGTGAGCTCGGCTCATCCTCCTGCTGGGACAGGCTTCTCATGGAGGACACCGGTGGACAAAAGTCAGGCATACAGACGCAAAAAAATGCAGTGTGGAAATCAGCAGGAGGGGGAGGGAAGGGGAGGATAGAGACTAGGATATGAAATAATTTAAAAGAACAGGAATGCAAAAAGTAGGAGCCGACAGGAGGAGAAAAATAAGAAAGGACACAGCTCTCTGATGCACAGCTCTGTTTCTGGAGGCTGCGGGACACCAGCAGCAGCGGCAGCAGCAGCAGCAGCAGGAAGAGCCTGAAGGAGATCAATAACTGATGTGGTCTAAAGTAACACAGCTGTTACTGTGATGGAGTCAGAAACACTGATACTGAGTCACTGTGATGTTCAGTCATATCACAGTGAACCTGACAGTTCTTTTAAACATTCTTTATGTCACTGTTGGAGCAGCAGCAGCAGCAGCAGGAAGAGCCTGAAGGAGATCAATAACTGATGTGGTCTAAAGTAACACACACAAAACAAGTATCACAAGAAAGGAATTATTCACAGCACTGCATACATTAGATGGCCAACATCCGGTATGCACCGGAGGTAGAAAGTAACTAATTACATTTACTCACGTTACTGTAATTGAGTAGCTTTGTGAGTCATTTGTAAGTAGTTTTCGGAATAGGTAATCTTACTTTAACTTAAGTACATTTTAACTTGAGTATTTTACAATTACATTTATGCAACAACAACAACAACAACAACAACAAAACAAAAAAAAAGAAAACTGCGTGGGCGTGCGTTCGCGCGCGGATTTCCCACTGTTGATGCCAGAGAACGTTATTCGGAGACAGGCTCTAAGCCTATCATTTAACGGCAGTGCTGAAAAAAAATGGAGGTTGAGGATTCTGCCAAGCAGAGAGGACCAGAAAGTGAAGGAGATCCTTGGCCATATCTCGGCCACCTTTTTGTTTCCAAATACAAACGAGTCAATAACGCTGTCGAAACTTCCACGTCAAACCTTCGAAAGCAGGTGGTGGTGAGTAGAGTATCTGTGCTTTCACCTGTGTTTCCCAAACGTTTTGTTTATGGCTTTTGTTTGGTTAAAACCTTCCACCGTTAAGAAAAACGTGCCTTCATGATATCGATTATTTTCGCTTAGCTTAGCACCCATCCCGATAGCTAACGTTTCAGCTACGTACGTAGAGCAGTACCGGAGCACATTCAGAAAACAAACAAGTGCATGTCTTGATTTGCAATTGTTCTCTGATGATGATGTCATCTTCGTTCCTGTATAATACATTAGCTCCTGGGTTGTTGTAGCCTAGACTATGAGCTGTGGATGGACAGTGATAGTCCATCAACATTACTGCTGGGTTGCTCGTGGAAACTTTTTGACGTTAAAATGATAAAAGGATAATATGATGGTATTAAATATGGAGGGAGGCTCCTCGTGTTGTAGCCAGGTAGTTAAACAGGATCCAACAAAGGTTGGATCCTGTTTAACGTTGTTACGGAGTATTTGTGTGGCGTTTAGATTTGGCTGACAAATTTGTAATGCAGTTAAACGTCTAATGTTCTAGTGTGCAGAAAAAAAATCCATAGATTTTGGCCAATTAATTTCTTGGTAAACGTGTAATCCTTGGTATTTGAGTTATTTCATGGTCGTCTTTCATTTCTTTTCTTTTTTTATTATTTGATTTTTTGCTAAACAAATGCAACAATACTTGTGATTTATTCTGAACTCCCACAAGAGGGAGACAGAGTGCTTGATTAAGATACCAGATTTACTCAGTAAAAAGTGGTTTTATCAAATAGGTAAAACGTTTACTGAAAGTTTACAGACACAAAGAACATTAGTGCATAAAAATACATTACATACACATTTTCCACACTTCAGATAAATATATACTGAACATGATATTTATCTGTATTCTAAAATGTATTAAATTAAATTTGTAAACAGTATTATGTAATGGTAATGATGGTCGTCTTTTTTTAAAACACACGCCTGCAATACACACAGTAGTATATAAATACATGAGCACATAATGTATATGCTGCAATATAAGTAGCGCACGTTTCTGTGTTGGTATGTGGATGTACTTATGTTATATATAGAAGTGTAGTTTCCCTCTGACCGCTGCAGACACATTGTACAGTCACTCCTCAGGAATGTCCAATCATTTCTATTTATGTTCATATGAACACATGACGCCTCCAGTCTCAGATCATTCTCATCATGATGTGTCAGGCTCTCAGGGCTTCGTGCTTGAAAATCACTTTTGCCCAAGGCAGAGTGAAGCTCTGATTTGTACAATAACTGTGTTCAGCTGCTAAAACGTTACAGTTTAGACTGACTGCAGACCTTGGTATAGGACTGTTGGTTTTTTTATATATATTTGAGGATTAATTTGATACAATAATGGACTGTAATCAAATATGAAGAAGCTGAGAAGGTGACTCAGGTCTCAATACTTTACTGTAAAAGATTATACATTGTGGCTGTTTCTCAACACATTTCATGTGTTCAGTACAGATGATACAGGCTGCAGGGTGTTCAGTAAAGAGACCCCTTCATGGGTGCTTCCTGTTATGGATCCACACTGTAGTTCCTGTAGCAGAGCAAAAGTTGACTGCCTGGCAGTAGATTCCTCATATTTGTGCAGATTTACTTTCTCCTATGCTCTTTGTTTTTGGAGCAGCTTCCAAACTCCAGTATTTTTATCCCAAAATGCCTGGTGACCAAATTAGGAAGTTCCTGCTGGTATAGTCTTCCCCCTGGCAACAAAATCACTGATGCTGGAGTTCCCCTTTACACACCCAGACAGCATCAGGATGTTGTTGCCAGGAGTGGACATTCAGAACCATTCAGTCCATCTCTGCTCCTCCAGGTAGACCAGGAGAAGACCATGGACCAGGGGAGATAGGCAGAGATGGACAGATGGTGTTTCCACTCTTCACCTTCATTTATTGCTTTGTGCCACTTCTCCGTTTGTCTTAGTCTGACCTGATGACATGGATCCAGATCGGGTCGCCGGGGCAGCACAAGGCTCATGGTGTCAGTACAGTCGACTGTTTCTTTTTCACTGCACTTAGCAGAACACATGAGAACTGTGATACAGGAGCAGAGCTGAAAGGCGCAGCTCCTCACAGGCACAAATCAGAGCCAGTTTCTGGTCCGTTTCACATTCTATTTTCATGTTGCTCCTGTGATTGATGTGTCCAGTCTGAGTTTCTCATAATCTGATATCCCGACAACTCCTGTCTGTCTAAATGTCACATGAATGACTGATATGTCTCTGGGTGTTTTAGGCCCTACCAAACAGAGGCGCTGTTGGAGGCTGAGCACGGGTTGTTTATTATTTGTTGTGGTTTATTTAGGGAGAACTGCTTCACATTTTCTCTGCTAATCATTACCAATTCTTTGGCCAAACTTGTGCAGAATGACACTAGATCCGGCCACAGCGGCTCTCACTTTCTGATGTGTGCATGGCTCCCTGCAGCATTCTGGGAAACCTGAGCCCTGTGTTAACATCAGTGAACCTGTAAGAAGAACGCGTCTGATGCGTCAGCTGCAGGAAGTGGGAACAAGAGAACCTCCTGTCTCCGTGCACAGGCTGCATTGTTTGCTGCATTATTTTCTTCAATTACTGTAATTGGTGTGGATTCTCATTTCTCCAAATTGAGTTGTAACGTATGCAGTGCATGGCCCGGAGAACTTGCATGACTATCCTTTTACACTGCAGCCGCAGAATCATCGTGTCCAGCCGACGGCAAGTGACACCAAACAATCCCTGAGCGGGCGGTAATTGGAAACGCATAAGGCTTATTCTGAGCCTGCCAAACGCACTCCGGGCTTAAGGCCCGATCAAGCATGTGGACCTTCAAACCCAGCCCCCGGACTCCCACCCCCACCCCATTTGCTGTCCAAAAGTCAATGTTTGACACCACTGGAAATGAGGCGCTGCAAAGGCCAGTAGGTAAATGTGGCTGAAAATGAAATATCCAGCAGTGAGAGACGGTGTTCGTTCTGCTCACAGTCTTTATTTGGACATGTCGGGATTGTGAAGTCACAGAGTGCAGACTGTGACCAGTTGGAGGGGCTGTTGGTGAGGGGGTGAAAGAGGGGGGTGGTGTGAAACATGAGCCTACAACAACACAGCACACGGTGGTAAATATGTCAGGGATATGTACACATTTGCTCAAGGTGCGTGGCTGCAGCGGTAGTAAAACTGTAACTTCACAGAGACGTTAAAGGTTTAAAAGACTCCCAGAGGCTTTTGTTTTCTTTTTGGCAGCGTTTTTCCAATTGTAATGACCTCAACCCAGCACCTCATTGTGAAAGGAACACTAATTTGTTGCTGCTCAGCAATGAGAAACACACACACACACACACACACACACACACACACACTGTGTGGACCCTCTTTGTATGCAGCGACACACACACACACACACACATTGTGTGGACCCTCTTTGTATGCAGGTGATTAAAGGCTCTTGAAAAGTGTTTGCTGACACAGCACCCTTTAATATAATGACATAAATGTCTAATCCAGCTCCTGTGTCTGAGGCTGAGTATTTATCAGTCTCTGTTGACAGCTGGACACCTGCTCTCTCCCACTCCAGATCTGGGATCTGTGCCGGACTGAAGAGTGGCTCTGCTGCCAACACAACCACCATATGTGGAGAATTGTCAGAGCGTGCAACTGCAAACAGTGCACACACACCAAATACTGCACAAATACCAATTTGAATACATGCTACAGGCTAACATGTTAATTTTCAGGCTTAGAAATGAACATAATTTCAGTGCTGTGTCATTAAAAGTCTGAATTTGGATTAAAGGTTCACATGATGGCGGTGCTTCTGTAACTACACAAAACATAACTTGTATCACATGAGCATGATTAGTAAGTGTTTTTATACTGTATATACTAGTACTTAGCCAAAATGAAAGTCTAGTTTGTAAAATATGTTTTTTAAAGCGTCTCAAGTAAAATACACAAAGATAAAAATAGAAAAAGCTGAAAAGGAAATAGAAAAGAAAAGTTAACGCTGATGTTAGCCTACATAGATAGGGGAAGGCTGAATGGAGTCAAAAATAAATGTTACAATCTTCTGTTGTGTTTTTTTTTCTTTTTTGCTGTATTATTTTTAATTATGTTACACTACGTTGACTGTAAATTTAGGCTTTTTAAAGTTTTTATAATGTACGTTTTTAAAAAGAGTAGAATCAAATTTAGCGGACTATTGTGTAGTCGCAGAATCTCACCACTGGGCGGCAGTAATGTGGAGAGTCATTCACAGTAATAAGGGCTAAGGAATTAATTAACAAAAAATGTTACGGCAAAACTTGAAGAAAATACGTCATTTATTATATATATATATATTTTAGAGGCATGTCGTGCATCAATTGTGCTTCTAAATAACTTCTAAACGTTTTTTTAGGCCAAAGTCGAGCACATAAAGCATGTAAATAGAACAGCAGAACAGAACAGCTGTGGGTGTTTTTTTATTTATTTTATTACAAGGTGGCTTATCTGAGGCTGTAACATACATATTTAAATATTTGGTGGGATTATGGAACTCTTACTTCCCTCCACTTATCTTTGCTCATTTTATGAAATATATAAGGGACACAAAATGTTTGAGAGAACTACAAACAGCTGAGCGTAAATCATTAAGTGTTAACCTCTCAGCATTATTGATAGAAGGAAACCTTACTGTCAGAACGCTGGAGACTAAAAGAGGAGAAGGAGCACAGAGAGGATGTGTTGAAAAGCCTGACTATGACCTCTGCCCTGTAGGACACCCTCATGTGCGCACACGCACACACGCACACACACACATGTCCAAGACAGCTGGGTGGAGGCTCTCGGTGACAGAGCTCTCATTTACAGGCACATCACTGGTCTGGTCTCCGAGGCTGATGTGAAATATGATGAGGTTTACACTGGGCCACAGAACTGACGGAGACTGATTTTATTTATTTTTCTATTTTGATCAAAACCAAGAGAATAAAAAATATGTAGATACTGAGTTTTCCATGGAAAGTAAATGACAAAACAATGTTAAAAATAGTCTATTGACTCCCATGAGACAAATGAGAATTTAATAATAGAAATTATAGTTAAATATGATAAATTGTACAAAGATCTGTCACAGAATATATGAATGCTTCAGACCTTTGAGTTCAAACATTTTCTCCTGACTCAAGCCTGATTTAAAATGCTTTCAGTAAAAAGTGACAGACAAAAAAAAATGTCAATGAGGAGAAAAAGAGTAAAAATGTACAAAATGACACAAAGACTTGAAAACAGGCATCAAATAAGATTGAAGTTTGTATTTTCTGTTACACTAAAAGAACTATTGTTATATTGTTCTGAAAAACCCTGGATTTGATGTAGTATTTGCAACAACAACAAATTATTGTAAACACATAATAAATCTACATTTTATCTAAATATTATACATGTAGGTTTTGCAGTATAATTTAATACCATTTGTTCATTTTGTTAGTAATTTAAACAGTAATGTTTTCTTTTTACTGTAGTTTATTAAATGATCTTTTAATTTATACATTTATATTTGTGTTTGTTCGGTCATGTGACTGGTCATGTGACTTCCGCCTGGTGTTTCTAAGTTATCTTCTGGTCACTTTTTTCTTTAATCAGGTTATCCGTGGATCTGCATGTCCTCACACACTTCCTGAAACCTTTCCCAGGTCCACCTGCAGTATGTGGTCCACACTCTGGGAATTACTGAGAACGGGAGTGTTTCCACACACGGCATTACACACATTCATGTTTTAGCTCAACAGCTTAAAGCTAAAGTGGCAGACTTTTAGCTAAGACTGTGTGTGGAGGTGTGGAGGCGGCTGTGGGGGAGAAGGGGGAGGAAGGGTTGGCAGCTAAAAGCCGTATGTAAGGGCAGAATATGAGCTGCTCACACCACTGCTGGTCTGATAGAAATAGATGATGGGGTAACAGGACCTGTAAGAAAAAAGGAGCAGCAGGAGGAGCAGTGTCTCCTTCACTGTACAGGGGGGCAGGTTCTCTCTTGTCTGTGTCTGACAGTGTTACCGTGGAACCTCAGGGTTAGTGGTTTTCTGCTGCTGCTGTGTCTACAGCTTCCTTCATCATCCAGTCTTTTTTCCCCAGTCATTTATTCTGCCATAAAAACTGGGATTATATTCCGTTTAAGAGAGAAGAATCAATCCTGGGATTTTGTTAATACCTTGATTTCAAACAGATTTGATGAGGAGGAGTCTGAGAACTTTTCTGTCTGTGTTTGTTCTATTTTAGGGCCTTACATGGTGGGCCTTACATCCAACCACACTAGAAGATGGGCCACATTCTACAAACATAAACAAACATGAAAGTAGACCTCATCTCTGAGTTTCTTTCACCTTGATCTGTTCGGCTGACGCTGAACTTAAAGATGAAGTTAGAGTTATGTGGAGATGGGGGGGGGGGGTGTAAGTATGGAACTTCAGAGAAGGTTCATGGATATAGTGAAGGAGGATGGATTGGGAGGTGAGATGGACGCAGATGATCCACTGTGGTGGTTCTTGAAAGGAGAAACCAAAGGAAGTTCTGCATGAAGCGAAGTCACATTAAATATTAAATATGGTTTTCCTCTGTCTGTGCAAACACCTACCTTGGCTGGATGTATGAATGGATGAATAGAATCAGGGACGTGTTTGAAGCAGGTTATGGTCCAAGTCCATTAGTCCAGGGATGATGAAGAAAAGGATCTCCTCCATCAAACCTTTTTCACAGTAAATATATTTTTCCCATCTTCCCCGTGGCTCAGACTCTTACAAATAAACCAAATGTTCCTCCACATCCCACTACTGGCCCGGCTCTTCACCTCCATCCTCATTCGTCTTTCTCCCTGTCTGTCTCTTCCTCTCTGTCCCGTCCCCCTCTTCCCCCTCTCTCAGCCCACACTCCATCACTCAGGAAGTCTGTTCTTCCTGAAAACAAGCAGGAGAACATGGAAAGAGAGGAGGGAAACGGGGGCAGGTGTGACATTATGGGGCAACAGAGGATGTTGTTGTCGTTCTTTTGCCTCTCTGGTTGCTGCAGACCTCACTGTGATCCATCCTGAGGAAGCTGGGCTTACGTCACACTGACCGGGCCTGGAGTCCACGCGTGCAGCCTGGTACCGTACTACTATTGTGTCCCCTGCTCACATGGGAGCCACAAACCACAACTGTTGTCTGACCGAGGTCAGAAATGACTGGAAACTTGAGGTAAAATGAACCCAAACTATGTTTACTTAACCCTAAAAAATCCACCCCTGAAACCCATGGGTGGATTCAGGTTCATCTTCAGATACATGGACATCTAGGAACACAGATCTGTGAACACTGACTGTGACACTGGCCATAATAACAGGATGTTTACAGCCCCAGGAAATACGGTCCGTGAGGGACCGCCGTGTTCAAACGTCAGCAAACAGGAAATGAAGGCCTGTAGTTCCAGGTTCTTCCTCCAGTCAAACTCTGAAGGTGCTGAAGGACACCTCAAAGATGGAGAATCTTAAGCCTGGCTGGAAGGTAAAACCATTTTTTTAGAACTATAAGATTTTAATGATAAAATGACTAAAGGTTAGCCAGAGGCAGTTGTAATTGTAGCCTCAGGTTAACTTCTATCCAAATCTTATCCAAAGAACTGAAGAAGCCTCTTGGATTAGAGGTGAAACGTCGTCTTTTAGAAAATTCACGTCCAGTTGCCTAACAGAACTTTTAAACCTTGACCATGACCTGGATGACTGAGAATCTTCATAGACTTCTTATCCAAATATAATTTTAGAAGTAGGAAATAAGCTCAAGAGTTTGTGAGTTGCTGCTAAAATGAAACGTAATTGGATGTATTAGACATTAAAAGCTAAAAAGTGACTGTTTTGATGAGCGTGGTTGAGGGGCTCTGAACGACTCCTGTTACAGAACAGTGATGTGGACAATGGCTGGAGTGGTCAGCTGCAGCTGACAGCCCACGCTGAAGGACACTGGTGGTTTCTGACACTGGGGGGTGAAGGCCAGTCGCCGTCCTCACAGGTCACACATCGCACAGGGCTGTAGACGGGACCACGTACTGAACCACGTCCACCACCATGTCCATGACTGACGTTCTAGCTGATTCAGACATCACTTCGGCCATTAACGCTTGTAGAGGTGAGCAGGGCGCTGGGTTTTTTCTTAAATGTACGACAGACACTGCGTGTTGTTTTTGTCCAGTGTTGAGCCATTTTGAAATCAGAGCAATCGTCACATTTTAATGGAAACCTGTTCAGATTTTCTTAATTTTTTGCAAGAACCTTTTTAACATAAATGGTAAAAACATTCAAAAAGAAAGTAAATTTCAGTTTTCAGATGAAGCAAAGAAGCAGGTTGTGACCTGGTGTCTACGTCCTCCTCCAAAAAATCTTTAGACAGTGTTTAGTGTTTAGAAATATAACTGTGCTAATCATTATATATTTCTAATATGTCAGAGAGTTCTGTACAGTGATATCGTTGTTCTCCGTGTGCTCTCATCTCCAGCCAAGGACTCCTTCAGCCCTCAGATGTTCTTCAAAGCTGTTGGTTTGTCCAAGAAGAGTCCCTCGGAAATCGAGAGGGTCTTCAAAATTTTGGACCAGGACAAAAGTGGCTTCATAGAACAGGATGAGTTACAGTTGAGTCCTGTGTGTCCTTCTGTGGCTGTGCTGTCCTGAGAACAACAGAACAGGACAGAGCCTTCTGTGCCTTTTAGACTCGTACTATCGTGTTTCTGCAGGAGATAAATGTGGTGTTTGTGCCTGTTGTCATTGTTCTCTGACTGTGTCGTCACCGTCCTCCTCTAGACTCTTCCTGCAGAACTTCTCCAAAGGAGCCAGGCCCCTGACCGCGGCCGAGACCAGAGCTTTCCTCCTGGAGGGAGACTCAGATGGAGATGGGAAAATTGGCTGGGAAGGTAGGAAGGAAGTGGAGAACTGAAGTGTGTTTCTGCTGCGTTATCAGGGAAATGAGTCCAGGATTTCCACAGGCTTCAGTGGTCTGTTTCTAAAGATAGTCTCCTACCATCAGTCATATGGGTCGGCCTGAGAGAACACAAAATAAACTGAAAAAACAATTAGGAAACATACTGAAGGTAGATAAAAAAAAAAAAAAAGAAAAGCTACTCTAAGCCCACACCAGATGTCTTAGGTCCCTGTAGTGGCCCACGTTTGTAATCCAATGGCCCACAATTGTTACTGATCTCTGAAGGTGCCCAGGTTAGTAAGTTTGTGTCCATCATTATGGTAAGACTAAGAGCCAGTGGGTGAGTATAGATCCCACTCACCCAGCCGTGTGGTCAGTTGGCCCACCTCTAGTATCTAAATGCATTACTGTTAAACTTGTCTGCCAATTCATTAACTCTGGTTCAACTATGTGGTCTTCATTATGCATACTGTATGTGGGTCACCCAAAACCACATATGGGCCAGTGAAGAACATATAACTCTTTGCATTGTATGAAACCAGCCCAGACTAAAAGACCAACTGTTTTGGATTTTTATTGACATTGGAGTGATGAGGTCCACAGACTGAGATGTGGCCCACTGTTTTGATGTCAAGCTGACCAAAATGGGATCTTCTCAAAATCCAGCTTTCCTCTTTGCCAGTGTGGCCTAATTTAAAAAAAACATTTAGTCCACTCCTGCTTCAGTTTCCTGTTCTGTTTTTGTTTGTAGCTGTGGTTTGATCAAATATATTTGATAAATAATCTCATAAATGTAATAATCAGAAAGTAACTGTTTTCTGTCTTTTTTGTCCCAGAGTTCTCAGCACTGGTGAAGTCTGCCTGACGTCTGTGTGCTCTGAAGAAAATCAGTCACTTGGAGATGTTCTCCAGAAGAACACTTTCTGATCTATATTTTAAAAACTAAAGTTAAATCGACTGTGAGATCCAGAGTAAATGATGTGGACCTAATTAGAAGTCATGTGTTTGTTCCATTTGAACTCAGATATTGGTGTGTGACCCAAATCCAAGCCTGTCTCTCTGCTCCGTGTCAAACCCACCCAGAAGAGTTTACAAATAAATCTGTTTCATCACTAGGTCTTCATCTCTTTTATTTTCAGTTTCTTGAACTGTTCTTAAAACATATTTCTGAGAGAAAAAAATGGGTTTTTTTTAGTGCTAACATTGTAAAAAAAAAGTCAGACAGTGATTGTGTGAATCTAACTTGTCAAAAGTCTGGCCCGTGCATGAACCAATTACAGCCTTTTAAAGATGGGTAAGAAATCCCTTTTATTTACTCTTCTTGGTTTGAGCTATTTTGTCATTTGACAATCTTCTGTTTAATTGTATTCAGTTCTTGTGTGAGAGCGCCAATGTGTTATTTTTTATTGCTAACGTTAAGGTGTAAAATTCTGTTGTAATATTAAATTTAGCATTCAGATAATCTTTATTGGCTAACTTTTAGTTTCTCCTATATTTGACATTTTTATAGCCTAACTTTTTTGTCCTGGCTTGTTTTTGCAAAAGATGAAAGATTTGTAATGTTATTGTAAATTTGCTAACTTGGTGTTAGTTAGACTCTGGCTATCAAAGCTAATTTCTTTAGCTTGTTTTCTAGATTTTGTTTTGTTTGATCTTCTGTGGTTCTTAGTCTTTAAGTTACTGTTAACCATTGCTTTATCTACTAAACTGCATTTTCTCAACTTTATGCATTTCCAATGCTAAATGCTAATTAACATTTATTTATCTTTGTATCTTAGGCAATTGGGTAAAAAAGGGAGTCGTGTGAAGGGTAGGTTCTTTTTTTATATATATATATATATATATATTGTGTGAGGTAAACACTGATTGAAACGCATGAGAAAAACCTGTTTTCTCATGCGTTTTTTTCACCTGAAAAATCTGTTAGAACAGTTTTATTTAAAGCTACTCACCAATAATATGCTGACCACGGTGGATATAAAATGTCATGTGACCCTTGCCAAGACATGGCAGTGGCTCATTAACCTTTTTGTTTACATGCTTCAGAAAACACATTTCCATTGCGTTTCCCTGCAGGAAAGCTGTTTTTTTGTTTGTTTGTTTTTGTTTTTTTTTTTGCGGCTGTAGTAAATGACATCAGGGCGCTGCTGTCGTCCAGGTGGATGTTGGTCACTGCCCAGCTCTTTTGGCAGCGTCTTCTCACCACTGTGCCGGCTGCAAATGCCCATTTGGTGTGTGTGTGCAGACTGTGGGAGGGGAGGTTAGCAACAGTGACAGGAAGTACAGACAGTTGGCAGGGGTTCCGCAGCACTGGCCAGTGAAGGCTGTGAGGGAACTTACAGTGACCCAGCAGAGGATTCTGGGACAGGATAGAGTTTCTGAGCCAGAACATTTACAGGACTTCTGTCAGCGAGACGCATGTATTTGAAGCTCATCCTGGATGGGATGGTAAATCCATTAGGGTTTATTTAAAATGTGTAGAAGATGCAGGAAACAAACTGGTGAAGATTTTGAAACAGTGAAAAATGAATCCCACCATAATTTTCAGATTTCTGTTTCCCCCCCTTATCTGCACAGTAGGCCCCTTATGTAATAATCAGACTCAACCAGACTTCAGTCTGTGCGTTTATTAGTGTGCAGCACCACTGATGTCCACTAGGGCTGGATCAGAAGGACTGATCTTCGGGAATAGAAAGTAGAAAAGGTTGAATTTTAAATCATATTTTCACACGGAATCTGCTTTTTAAATACACCGCTGAGATGAGGGGACATCCTTCACTTATCCAATTTCAGACAGTCAGTTCCTCCCTTGACAGATTTTATTCCCTGCTGTGAGATATTTGTAATTCTATGCCTGATATCAAAGAAGGGCAGAAATAGTTATGGTGTTCCTGCCGGAGTCATTCGAGGTGAGAGGCCGATAAATGTTAAAGGCCAAAGATTAGAGAATACGTGAATTGTGAACTAATTAAAGTGAAAAAAGGAATATATGAAAAAGAATGAATCTATGCAATCAAACCACTGACCACTGAAATAAGACAAACAAGTGTTTATTCTGGGGAAAAGCGCTTTATTTAGACAGAGAGACACACACACACACACATATATATATATATATATATATATATTAAATGACTTATTTTTTACTTGGAGAATACAAAAAGATTTACCCAGTGTTTTAGTAATATTCCAACACTACTTTAGTGCTGCCCCCTGCTGGTTAGTACAAGCTCCTGCACGCGGTCAGCGTTAAAAGAAGATGGGTGTGCAAAAAAAAACAAAAAAACAACTCTACACTCTGGTAACTTACTTTGTGAATCTGTCTGGACGGCTGTGTGAGAACTGATGATGTAACCGCGTCGATGACGTCAGATTCAAGCGTTTCCAAAAATGGCATCACACATTTTTATCACCATAACGAGAGAACGTCAGATATTTTTTAACATAAATTCAGCATTGTATAATGAAAGATACAAATCCGAGATAATGGACAAACGTCCACTCAACTGTTGTTACTCTGAGATGAACCCCAAAGCTGCACTGTTTCTACCATTTGACCAAATTTGTTGAACGATCATAACAATAACGAGTGTAAAATATTTAGAAATTATAAAACGTTTATTTTGATTTGTGGTCAAGAGCAACTGAATTTGATTTAAACAAATTGATTATTGATAATAAATTAATATTCTGTTCATAAAAGAGGTGATAATGAAGGTCAAAAAGGTCCGATTTAGCCCCAAAATGACAAAAAATACAAACCGACAACTTCGTTCTCTTAATTCGTGTACCGACCGTCGGTGCTCCACAGCTGAGGCGCAGGAATTGCGACATGTCCGTGAGTAAAAGTAAAAAAACTCATAGGCGAATAAAAAAGAGACAAAAATTCAGAAATCAGAACATTTTCGCGGTCATTTCGACATTTTCGCCTCCATTTTCTAGATTTCCCAAAAACATTTACGAAGGCTCAAGTATTTTGACGCTCCAGACCAGTTAACTCGCGCCAATTACGCACGGGTTTTTGTTCGTTTGGAGCAGACCTGTGGCTGATACCGCTGCAGCGCGTACAAATGCACACACAGATGTTCTGCAGCAGAATCAATATACTTACTCTGCACATTGTGGTTTTCCTAATGGATGGTTAGAGTTAGGGTCAGGGTTGACACAAACCATGGCTCAGACAGTGTCCCTTCAAAGCAGAAGAACAAGAATGTCGATCAGCTTTATTCACAGACATCACAAAAATAATTACATTGACTTTTAAAGTTTCTCCTCACCTCCAGCAGCTGTGGAGCTGACCATAGATCACCACGTGTACACTGCATGTCGTACCCTACATACCAGCTCCATGTGGGTCAAACCCTTCAAGCAGAGCCATGCACGGTGAGCAGATTTTGCCTCCTTGACTCTGGAGCCGTGCAGAGTTCAGCAGACGTGTCCACAGGGCAGGTTTCACCCAAATCAGCAGCGTATATTATTAGCCTTATGCAATATCAAGCACTTTTTTGCATAGAGCCTACTCTTGGCCTACCATTTAAGCATCTTCATTTATGTAGATAAAAATAGAGCTGCTCTGTCTACTGGACACATTTTTCGACCAACTGCGTCCACTGCTCCAGGTCCCGTCTCCGTTACACAGCCTGTGCATCATATTTCCACCCGGTGAAGGTATATAAGCTGGAGACGGGCGCCCACAGCTTTCACTGCAGTGAGCAGACTCATCCAAGTGAATCCTCTCTCTAGTCTCAGAGATAACCCCAGAGGTGAGTCTGACTGAAGACCCTGAGACCTTTAAAACCCAGCCGCGGCCCGACCCTTCCTGGGCCGCCATAGGATACAAATGGAGGAAGAGCAGGGGCCTCACAGGGCCAGATTCTGAACATCCAAGGCTCCAAGTTTGGTTTCCGGACCAACAGAGGAACTAAATGGGGGAAAAATATATTTCCAACCAACCACAGCTGCAAAGGATACTTGATCTTTTGCTTCGGAGGGCTTGGGTTTGGAGAAAAGGAAAATTGGATTCTGCTTTTTTCTGATCATGTTGGCATTGGAGTACTATAAAAAAAGAGGAATCTGGACTTGTGAAATGCATGACCAGAACTTTGATAGAAAAAGAAATGTGTTTTTATCTTGTTGTGATTTAGTTGCACCTGAACTGATGAACTGACGACTCTCTTCTGCTCTCCTCCCTCAGTTAAAAATGGCATTGGCTAAATCTCTCGGTGAGGGTAACTGCTCCGCAGCTCTTGCTGCCTGCAAAGGTAAAACTCTCACAACAACTGTCTCTGCACACTGACTTAGGAAGTTTAGGTTAGACCTGCAGAATATTCAGACTTTCCTAAATATCTGTAGATGATCGATCTGCTGCTGCAGGTGCAGGTGGAGGTGGAGGTGGAGGTTGGAATGCAGTGTCAAAACATGACAGTTCAACCTGAACACAATTACACTAAATGCAAAACACATTCTCTACCTGCATCTTCTATGTGGAGCTGATTATTTAAAACCAATCCAATAAGATCGTAGTAAATCAGACACAGTTGTCTGCAGTTTTTGACAGCGAAGCTCGGTGAATGCAGAACCTCTGAAGAGAAGATGCTAAACATTTACAAGATTTTTTTCAAAATGACTGGATGATAAAAACTCTCTTCCCTTCCTGTCCCCTCGCAGCTGCTGACTCCTTCAAGTTCAAGGACTTCTTTCAGAAGGTCGGTCTGCACGGCAAGTCTAACGATGCTCTGAAGGAAGCTTTCCAGGTCATTGACCAGGATGGCAGCGGCTACGTTGAGGAGGAAGAACTGAAGTAAGAAGCTTCCCTTCTTCTATTTCCTTCTACTTTTTTAGAATTTCATATTCAGAACCTCAGGGATCAGGTTTCTTCAGCTCAGCTCAGGGTGAACTTGAGCGAGCAGGGCTAACTGCTCCTCTTCTGATACTAAAGGACTTTTACTGAGATCACGCCAAAGAAATTTACACTAAATCCAATTTGAAGAAAACTCATATTTTTCTCAGAAGTAACCAAAACATTGCTAAACATTTGGGTCACAGTAGCTTTGGTGGCTAAAAAATCTTTCTTCTCCAGGCTGTTCCTGCAGAACTTCTGTGCCACTGCCAGAGCTCTCACCGATGCCGAGACCAAGGCTTTCCTCGCAGCCGGTGACTCTGATGGTGACGGCAAGATCGGAGTTGATGGTGAGCTTTTTCCCTGGTTGATCTTTATCTACATTGGAGTAAAAAAAAAAACATTGACCTTCCTCTCTGCTCTCGTCCTGCAGAGTTTATTGCCTTGGTCAATCAGTGAGCGACCTGACCAACATCCTTCTTCACTATTCTAAAGGAACAACAGTAACAACGACTTGAGCCAAGACATACTCTTCTTATCTCCTCTTCCCTTGCACTCTTCTCTCTCTCTCACCTCTCAACAAAACTTTTATACAATTGACCTTTGACCCCGACCCCTCACCTTGGACAACATGACCTCTGACCTCTCCCGACCTCCCCACACCTCAGGCCTCTCTCTGTCTCTTTCTCTCTCAGACTGTGCTCACCCATTTGGCTGTCCACGATGAATGTACCAGACTAAGAGTATAACATGGTTTACTTGTGTCTATCTCTCTCTCTCTTTCTCTCTCTCTCTCTCACCACTGTCATCGTTTTACTATGTGAGATTTGCTTACTGTGAGATTGGTGATGATGCACTTTTATGGGAAATGGACTGATGATGAGAACACAATAAAGGGTCTTTTTCAATAACACAAGTCTGACATCAACTTCTTAACAGTGCAAACCTAACCTAAACCTAAAATGACTGCTAAAAATGACATCATATTACATTGACAAAAAGGCTTTTGAGGATTTAAATACTTCTGTAGTCATATGAAATTCACCATAAGAACCCAAAACATTAAAAGCTGAAATCCAGCCCAAAGGAAACAAAACACCTAGACAGATTAGCACAGGGTCAATCAACATTGCTGCAAAATGAATGAACACAAACACATTATATTTAGATAGTTAACTAGAAAACATTCCAGATAAGAATAAGAAGTCAATGATTTTTTTAGTCAAAAGTAAATAAAGGCATAAAAAGGTAAATATAGTCCAATGTTAGCCAGCAAATACATATCTGAAAGAACAAGTAAGAGCCAGTCGTTGGCTATATTAAAAAAATGCTACCAAAAAATAACCTAAAATCAACCAAACAAAGATAGTAGATAGATTTATAATAAATTTAAAGGATGTAACTTTACAGCAATGCTTAAAATCAATGACTAAAAAATGTTAGTTTAATTTTCAAAATCCCTTAGCTTCATACAAACTTACTGAACATTGTCAAAACAAAATCACTTTAATACAGAAAATAAAATGTGTCAAACATTTAAAAAGCTCAAAATGTAACCGATGAAGAACTTGGTGTCTTGTATTCGTTGCACTTGAAGCTATAGCCACAAGATGGCGCCTTTCAGTCGTGAGTTCAGATCTGAAGTTTCTCGTGGATGCAGTCTTCTTTTTCTTTTTCTTTTGGCTTTGTCCCTTTTTTTTCAGGCGTTGCCACAGCAGATCATTGATTTCCATCTCTCCCTGTTCTCTGTATCTTCTACTCTGACTCCAACTATCTGCATGTCCTCCCTCACTGCATCCATATACTGTACCTCCTCTTTGTCTCCTGGTGGCTCCATCTCTAACATTCTTCTACCGATGTATCCACTGTCCCTCCTCTGCACATGTCCAAACCATCTCAATCTGGCCATTCTAACTAAATGATTAAAATCATAGTTTTCTGAGTAAAACAAAAACTGCAGTAAAATAAATACAAAGATATCTAAAATGTTAAGATTACAATTTATGTTGTTACATGTACATATATTTAATTAAAGTAATCATAGCACCAAGATTATCATCTTTATTTATACCATCCATCCATCCATTTTCATCCGCTTATCTGTTACCGGGTCGCGGGGGCAGCAGTCGCCACCCAAATCACACTGCACCGTACCAACACCCCTGAACCTTCCTGTGGGTGGTGAGTCCACTGGAAGGTACCAACCGCCCTAACTGGGATTCATAGATTTATACAATTTAATGAATTAAAAAACTTTTAAGAAAGATTGAAAATAAATTTTTAGGGAAAATATCTATAAGCTAAACAAACATTTTTAAGCTAAGAATAAAAAATAATGATAGTATAAAAGCATTGTTACACAAATGTTAGCTCAGAAATAACTTGTTCAAAATTATAAACTCCATCACCAAGAAAACTTAAAGTAACTTTAGAATTAGCCTAAACTTAGCCAAATATTAGTAACATTAGCTAGAGATTAGCCAACCATGAAAACATGAAACTGGTCACATACAAAGCGACTCGTGTAACGTTAGCTACAGGTGTGATGCTGATGGATCAGGACATTTATTCCCTTGGTTCTTGTTACAAAAAAAAATCAACCCCATCCTCCACCCTCTCCACCTTCTCCTCCACCTCTACCTTCCTTTCCTCCTGCTCCTGCTGTTAATGCCATTAGTGCTGACTGGATTCACCAGAGACGCTGCTGTGTCAGGTGGTTTGCAGAGCGTCACCGCTTCAACAAACTCATCAATTTAGATTGGACCGTAGTCATGGTGACTGTGTCAAGCTCCACCCTCACCTTACAGTTAGGTCTCTTTCCACACACACACACACACACACACACAGATAGAGATAGAGAGAGAGCGCTCTTGTCCAGGTGAAACATCCAACTGACCCAGAACTTGATCCTTCGTCCACAGTAGTGAGTGTCCAGTGAATTATAGCTGTGACGTGGACAATGTGAACGAACGTAGAGAATCATTTTGGAATATTCAACACTGGCTGTTTAGCAGCTGTAGGAGAGTTTAATACTTTGTAGCTAATGTTTTTTTTACTCTAATCAACTACACAATCATGTTCTAACTGTAAGTAGAGCCTAAAAAGGAGAGTCTGTCTTATTTGGACCAGACATGTCACGAAATCAGAGCAAAGAACGTCTTCACTCCCGTCTGCATCAATCCAGGCCATGTCTTTTCGGGTGCTGTTGTAGAAAAGTCAAGGTAGTATGAAAACTAAAGCCCGTCCTCAGAACCTCATCTGTGGGTGTGGTCTGCACTACACAATACACAAAGTGTAGAACGGTCAAACATGTCATGGATTTTCCAGCTAATAGTTGAGTGCATATTAAACAGATTGATCTGAATTTTGTAAAAATGTTTTTTTTTTGTCTTAAAGAGAGGCTGAAAACAGGAAGATAATAACCCGGGGTTTTAGCCTGGAAGACTTTGGCCTTTTCTGCCTCCACTGCTTAATAACAGACTCCAACACTTTCTGCTGAGGCTGAAGAAGATTTCTGACCTATTCATACCATGGTCATTTGAATTTCTGAGATTATCCAGTAAAAAAAAGAAAGAGAGAATGTGGATGATTAAATTTAGAATGTCTATAAGCTCGTCCATGCACCTACAGGGGAGGGGCTGAGAAAAAAGAGCAGGGGGGGAGACAAAGTGTAAGTCCAATGATTGGACAGCAGCAGCAGCAGCAGCAGCAGCAGCCACAGGGTGATTACAGTGGACAGGTGAGGGCAGGAGATAGAAAGGTCAATGGTCAACTGAGCAGGTGAGGAACCTGAGAAGGAGAAAAAGGAGGAGCAGGAGAAAAGGAAGAAAGAAGGAGGAGGAGGAGACTGTAGGAAAACCCGATCCTCGTTCAACGGAAATTCAAGAATCTGTCTACGCATCAGACCTGGGTATAAAAGAGTGAGTGAGCTGACGGTGGACACCACTGAGGCTCACTACCACCACCACCACCACCACCTGCTGCTGCTGCTGCTCTGGGGCTGACAGAAGAACCAACAGTGGTGAGTGTCACGAATGCTCAGGTGTTTATTGTTTATTTGTTGGAAACTCAGTGTGTGAAGCTTCTCTGACATCGTGTCCATTTGTTTCTTAAACATGTTTGAACTCTGATACAAGATTTTTTCTGACTTTTGGATTTAAGGTGAAGCGTCTTCAAAAACCAAAATTAAAAAATTCACTTCTACAGCTTTGTCCTAAAATAACTGGAACACAGTGGTGGCGTTTAGATTTCATTCATTTTAGATCTTTGAAAAACACTAAACCCTCTTGTTGTATGCTGTGTGTTAGCTGTGTGTTAGCACAGTGGACTACATGACTAATGAACTGTACTATGAAATGTACTGTTCAGTAATAGTATAGAGTAATAAGGTATATTTCCAATGTTATTTATTACCTCTTTACAGAACAAATGCTAATTTGAATAACAAGACAACAAAATACCAACAATCCAGAATTGTCTGTTATTGAGAGCACAAATCCACAGTCCACACGACTGCGGATTAACAAGGCATCGTAGTCTCATTCAGTCAAACACAAGAAAGTGATTAATTCTATGTTGACTGCAGTATTACAGTGTGACTTTAAGAAAAGAAAACAACTTCATGGATGACATTATTCACACACACACACACATTATGTATGTGTGTGTGTGAAGAGTAACTGAGTTTTCTTTCTTCATCAGAACCAACATGTCGCTCACTTCCATCCTCTCAGCTGATGCCATTGAAAAAGCCGTCAAGGACTGTCAAGGTAAATAACACACACGCACTGTTATGTACAAATTATAAACAAATGATGTCAATTCATTTCAGCCAACTGTTTACTTTGTCTGTTTACAAATTTTCAGTAAAGAATTATTGATTTGGATTTTTCTTGAGACAAATGAGACATTCATATTTTAACCTTTGACCTCTGCCTTCTGTCATCAGGATTTATTGACCTTTTATTTGCAAAAAACAAAAATAAGTCGTAGATGCAAAAAATCACAACATCAGTGATCAAAACCCTGTAAATTACTCAGACTTGTTAGTGATACCTGACAAATTCAGCTGCTCCAGCGTTAAGCCCTTTTGACTCTTTCCACAACGCTTAAACTCCCTACGAAACTTTAATCTCTCCATAAACAGCTCTTAATCTGCTTATCCCCTCAGCTCATCACCACAAACTAAATCCTTGTTTCTCTGCGCTCTTTTCTTTAAATTCACGATTTGTGTTGTTGCTGTTCCAATGTCCAGCCCCAGACTCTTTCTCCCACACAAAGTTCTTCGCGGCCTGTGGTCTGTCCTCCAAGACACCCAAAGAGATCAAAGATGTCTTCCACATCCTGGACGAGGACAAGAGCGGCTTCATCGAGGAGGCGGAGCTCAAGTGTGTGGCACAGACTTTGTGTTTTTCTCCTTTTTACACATTCATACATACAACGACACCATGACGCCCCTTCTGGTCAGTTTTGGTTGTAACTTCATCTAGACATCAGTAGTTATTCCATATATTAGAAAATACCTAAACAACATGGTGGATCATCATTTCACCTGTACCCTTGCTTCTATCGTGTGACTTTATTGTTCATCACACCTGGCGTCGATGTGTAGGATCATATTAACAGACATTAACTGACATTGAGGTCTATGTTCTACATTCAACCTGTAGCAGACAGCTGAGGCCATAAAAATGGTCCATTTCACCTGCTTGTGAATCAAATCTGAATTCTTTATTTTCACTGTACTGTAGATAAAGGTGCAGTTCCAGAGGTTCTGAATCCTGACTCTCCTTAAATGTGGTCATCAATCTAACAGAAAGAGATTAGTCACTGTTTCGTTTTGATTGGACGGCACCAGCCATTCCTTAATGGTATAATCCCTACTGGACTTCACTGTATTTGTTCCACAGGAACTAAGGGCTGGTGTATTAAGTTAACATCCCTATCTGTGTGCTTTTAAATCCAATGTCACCTCCTCCAAATATGAATCATGTTCCTGTGTGTGTGTGTGTGTGTGTCTGCAGGTTCTTCCTGCAGCGGTTTGTACCTGGCGCTCGGACACTGACCGATGCAGAAACCAAGAGCATCCTCAAAGCAGCTGATGATGACAGCGATGGCAAAATTGGAGCAGAGGGTCAGTGTCGGATTTGTCCAATTATGGCTTTTGTTACCTTGTATGTGAGCAGAAATTATAGCTTTTTTATCAGGACGATTTTAACTTTCTGCAAAAAGACGTTTTAAAGAAAAGACATTAGTTAGAAGTATAAACTCATTTAGTGAAAGTTATTTTATTTCTTGATACAAACAGCATTTCACATAAAAATCTTTTTTACTAAGAACCCTATGCTTTAATGCCTAAAGCCATGACCTCCACCATGCCTGTCCCAGATTTATCCATCATCTAGTTGTCACTAATATCTGAGCCCAGCTTTCTTGTATAATCTGATTAGATTTAGATGATCTAAAAAGAGATTATTTGAGTCTGTGTCTCTCAGTTTTGTAATGGTCACAGCGGTGATTTTGTCCACATTTGGTAAATTATTAACATTTCATGCTCTCTGTTTTTCTAGAGTTCCATACTTTGGTCATGTCCTGAGTTCTTCAGGTCTTCGCTCGTCTCCTCAGGTCTGGAGTCCCAGCATCCAATTCCCAGGGATTTTCTTTTCATTTCTAATGTAGCAACTCTGTGTTAATGTTTTGAAATGACTTGTTGTCCGTTCAAAGACAATAACAAATGCTTGTCTTTGTTTTCCTGTCTGTGCACATTCCATCTTTGACAATAAATGAGTTGAAATAAATATGAGAAAAAATTAAATGTGTTTTCATGAGTATTTATTAATAATTTTGAAGAACCCTCTTTGAAGTTAAAATGAGATGATTGTGAGCTTTACAATTCATACAATATTGGTATCTAAATCTAAATAATGACACATATATATGTAACATCTGTTGTCAAGAACATTGTAAATCTATTATTAAAAATTGTTTTACAAAAATCATTATTATCATTCCATCCATCCATCCATTTTCATCTGCTTATCTGTTACCAGGTCGCGGGGGCAGCAGTCTCTATGACCGCCACCCAAATCACACTGCACCGTACCAACCCCCCCAAACCTTCCTGCAGGTGGTGAGTCCACTGGAAGGTACCAACCACCCTAACTGGGATTCGAACTTGACCAGGATGTGAACCCTGGGGTTCCATACCAATGACAGAGACATTGATTCTGGCCCAAAGCGCCACTATTATTATTATTATTATTATTATTATTATTATTATTATTATTATTATTATTATTATTATTATTATTATTTAATAATGTATTTATATCTTTGACATAATGAGTTGATGACAGAAAGTTACAAATATGTCTTGAACTCATCTCGATAATATCTATTAGGTTAGAGTAGATGAACTTCGTAGCTGGGAACCTTTGTTTCGTTTGTGAGCCACACCAGCCCGACCCCTTGCTCGAGTTGCACCCTGCTGTCCGAAGCAGGAAGTTAAGAATGTAAAGTATGCGGCGTCTCCTTTCATTGATTTAATTTGCTCATTTATTTCCTTTTATTTACGCTGTCTACCACAACAAGCACTTGGAGGTGTTAACTGTGCTTTCATTGGGGTAAGAGCTATTGTGTTGTTAGTCTGTTTGCACGTTTTTTTTGTTCTTTTACAAACACAACTCTATTGTTAGCAGAGTTAGCTTAGCCTTCTAGCCGCTCTGACAGGCTGCTTGTTGACTTGCTCGTGACAGTACTGAACGTCAGGATTGTGTTCTCGCAAAGTCCCGGATCTAAAGTTACTATCGTGTTCGTTTATTTGTTTAACAGCCGACACCACAGATACACAAAATACCATGATCTACTCCACTGTCTTCACCAGCTGTTTAAGAACAACGATGACAAGGCGGTGAAGGCTTAGAGAAACACATTAACTGAGCCGTAACACGCAGCAATTTGAATTGTCACTTGTGACATTACCATGCACTGCACTACTAAGTGCATCACGTGGTGTTACTGTCTAGAGTCAGTTTTGTTCACTTTGGTTCTGCTCCGTCTCTGATGTTGACTCAATTTGTTGGTGTTGCCCAGAGGACACAGGGCGTTGTTTACCTTTGTGTATAATACTTGGTATTTGTTCTGCAGGTACATGGCATGATAACCAAACTGTCTTTGGAGCAGAGGAAATCAAACACAAGTTATACTAATGCAAATGATCAGGTGAGGAACTTTGGTCTAAACTCAGAGAGAAATGTAACGACTCTCTCAGCTTTTCACTCTTGTTAACGCCATTTGTGTGTGCATGTTTCAGTCCCAGAATGGCCTCAGGAATGCAAGAAAAACAGTTCACGCCATGCCTGCTTAGCTTTTTCATTTATAACCCTACATTTGGACCACGAGAAGGAGAAGTGAGTTGACTCTTACAGTCACTTGTCAGGTTTAATGCCAGTCATGGATCAATCTGTGGGTATAATTTATTGTCTCACACCCAGAGTTCTGTTTTTAGGAAGAGAAGAAGATTTTGTTTTACCACCCAAATGATGTAGAGAAGAATGAAAAAATCCGGAACGTGGGCCTTTGTGAAGCCATCGTACAGTTCACCAGGTACTGTTCTAATTGTGAATTCACTAATCTGTCAATTTTAGAAATTTGTTCTATATACTGTCAGATTGTCAGAAAGTGACAATGTTACCGTTTGTTTAGAACGCCATTGTTCTTTGATGTCTTCCAGAACATTTTGTCCAACAAAACCAGCGAAATCACTGCACACACAGAAGAACCGTCAGTTTTTCTTTGAGCCTGAGGAGAATTTCTGGATAGTGATGGTAAAGTTCTGTTAGGTGTTGTCCTACAACGGAAAGAGTTTCATGTCTCTTAATTATCTCCTTTTTTACCTTAATGTTTCTTATGGTTAATGTAACAGGTGGTTCGAAATCCAATGATTGAGAAACTGAATAAAGATGGCAAACCTCCCACAGTAGAATACCAGGAAGAAGAAATACTTGTGAGTACAAAGAGTCGTTCAGCAATAAATTTCTTTTCCACTATTTAGTTTAATATTTTATTTTCTATGGCTCATTTCTTTGCAGGACACAGTTTATGGCGCAGTTGTTAGACAGTGCTACAGTATGTACAAGGTCAGTTTCACTGTGGTTTATATTATGGTCTATTTTATAACCATATACTGTCAGGAGATATTTTCTCTTTAAATAATTATTATTTACCTTTTGTAGCTTTTTAACGGCACGTTTACCAGAGCGATGGAAGCTGGTGGAGTGGAGATGCTCATCCAGAAACTTGAAAAGTTTTTCTACAGGGTAAAAACAAATTTTCTCTTCATTTTTCATCTTTTGACAACACTTGTGTAACTTCATGTAAAGCTGTTGAGTAACATTTTCCTCTGCAGACACGCAGAATCCTTTGATTTCCCTTTATAAACTGTCTGTGTTTCACGCTGCTGTCTCAGCACTGGAACGTCAAAGCTCGCAGCGAAAAGAAAAAAAAAAAACATGAAAAATTCATCCCAGAAGAGGGAATACCCTTCTTAGGTTTACACAGGCTTCCCACCCCACGTGTAACTCTGAGACGGTGAGAAAGGGAGAGGCTGTGGGGAGCTGCCTGTCTCAGCTTAAATGTCAGAGCGTCTCTGTCAGAGCAAGTGATGCAAGTGTCTGCGTGTCAATCACAGTGCTTCTTATTCTGCTCTCCTTATTGCTTTGTAAGGAGGCACTGGTAGACGGGTAAACTAAGACCTTGCTCCTGTCCTTCTCTTGTGTCCTGTCATTTTTTGTGTGTGTGTGTTTCTCTGGTGGTTTGCAGTATCTGCAGACGCTCCACTTGCAGTCTTGCGACCTGCTGGATGTTTTTGGGGGCATCAGCTTCTTCCCACTGGATAAGATGACCTACCTGAAAATCCAGTCCTTTGTCAACAGAGTGGAGGAGAGCCTCAGTCTGATCAAATACACAGCTTTCCTGTACAACGACCAGCTCATTTGGTACTGATGAGATTCTTCTAAACTCACAACTGACGTTTACCATTCAACATTCAACATGTATTTGTCAACAGTTAGCCAATGCTTTGCTACAAAAAATAGCTAGATAGCTAAACCAATGTTCATTTAAATGAAACCTTGAATGAAACCTTCAGGTTGGACAATCATTGATTAAAGCTCAACTGGTTAATAACCAGCTAAATATCCTTATGAAGGTGGTTAGGAATTTAAAAGTAAACCAGTCACATGTAGCTGGGGATAAAGTTAGCATGGTTTGCCCTAATATCACCCAAAATATCATTAGGTTAAGTCTAAGTCAGTCCAGAAATGACACCGAATGTCTAAATATTTAACTGTCCTGTCTGCAGGAGTGGACTGGAACAAGATGACATGCGGATCCTGTACAAGTACTTGACCACCTCACTGTTCCCTAGACACTCGGAGCCCGAGGTGAGGAGGGGGAGGTAGCAACGGAGAGAAAGAATCAAATGTTTACAGCAGCCTGACTCTGCCTTAATAACATATGAAAAGTCTAAAATTCTCTCTGCGTTAAGAAGTATTTGCCACAGTGGCAGCAGTAGATGGGGAATAAAACAAAAACATACACATAAGTATAAATTGTGCCAAAGTACTGGTTGTGCTAATTACAAAAATATGTGGAAGTGAAAATTAGCCACCTGCAGATGAAAGCTGTTCCTTTGTCACAGAGAGGAGAGAAAGAAAACTAAAGGGCAGCAGGAAGGTTTAAAGATTTATTAAGATTTCTTTTGAATATTAGTGTTTTCAGGCTCAGATACTGGAACAAGTCCGGTGTTTATACTGAAAGTCTTGTTTGCTCTTCTCCTCTGTTAGCTGGCTGGCAGAGACTCTCCTCTGAGACCAGAGGTGGCAGGGAATTTGTTGCACTATGGGAGGTGAGACTTTGTCTTACACTGTAAAAAATACACAAGACTATTTTTCTCACTGTGACATGTAACTCAACAAATCTGTTTTTTTATTCTTCTAAATTTTTTTCTGTCCTCTACAGGTTTCTGACCGGACCTACGAATCTCAAAGATCCAGAGGCCAAATTCCGATTTCCTAAAATATTTGTCAGCACTCAGGACGGCTACGAGGAGCTGCACCTGATCGTCTATAAGGTGGAGTGGAGTCATTTTTCTGACAGTGTCAGGAGCTAATGTATTAAAACAGGATGGCGTCTGTTTCTCCTGATTAGGATTCCTTTAATCTCTGACTGTATGGATGTTTGAGATTACACGGCATTAGTGTTAAGATGATGAGGCCGGTCTGGTCACATTTATCATCACATTAATGTTATGTTTTTGTGTTTTTATAATGTGTGACCTGGATTCTACATTTAATGCACTTGTCTGATCTTTCCCAGGCGATGAGTGCTGCTGCGTGTTTCATGATCAGTGGTATGTGTGTTTCTGGGAAGATTCTTTTTTTCTATGTTTTGCTTATTTGGCTTCTTTTCTAAAACTCAACAGTTCTAGCTCCTGAATTGCTGTGATGCTTTCTCCTCTTCTGCAGCTTCTGTGGAGCTGACAAGAGAGTTCTGTGAAAAACTAGACGGCCTGGTCGGACCTCAGCTCACCCTGCTGGCATCTGATATATGTGAACAGTTCACCATAAACCGCAGGATATCCGGGTCAGTGGCGAATCCACAACGTCTGTATTTTTTACCTTCTTCTCTGGAAAAAAAAATCTTCATCTTCTGCTCGAAGATATTCTAACAGTAAGAGCTACAGTAAAAGGAGGAGCCATGTTTTCTCCTGTTTCTGCTAACTGTTGCTAACTGTCTGCTAATCCAGTCATTTTCATTGGGGCCTTTGGTGGCAGGGCTAAAGTAGACTCTACCTCTGAGCTCAGGTAATTCAAGGTAGTGCACCTCTTTAACTTGCCACCCTGGTGTGTGCTCTTTTCTAACGCTGGCACTTAGCATCAGACACGCTCGTCCTGTAATCTAAGACTGGACGTCCTGCCCCAGGGCAACTTGATGGGCTCTTTTTAATCACTTTAGTGAAGAATCCACTGAATAAGTAATGCCGTCCCAAATTCCTCAGAGGCCCTGTGTCCTGACATGACACTGGGGGGTGGGAGGAAGAGACACACACCAGCCTCAATAAAAATCATAGGTAAAGGTTTCCTTCGACCCTTATTGTTTTATTCTCCCAGGCCAGAGAAGGAGCCTCAGTTCAAGTTTATCTACTTCAACCACATGAACCTGGCAGAGAAGAGCACCATCCACATGAGGAAGACGGCCAGTGTTTGCCTGACCTCTGTCCATCCTGACCTCATGAAGATCCTGGGAGACATCAACTGTGACTTTGCCAGGTATGTAAGAACAGGGAGAAAGAAAATGTCTGCTGCAGGTCTCTTTCTGTGTAGTCAGGGTCACACAGTACAGCAGCAAGTCACATTGTCTCCTTATTTTAAAGTCGTCATGTGACTCCAATTATCTGAATGACCAGATGACTGCGAAAGTTAGAAAGGCATGAACATTAATGTTGTTATACACATTAGTGTGCACACTGTATGACCTCACTGATCTCGTGACCTCATTGAAATCAGATGTCTCTCTATAACTTGCAGTAACATTAAATAACTATACTGAATTACATACATGCAATGCATATTTTTATTGTGGCTAGCGCCACGTGTTGGAGGACATGGGTAATGTGCTTGAAATATGTGTTGATGCCACATTTCAGTGTCTTTGAACATTTATCTGTCCTTATATTAAATGTTATTTTAATAACTAGCTGTGCACGACACAGTAGGTCATGGCGTAGTTGGGATTACATGAGAAACTGTAGACCTTCCACTTATCACTGTTTGTTTTTAAATAATTGCAAAGAACCAGATATAGATGCAAAAATGTTTTATTCTTTTGTCCTTTTTGTTGTTCCCAGAGTTGATGAAGACGAAGAAATCATTGTCAAAGCCATGACGGACTACTGGGTCGTTGGCAAAAAATCTGACCAGAGAGAATTATACGTGATCCTCAATCAGAAGAACGCCAATCTGATCGAAGTGAACGGTAAATCACAGTTGTTGAATGGTAAAAAAGCTGTTGTTACAGAAACACCTAACAAGTCCCTAAAACCATCTTAATCTTTTTCTCTTCTTCTTTTTCACAGAGGCAGTCAAGAAACTTTGTGCGACACAATTTAACAACATCTTCTTCCTGGACTGATAAAGAGACAGACGCAGCCAAGCCGTCAGTGTTTCAGGCTTCGACTGTAACTTCAGCTCAGCAATGCAATAACTGCATTCTTAAATAAAAAAAAAGAATCCATGAATTTTTTTTATTTAATCTACAAAAATCTCATTTTGTAATTATGTGTAAACCTTTTTACTGTACATGTGCTTTATTTGTTCCTCTCTTTTCATTGTACATACATGTAGGATTTGGTTAACAGTTTTTCTTTTTTTTATTGAACATATTGTAATAATGTCTCGCATTAATTTAAAAACATGCACAGGACAGATCTCTCCAGTGTCTCCATCATCAGCGCTGCAGCGGTTTTAAATATGAGAATCAATTTTGTCAAAAGTATTGTTTGTAAAAAAAAAAAGCTTGAAATAAATTATGATTTAATTTTACTTGGTGTGATAACATATTTGCTCTGAATGGAATTTAATGATAAAGATGAAAAATATTCAACATTAAACAAATCTTAGATCATTAATGACCAGGACCGACAGGATCAAAGACGTCTATTCTATGATCCAAACCTGAAAACGAATGTAACATTTCTTAATAACAATAATTCTTAATAACATTTTGATTAATAACAATCAAAATGCAAGTATATGAAGCATCAGGTGTAAATATGAAGTTTTGCAGGTTTTAAAATGTGCGCAATAAAAACCCTGATGAAATTATACCGTAATTAAGAATATTAAACAAATAATAAAACAGGTTAATGAAAACATTTTAAGAATTAAGTCAATATTAAAATACTGAGAAAATGAAACCTTAATGCAACGAAGCCCTAAAATAAATCTATTTCAATATGGATGTTACGGAGCTCCTTTAAAGGTTAAACATTTAATTAATAAAACGTTTCTGGTGCTCACCTAAAACGTTTTGCTCATGTCCCTTTAGGGGCTCTTATAGTCTTATAGAAACTTATAGTTTCTTGTAAACTATCCATCGATTGTTTTCGTTCTGCTTCGGCATTTTTGTTGCCTTTGGTGAGCTTGTGCAACGTGCCAACCCGAGCTAATGAAACTAGCCAATCCGACGTTCAGTTGTGAGTGTTTTTTTTCCCCCCTGACGTACAGCCAATGAGCATAGTCATGAGTGATTTTCAAAAACTCGCCCGCCATGATTGTTGATGTGTTTTTAGGTTGATCCGAGTCAGTTCGTGTGACCCGCTGCTGTTCATATTTACTCAGCAGACTTATTTTAGTACGTCCGGGACTGGAAAATGGGTGAGTCTTTAATATAAATTAAATAGTTAAACCGTTAAATAGCGTATTTGATGTGTTTTTGATTCTAAACCGTTACGTTATTCCGAAGCGCCCTTTCGTTTCCTGGTCATGAAGCTAATGCTAGTGGCTAGCTAAATAAAATGACATTTGCGATGTGTTTTCATTGGTCTTTCAAAACACGTTAGTGATCGTCCCTTACTAAACACGAAAAAACGACACCCCTTTTTAATAAACCAAACAATAATATAAATAATATAAATACAAAAAGTATAGTCTTTGTGTTCACAACACGAGATTGCATATTTAATTAAGTTTTTTCACATTATTTCGTGCCTGTATTATTTGTTTACGCTTTTCCCCCTCAACGTTGTCAGTGCAATGTTCTCTTTACGATCACTTTACGATGTTGTAATAACTTAGGTGATTTTTATGTAGGCTACTGAAAATTCTTCTCGTATTCATGTTGAACTAAAAACGATCGTATCAATCTTTTTTTTTTTTTACCGTTTAAGGTATTTTCATCAAGCAAAATAAGCCAGTGTATACTTCCCTAAACAGTAAAATGAATACAAAACCTGTGGTCTTTGAAAAATACATTGTTACATTAAAAATGTTAAATGGACTGTAATTGTGTTTTGTTTTCAGAATTATCCAGGGAACATTTCATCCACCATTTTCCTCTGATTTAGATTATATTATATTAATTCATATTTTGATCTGCTCTCTAAATACCCCAGATCAAATGGAGTCCAAATTTTCTCACCTGCGGCGGCGGGACACCAGTGTGTCCATGTTGAGGGTCAAAATGTCCCGCAGAAAGTCTCAGACGCTGAAGGAGAATCGTGACCGTGCTGTGAACAGTCGCAGGCAGTTGGACAAGCTTCCAGAGCTGGAGGCTTCCTCCCTGGATGCCTCCATAGCCATGGCCAACATGTCAACCATCGTGGAGAAAACTCAGAGTAATGCTAAGAGTGTTAAAGGTAAAACTTCTACCTCCACTCCTGTGATGTTTGTGGGGTTTTTTTTTTTGTTTTTTTGGAAGATATTGTGATGGGGGAACTTTAGTTTTAATTTTATTGTTTTACTTGTTCAGATTCAGCTTTAGAAGAGAGGATAAAACGGCTGGAGGAATGGAAAAAAAATAAGGCTCTGGTAAAAGAGAAGGAAAAGAGAGAAAAAGAGCGGAAAGGGATATTTAAGACCGGCATGTATCACCCTAAGGACACTTTCACCTTTGGTCCTCAGCCTGTGGTCCCTGTTCCAACTAAAAGGACAAAAGAGGTGAGGGCTGGCAGTACAGTATCGATGATTTAACTTGATATCATAGCATGTACAATCTGTAGATGCACAGACAGACTGATATCAGTCATTTTTCAGATAAAAGTGGATATCGCTGTATCCCAGAGCACCAGAGTCACTCGTGATGTAAAACAACAACAGCAGCAGCAGCAGCAGGTACATCCGCTGTCACCCATCTAAATTTAAAATATAAAATTCTTGAGCAGTTAGACAATCTTTTTCTTCCTTTTTCTTGTGAAGCCTCTGAAGACACAAGACCCAAACACTGCAATGAAGAAAGGTAAATGAACAGTTTTGTACTCAATGTCTTCCTTAATTTCACAGGTGGTATTATAACTGTTTTTATGGGGAGATATATATATATGAATAAACGGCATGACTTTATAAATAAATAAAAGGCATGACTTTTGCATGATTTGAAATGATTTCCTGAGTTTTTGTTCCTCCTCAGCTCAACCTGCTGTCGAAAGGTTGACCTGGACCCGGGCTGCACCAGTCAAGGCTGCACCAGCTACAGCTCTGAACAGGACTAAGGTTTCTGCTGGTAAGTACTGAGGATGAACTGGACCGGGTCTTTGGCCATCACACTGATTAAACACGGTTGTGTTTCCTTATTGGCATCTCAGTCTCTGTCTTTGTGTCACACCATCCCACTGTAGTGGTGCCCAGTGGACAAGCTTTGCAAAGCAAGTCAGCCATCAGGCCTCCTGTTACAGTAGCCACGGCAGTGAAAGACAAACCCAAGGACAAGCCTGCAGGTTTAAACAAACACAGAGTGGAGTTTTCATTCTGGGGATACACTGTGAAAATATTGGAAATAAGGGGAATGAATTGTTTTTTAAAAATATAGTACTTGCATTAAAATGAATATAAATCTTGTCTAATATTATTTTTCACCTACAGATGTAAGAATCACAAGGAGTCGAGCCAATAATAACGCTGTAGCACCCTCCTCAGGCAGAGGAAAAAACAGCAGAGGTATTCTGAAAATTGATGTTATTTGTTGTCTTTATTTAAATGTTTTTATTCACCCATTTTCTATTTGAATTCACAGCACCTGTCAGTAAGGTCGTCATGGTTAGTATCATTTTAAACACACATGTTTATTTATTATATTTCATGTCTTCAAACTGTAGTTTGATGTTTCTATTCTGTGTAGGAGCTTGAGCTGGAGAAGCCTTCAGAAAATCCTAACCTTCCATCTTCTGAGGAGGAGAACATGATAGTTGACCCTGATCCTGCTGACTTGGCACCCGATCAGAATCCAGTGGAAGCTACAGTTCCAGTTTGTCTTCCTTCATTTGCTCCAAAGGATTTTGTCTTCCAGGCCCCTGATGGACTGTTGTCCTTCAGATTCGAGCCGATGACTCCTCGCACAACAGACGCTTTCCTTACACCAACGTACTATTTTAATTTTTTTTTTCATTGATATGTTGTGGCTTTACTGGCTCTCACAGAGATGAAGTGTCAATTGCCGACCTAATGTCTGTCTTTTTTGTCTTCTTTCCCAGCTCCAGTTTCAATCTTCCACCAGCTCCTGTCTTTAGTGATGAGCCTCAGAGTGAATCAAGTCAATCACTACCACCAAAGTCTCCTCTTCATTCTCCACCTCAAACATCTATTGTAGCTCTTCCAACTCCAGGCAGCCCCACGGAACCCAAGCATGATGTGCCTTACTTTAGGTGGCTTTTTTTGAAGCTGTAATAATTATAATCTTCTGCAGAATTTTTACTGAATCTCACTTTTAATCTTGGTGTTTTCTTTCTTTTTTTATTAGGTCTGAGATTTCTAGTGAGACAGAGCGACTCACAGCTCTATGTGTCCACTGGGAGTGTAAAGTGGAGGATGAATCCATCCCAGAAGAGAGTGAGTTCTGTGTCCATATATGTCTATTTGATGTAGGTTGAGTCACATGACTCCATCCCCTGTTTCAGACCACGATTCACAGGCGTACACAGAAATGTGACCAGTGAACGAGGCTCAGTAACACAGTGCTGCTCATATATAAAATGACACTGTTCTTTTTTGTGTGTTCAGTGAGAGATGGCATACGTACAGCCATCGGCCAGGCCAGGCTGCTGATGAAGGAGCGTTTCAAACAGTTCACTGGTCTGGTGGACGACTGCGACCTGGGCCGAGGAGAGAAGATCACCACATGTACTGACCTGCAGGGATTCTGGGACATGGTTCATTTCCAGGTGTGTTTTTTTTTTTTTTTCACAAAAGAAACAAAAAAATGGAAAACATGGCCTAAATTTAATTAAGAGTTAAATTAAACTCTTAAAACTTTTCCTTTCTTTTTTTTAGGTAGAGGATGTCGGTAAGAAGTTTGATGCTCTAAAAGAAGCAGAGGCTGGGGGCTGGGTGGAGGAGCGCAGACCCCCACCACGACAGAGGAAGGTGGTGAAGGTCAGGACACTTGAATATGATTTTTTTTTTTTACCTCATGATTACACACTAGACCAGGGGTCTCATACTCCCGGCCTATGATACACATACTGGCCACACATCAATAATAATAATGTAGTTGTGTGCAGCTTTTTTTCTTGCTTTACTTTTACTATAATTACGATGACCATGTATTTTGATACTGTTATAACTTTGTTAATAATAATTTGTTTATTAAAGCAAATGCAGCTCTTAAATGCGATGACAGTGAAGAGTGTGGGAGTTTGAGAGCCCACCATACATGATTAAACGGCCATGTGTCTTTGTTTGGTCAGAAACCAGCAGCCGCTCCTGCAAAGGCAACAGGAACCAAAGCCGGGGCCAAGTCTCGTCTGGCTGCTGCCAAAGCTGCCATGAAAGCGAGACAACAGGCAGCTGAGGAAGAGATGGCTGCAAAGAATGCTGGGTACTGTCAGGATGACTCCGTCGCAAACTGTCAGGAACTACAATCACGAGCAGAGCAGCCAACGTCAGAGTCGGGAGTCTCTGATGAAGGCTGTTTCCAGGTGGAGAGTCCAGTCAAAGCACCAGGTAATGAAGGAGTGTGCGGCTGACGACACCTTTACTCCTGTCAACAACTGTCTTTCACAGTTCTGTTGCATCTGTAGGTTTGGTGAGGAGATCAACTCGTCTCAGCGGTGCCGTTCTACCTCAGGCTTCTTCCTCTACCAACTCTGTGACACCAAGGAGGGTCACACGGAGGTCACTTGCCTTGGTTCAAACCCCTGTACAGACAAATGTGTGCTCTCCTGCTCACTCCAGCCTCACTCCTGCTGCCATGCGTCTCACCCTCGATAAAGCAACAAAGTCCCAGAATTCCACTCCTCGTTCCACCCAGAAGAGGAAGTGTGCCACAGACACCTCACTGTGTTTTTCGCCTGTAAAAGAAGTAATGTCAGGCGATGTTCACCCAGTAGAGGTCGCTGCACAACAGTCAGAAACGGATGGTACGCAGGAAACTAACACGGCTGGACCTTTTTACATGCTTCCATCGTTCTCTGTAGAGGAGGTGGAAGAAAAAGCAGCTGAAATGGTGGAGGACGTTCCTCCTGTCTCTCCAAGATCGTCTTTGTCTCCATGCAAAACTCCTCCTTCTCCCGTCTCCCAGGTCCCAGAGCCGTTGTCATCTCTCAGTTTTTCACTTTCACCCTCTGAAAGCTTCAGCCAACCTCCCATCACTTCCGCGACTATCGTGCAGAGTCAGACTGAAGCTCCAGACTCTGTGTCTGTCACACCAGACACCTCAGTTGTGGAGGTGAAGATGGTTCACATCTCCAACACATGATTTAACTTGACTGAAGTGTTTCCACATTAAAAAAAATTGTAATTCCAGGAAATGCCGGGCTTGGACTGGGATCGTTACCTCAGGCCGTCCCAGAGATGCAGTCTCTCACCCAGAGACACAGTCCCCATAGAGACACTGTCACCAATGGCAGTGGATGTGGAGATGGAGAGTCCAAGAGGCCGACCTGACGACCTGTTAACCCGAGAACCAGGTACACTTGGTGTATGTGTCTGTGGGTGTGTTTTCTAAGGACAACAACTGAAGTTCACACCTGTCGGCTTCAATATGAAATTACCTCATGATTAAGGAGGCTGCAGCTGATTGGTTAAATTTGGTTCATCGGTGAAGCTGCACAATTGAAAATATTTGTAATAAATGAAATGGTTTGTTTGTTTGTTTTACTAAATTATCTTTTTACTTCTGTCTCTGCCTGGTGTTGGCGCTCACGCTCTCTGTCACCACAGCTCTGCCAGCAGTGCCTTCAGTCTTTGCTGTTCAGTCTCCACAGGTGAAGGCTTTCTTCTATTTACTTTTCCAACTCCTTCCCATTTTCGTCACAGGTCTTTTCAGAAATACATTCTTTATTATTGAGCTTTTCTCATTTTTGTCACTTTTATGGTAATTTCAGGTCCAAACAGCCGAGTCTGCTCTGCTGCTTTTCACCCCAGAGCTGAAGGACAGGATACGTCAGTCGGTCTGTCCCAGTGACCTCATGACCTTCACTCCTCCTTCAAACATGTAACAGATTTTTTTAATTTACTTTTACCTTTTTAATTTTTTTTACATAGTAAAATAACTTTGTTACCCTACTCTTTGTGGGAAAAAAATGGATCTGATTTTTAAACATATTTTTTTTAGATGATTGTTAAATACTGTAGTATTTGTCCTTCTAAGTGGTTTTTATTAAAGATTGGGTTATTATCAAAATTAAACATCTAAACTCTTTAATTTTTTCATCCTAACTAAAAAACAAAAAAACTCTACAGCAGGGGTGTCCACACTTTGTTGGCTTGGGAGCCACTTTTTCAAATGACTAGACCAAAGTGATCTACCTACAGGAATAATATTTAATATATAAAGCCATATGAGCTGAATATACTTTATATAACACATTATGATTAAATAGCTGTAGCTGTGTGGCACAATATGATTCAATACTTGTATTGTTGCTGATCTAGTCCTAGGGATTTTTTTATTTTAATTCCTCATGATCTACCAGTACTCCCTTTGCGATCTACTAGTAGATCCAGATCTACTTATTGGGCACCCCTGCTCTACAGGAACAAAAGTAATTAAGACCTGAAATATAGAATGGATGGAATTAAATTACGACCTTTCAAATAAACCAAATCCTGAAACTTAAATGATGAAAAACATTGTAATTATTAAAAATGATTGAATATTTTGCTACATCAAAAGTTTGGCAGTACAGTTTTTGGTTTAGTCATTTGGAAACTGCACCATGGCCGAAATGAAGCTGACTTAAACCTTATTATGATGTTTAAGTTGTGGGTCATTGTTTATATAACCACACATATATATATATACACTTTTCCAACTTAAGAAAAGCTTTGTTTGAACTAAACCAAAGTGTCAAAGGTCAGTATGTAATGTTAGAAAAGAATCTGATGTTTTTATCACTTAAGCTTTTCTTAAGTTGGAAAAGTGTGTGTATATATATATATAACTCTAAAGCAATGTTGACAAAATGAAAATGGCTGAAACCCTGGTGTTATCACTGAGCCTCAGTGTGTGGACTTGAGTCAGGCTTTATTATTGATCATTGTATAGAAACATTTACTTGAATTGTGCACGGAAAACGCTGTGCTGCTACAGTCGCGGTTGTTTGGTGAAAACAAACCATCATTGTCATAAAACGTTACAAAATAGTTTTCTCAGGACGACAAGTGACTGCTGTTGTCCCCTTAGCTACAGTGATGCTAAGTCTACGAACTTAGTCCTTCTTCCTTCATCATTTTGGTGATCAGCTGATGATGTTCAACTGCAGGGAAGAAGCAGTCATTGAAGAACTGGTGGATCATCTGGTGTTTGGCTTCTCTCTCTCTCTGTCTTTGCCTTTGACGTTCTTCTCTCCGTTCTGAGAAGAAATGCATGTTTTATTTTAAAAGTGCTATTTGTTGGTATTCAACCGTAAAGAAAAGAAGAACCCACCTGCAGACAGACGCCGGGCTTCAGAGTCGCCTTCTTGTAGACTGCTAGAACTCTCCTGTGTACTGGAAAACTCTCCGGAGTTAGTGAATTCTCCTTCCTGTGGTTAGATACATTAGATTTTTATAAGGTTTATGGTATTTTCCTTGGTTTTGCCATTTGGTATTTGATATTTGGTAAGTCAACAAAATAGTAATGCTGACTCACCGACAGCAACGAGCTGCTCTCCAACTCTGACCGGTCGCTATTGTCCGTGTAAGACCTGGATGAGGGCTGCTCCATGTCCACTGGGGACTGAGAGAACTGTGGACACTTCACCTCAGCTGAGCCGAGCAGGACCTCGAAGAACTCCAGGAATGTTATCTGTAAAGATCACAGAAGAGACAATCAGCCATTAGTTGGCAATGAAGAAGATGCAGGGTGTCGACATGTGTAGGAATGTGACCTTCAGACTCAGGCTGGAGGTCAGATTGTTGGGTTCAGGACTCTCCAAGGTGATGATCTTCAGTAACTTCACTGTGGTCAGCTTGTCGTCCAACAGATGGAGATCCTGATTAAAAAATATATTGGGGTCTTACACTTGGTATTGACACTTTGATACATTTGGAGCCCAAACTAGAGTGTCTAGAAAACATGGATTTATTCTCTACTTGTCTGCCACTCCCGACTTCTGACTAAACACCTGTATAATAGTCAAGCTGCTGTAGAATGGTACGGGACTTGACCTTGATTTTCGTTTGTTATACTGCAGAAACAGTCTTTCTGCTGAAAGCAGCAGCCTTGTCTGACGCAGAAACATAAGCTCTATCTATACAGCGGTAAAATACCCTGTACAGCCACAGCAGATGTCTGTAGGTCATCATCTTGTCATCAGTGGAGCCCGCATAGAGTCTGCCGTAGATATGGTAGACCTCCCAGCACCTCTTCATGTATGTCATGGTCGTGGCTGAACAGTCAGGAAGTCGAAAGACAAAACCTACAAAACACAGCTGCAGTTAACGCCAGACTAGTCTGAGTGTGTTAATCCAGCCATTCAATGATGTGATGGAAGGACCTTTCACCCTCTTGGCATTAGGGAGGATGTCTTCTATCAGCAGTTTGGACAGACAGGCAGCCAGAAGGTACTTTGGAGAGCTGTGGAAAAAGAAAATGATGACAAGGTTTTGGCCTTGGTAAGACTTCAACCTGAAATGGCAGAATGTTGCTGTGGTTGCTTTCATCACCGACCATAAAGATATGATATGACACAAATATAATATTATATATATATATATATATATAACTAATATTAGTATCAGAGGTAGAGGTGTATGGTTGTCTTACTCCATGTCCTCACTTAGGATGTGATAGGCAATGATGACAAAACAGCTCAGGAGTCCACGCAGCGGAATGGAGGTGAAAGGTGAGTGGTTGTTTTTTTCTGTGTCTTCTGGGAGACACACAACAACTATAAGTGAGAAGTCCAGTCTAAGTCAAAGCACCTGACTGAATCTCATCTCAACCACAGCGACACGACCGTCGTTCTCACCACTGATTAAACGGTCGATCTCTGTCAGAGTGATGTCATGGTGGATGTAACAGTCTTTCAGCAGACGCCACAGCTGCAGACGCGACAGCAGGAAGATGTTGTTTGGCGACCCGGTGGAACCCAGTCTGCTGTAGAAGCTGTAGATGGACCTCAGCTCTGCGTTGTTCCTCAGAACAGCAAACTCCACCTGCAAACACAGGGACAAGAACATGTATGACAGTAAATATTTTTATTTTTTGTATTTTGAACTTGTTCTGCTAATGACTGTGAATTTGAACCTGTTTGAGCTCGTTTTGACGCCTTTTCTCAGGGATGTTCTCCAGGAGACGTTCAATGTTCAAGGTCATATCTGGCCCCAAGACGGAGGAACCACTGCGAGACAGAAGAACGGCACCTGTGACAGGAGTGGGGAGAAGGTAAGGTTCTGTCACGGTATCTCACTAAAATAACTCTGCAGCTTATATTATGGTTTTACAACAACCAATCTGAAAAAACCCATGTGTGGATTAACCTGCATATCAATCAATAGAAAAGTACTTTACCACAGAGAGGAGTCAGTGCTCGGTTCCCGTTCATGTTGGTCATACGATCATCCACAAACTGTCCTTCAAAAACATGTCCGTCCTTAAATGTGAATTTACCCTGTGATTCACATCATCACCATGGTTACAAGAGGAACCTTTTTCACTGTACATCCTGACGGTGTCATGTCTCCACAGTACCTTCCCATGTTTCTTATTGTTCCTCCACTCGCCTTCATAGACGGCACCTCCAGCGTAGAAAAACGTTCCGTGTCCGTGCCTCTGGCCGTGGACAAAATCCCCCGTGTAACGATTATTCCGGGAATACTGGGAAATGTCTGTCCTCCTCAGGATCCAGACATGTGTTCCCAGTCCATGCTGTTGGAGCAGTCCCAGCAGGAACATCAAATAAATTAGTACGTGTTTACATTAGTAAATTAGTCTTCCTTAGTCTGTGTTTAGTTTGTGATTTTTGTCGATTAGTCGATATCAATGTTTAAAAATCTTTAGTTACATAAATTGACCACAAGATGTAAGAGTAAAGCAGTAGCACATGTGTCCTCTATGGACATTTCTGTGGATTTCTTAAATACCTGCACCCCGTTCTGCCACATGCCCACATACTCCTGCCCCAGCTTCATCCACTTCATGGTGCCCTCCCCATGCCTGAGATTGTTCTTCCACTCTCCAGAGTAGGTGTTACCAGAGGGAAAGCTGTTAAAAACAAAGGATGTTTCCTTTAATAATCAAGGTTACAGAGTTGCTGGTGAATTTAAACCACATATGAATCCATAACAACCATCTGTCTCCAGATCCCTGTCTGCTGTTCTTCACCCACTCTCCTTTGTACCAGGATGTCTTAGACCCGTTGAAAAACATCACACCCTAAGAGAGGAATAAACACGTATTTATCCCTGTAGGTCCTTCCCTCTTGTCTGTTATGTACGTACACACTGTATAAAAACAGCACACACAGCTCTGATAACTGAGGTAGTCTAGAAATAAGACAGTAAAAATATACTATATAAAGGATAACAAAGACTTGGCCTAATGTTAGCTAAAGTTGGCCTTAACATTTGGCAAAAGTTTTATCCAACATGACAGCTAACAGTTAGTCCTGCTGTAGCATTAGGTCAGTGAAATGATATTAATAATATGAAGTCAGACCAGCAGACCTGTCCGTGCCTTTTGCCCTGATCCCACTGCCCGATATAGGACACTCCATATTTGATACAGGTGTAGGACCCAGTTCCGTGTCGCTTTCCGTTGTAGATTTCCCCTGTGTAGGAACTGCCGTTGGCCCACGTGTAAGTGCCCTGACCCATGGGCATGTTGGACACAAATTCTCCCTGTTCAGTCCCAGGACATTTCCATATCAGTTATGAAATCACCAGAACAATGATACTTCCTTATCGTGTTTTAGGCCGTGATGGACTAATGTAGCAGTATGTTCATCATATATAAAATATAATTTATGTCAAATGTGAAAATGATTGATGGCGTACAAAACAAAATCAGCCCTCCCCCTTGAAAACCTTTACTGTACCTCATATTTCATGCCCTTTGACCATGTGAAGACACCATGTCCATCCATGAGTCCTTTGCTGAATGTGCCCTGAAAATAGTTCAAATAAATTAGTATCACACTTTCATTTAGTCTCACTTTTTTTTAATGCTGTATTTTACCGTGAACATGTGACCTCCTTCAAAACACGCAACGCCCTTTCCATGAGGCAGCTCCTCTTTTGTTTCTCCTTCATATCTGTCCATACCAGAAACACCAGAGGGTGAAGGGAGGGAGGGAGGTAAGGAAAGAGAGGCAAAGAAGGGAGAGAGAGGTAATTGAAGTGAGGGAAGGCGAGAGAAAGGACAGCAGGAAGGAAGGGAATAAAGGAAGAGGTTAGAAGAAAAAGGATGGTGATCAGAAAATGTGTAAAGAAAGAATTCTTGGCTTACTTTTCAATATTTATCCTGAGTAGTGCAGGTAGTTGGAAATCCTCCTCATCTTCTTCCTCTTCCTCCCTTTCCTCGTCCTGTCCTTCCTTGTCTTCCCCATGTTCCTCCTCTTGCTCCTCCTGTTGTTTTTCCTCCTGTTGTTCCTCCCTTTCCTCCTGAGGTCGATCACTGTTTCTCTCCTCGTCTCCTTGTTGCTCCTCTTCCTCAGTTGGACTCTCTTTGACTTCAGAAAACTGTTCCTCTGAGTTGTCAGAACACGTCGCTAAGTTTTTGTCCTTATCTGCTTCCTCTTCTACCTGTGACATGTTGTTTTTGTGTTATTTTGTTTAAATCTAACTTTGTATTTCGGCTCCTGTCGCAGCAGTTATGTTTTTCGTCTCTCCCTGATGTTTTACGGCAGTTTTTACAAATCATAGTATATTTTCCGCTGATTTTTCTTTTGTCCTTTTCAAAGGATTCAAAGGATTATTTTCTTGTATTTCCGTTTTACAAAAATGTATTATTACCATTATTAAACATTTTACGGTCAATTACAATCAACAAAGTCGAATTGGTTTGTCTACCTACCGAGTTGTTTCTAACGCACGGCGGAGGCTCGTCGCCATAGAAACGCCTAGGACGCTTTTGACTACGGCAGGGTTGCTGGGTCAAAAAACGTCAGCGAGTTTTTTAGAACAAATATACTGAAGTGTTTGTGTCTGATCGATAAAGTTTGATTGTGATTTGGCAGAATCAGAGAATTGGAGATGGCAAAAAATAACAAAAACAAAATGCATACACCTTTGTAAAAGTACTTTATAATTCAAATGTTTTTGATCAAGGGATTTTCTTGTCAGGTATTTAAGATGGCACACTTTGTAGGCTAATGAAAAATAAAGATAAAGTTCAAGTTTAGCAACAAAAAAAAAATCGCAATTAAAACTTAAAAATGATCTTCCAGGCTGTGTCCATTTCTCATTTGACATTGTGTCAAAAATTCTATAAAACTTTCTTTTTTAAGTCTTTATAAACCCTTATGTTCAAACATGTCTGATGACAATGATGAGACATTGTTTATTTATTTATTTTCAATAAAAAATGTACATTAATGTAAAAAAAACCTAAATGACAAAACATCTTGAAACATATTTATCAAAAACACAAACATTTGGAATCTGAACAGTGAAGTGAACAGCAATGTCTCCAGTGTGTCTTTCTGTCCTGGTTCAGGTCCAGGTCAGTCTGGGGAGATGATGTCCAGGTTGGCCAGGTGTCTCATGGTGGGCCGACCATGCGGGCAGTTCCAAGGATGCTCAATTTCCCCCATGTGGACGACGAGCTTCTTCATCTCGCTGACACTCAGGGCTGTGCCGATCATGATCTGAATATCAAAGTAACAGGAACAGACGTGAGAACATTAGAACCACTCTTTATTAAAGCCAAGAGCTAGAATGTTTCCAAACCCACAGATTTTCGACAGGCTCTGGAGGCAAACATCTGTCTGACTCTGGACGGTCGGCACATGACGCCCGGACTGTCTGTCAACATGAAGATCAACTCCTCGATATCAGCTGGACCAAATGTCCAGTTCTTACTGGTGGGCAGAGACACCAGTTTGACCCTCTCCATCACCTGAGCTGCAGCCAGGACAAAAACAAATGTGAGAATATTCAAATAAAAAAAAAAAGACAAATGAAATTATTCGTATGCTACCTTCTTCCTCGATCTGAAACTCAAAGCCGTTCTTTCTAAAAATCTCAATGTTCTCCATGAGAATGTTCTCACTGACAGCTGTGAGCTGGAGTTTCTGAGGGCTGCAAATACACAAAAAACACAATTTCATTTATTGCCATAATTGGTCCTTGAGGTTTGATGTGGTTCCTTAGTCTTAGTCTGCAGCTAATTTGACACCAGGGTTTGAGACTCTTACATGATGAGTTTCTGTCCTTGTAGGACCGTGTGCTGCTGCAGCATCTCAAAGTTGTACTTCTCATCTGTGGCGTGCTGGTCGATCATAAAGATGTCTGAGTTGAGCTTGGTGATGATGAAGCCCAGGTTGAACTGACCAATGATCTCCATCTCTTTGAACATGTCTTTGCTGCAGAGATAAACATTAGGTTTAACGACTCAGGTTCAGAGAGAGTTACTTGTCACAGCAGTCAGCTCTGACCTGATCTCCTTCTTCAGCTCCTCCTCTGCACTCTGGTTCTCTCCAGGGTTGATTTTGGCCTTGAAGCGTCGGTATCGAAGCTCATCAACTGCCTTTTGTCTCTGCTGGTTCTTCATCCTCTGGATTTTTCCTTCAAGCTCTTGTAAAGAGAACTGTAGAGTTACTGTTGTTCTCTGCTGACAAACAGGAGCGTCCAACTTGTTGTTCAAGGATTCAGCAGAGACGTTACTTAGGGGAGTGGATTTATGTTCTCTGGGGTTCTGTGGATGTTCTACCTTGGCCCTTTTTGTATCCGGGCTCAAAAGAAAGTCCTCTTTTGAAGCAAAAGGCTCAGACTGTGCCTCTGGCTCCTCGGTGTGAACATCATCATCAAACATTTCTTTATCTTTGTCATCAGGAACGTCAATGGCTCCAGGAAAACTCGCCTCCAGACCAGAACATTTAAGTTCTGTGATTGCAGTCATGAGCAAAGGACTGTCTTTTTCCTCCTCTGCATCACCACTTGACTTGTTCCTGTACCTGAAACCATCAAGTACAGATTTCTCAGATTTCAGAGGTGATTTTAAACTGCAGTCTGAAACTGAAGGTTTGACTTCAGACTTGAAGAACGACTGCAGAGTTTTCTGTGCTGGCCCACTGTTGTTACTGCCATTTGCTGCCTTCGCTGTACCTGTTTTGCTCCCAGCATTTGTGCTGTAATGATTTGAAAAGACAGCTTTAAGGTTGGCCAGATTCAGGGATACCTTTGGACTCTGTAACTCTGATCCTAAATGTTCTTGGATGTTCTCCTCTGAAGGGACAATGTGACAAATGTTAGCTGTGACGTCTAAAGATTTGGAGCTTGGCACGTGTGTGTAGTTGAGGCTGATTTTATTTGCTCCGGCCTCATACAGAGTGATAAGGGAGCTCTTCAGAATGGCCAGCAACAGCTTCTCCTCCTGCAGGAAAATCTGACGTTTGTCCGGAGTCACGTTCACATCCACACATTCTGGAAAAACAAGACAGACAAAAGTATGACGTCAATAAAGTCGATGCGCCTTAGACTAGGTTTTTGATGGTGGTTTTCTCACCTGAAGCGACAGCTATATTCAACGCAACAAATGGATACTGATGTCTGTTGTACATGTGGTAGACCTCATTCACAACTTTGGTCACCTGAGTAAATATAAACCACAAATCTATGGGTTTGGAACTTTACATTTGCTTTGTTAGGAATTATATCTAATTCTGGAGATTTTTTAAAGACAAATTTGATAAAGTATAAGATTTTTTTAAAATTTAGTCTAGTTCTAAATTACCTTGAGTGGATCACATGGTCTGTTGTTGACGAAGTAAAACTGTCGGTCTGTAGCACTTCTTCCAACACCATGGTCAGCACGTGACACAAAACCTGTGATGCTGCAGAAGTACACAACTTCTAATACTACAGCTGTCGAACAGGTTACATTTTTATTCTGATTATTCACAGGGTCTGAAATTGTATTTCCCACTGTGTGTATAAAACAGTATGTGTATCAATGTGCATGTCATAAATATAATAAGATTAACATTAATATCACCATTGACATTAATTTCACAGCACTTGATACAGAGATGAAGATAACAGGGAGAAGAACATGGGTTTTCTCAGTAACTTACGTGAATAGCTGCTTAGGAAGCTCAGCATCATTCAGTCCATATTCTTCAACGATGTTTTCAGAAGGAGACATTTGTTCAAAGGGCAGAAGAGTCTGTAGCTGTGGAAAAATGTGGTTCCAGGTCTTAAATGCTGACATTCTTCTGCAGTTAAATGTACAAATGTTAATATTCCTAAAGTGTTTCAACCTGTTTTGGACCAAAAATAGCTCCTATGTTGTCTCTCATACTGTGGCTGCCGTTGGTGCTGAGGACCGTGCTGCGCTTTCCTTTCTCATTTTGGTTGGAGCAGGTGATTCGGACCCCTGTTGAGATGATGCAGTACGACTGCAGGACGTGGAGCATTTTGGCATATTCCTACAAAACGTTATGAACACAGCAAACTTACCTACGTGCTTTTCACCCCAAAACTAGTACTTTGTTGATATGCTGAAGTATAGACAATCATTGTATGCTCCATGCATTCACCCTCAATATTGACTAAAGAAAAATTCACAAAATTTTAATTACGTTTCCAAATTGTTTCCACAGGAAAAAAACACGGAATCAAATTCTTTGCAACATGTTTTAGGCCTTCAAAATTCCTAGTTACTGCAGTCGAAATGGTGTTGAACTTTACTGATGTATGTGAATGACTCTTGGTTGACCAACCTTTTTAATATTGCGCTGGAACTCCTTGTGTCGCACAGGAAGTGTGGCAAAAAGCTGCAGTAGACTCACTGTGGTGCCCTGCTGGCGAGGCTGAGGTGAACGCTGCACTAGATGACCTTTGTGGTCAAACACTAGCTTCGTTCCCACTTGCATAGACTCATGACAAGTCACCACACTCAGGTCACTGGGGAAAAGTAAGTCAACTATATTAAGTGACATTTCAAAATTTTATTGCAAGCAAATGTCAAAATGAGAGTGTTTTACCTAAGAGCACATAAAGAACTAAGGGCTTCTCCTCTGAAACCAAATGTTTCCACATGAATGAGGTCAGAAAAATCCCTGAGCTTTGATGTGTGGTGTTTTAATGCTGCGGAAAAGACAAAAACATGTCACTTTATCAACAAAAGGAAAAGCAGACCTGCATTATTTACTAGATATTTTTGACACTCACTCAGTCCTTCAAAGTTGGCCTCCTCCACACCTTTACCATTGTCTGACACCTCCACAAGCTCTACTCCACACTCCTTTAGTTTCACATCTGCAACAACGTGTACAAGGTTTAATTCAACGATCCAATCGTGTCAGAAACAAAAGAGCATAGCGCTTGACTCACCAATGTTGGTGGCCCCTGCATCAATGCTGTTCTCAACCAGCTCTTTGACAGCTGTGGCTAAAGTCAAAACCACCTGTCCTGAACAGATCTGATGCACTGAGTTCTTGTCAATAGCCTTAATGGCTCCAGCAGGGTCAGGGCTGAAAAGACGGGAGAGGAAAATAAATGACCATTTATCATTTCTCTTTACTTTGAGACACCAGGGTTGTTGACAGATTTACACCTTGCATGCTTCAAAGCATCAACGAAACATCAGATTGCATATATAAGAAAACTTTACACTTTGCATTAACAAAGTGTATGCAAACACAATGACAGGGACCTCACCATGCGTCAGACATCTTCAAAGCCTGAAGAACGAAGATAATGTTATTAAAGTTTTATAAATTACGTCATGTTATTATAGAAATAGACAGCCTAGAATTGAGGGGTTTATAATAAGTCACTATATATTTTGTGGGATTTAACGCCTTTTTGCGCCTCTGTGTTGATATAAACACAAACGAGAAGCCAAACCGCGCAGTCCGCTCTTGGTGTTCGCGAACGTCACTGGTGCCCACAACTGCGCAATTCGATTATTGCGTTAAAAAGTCAAAGCAAATTGTGTTACCCACATGTAAGTACATGAAAAACATTAAAGTAACCAATGGTTTTAGTGCGAATATAATCAATTTTAATTCATATGTTTTGTTAAAACGATTGCCATGAAACGTGTAAATTTCATCATCAATGTGAACTTTCACCTTGCAAGGGTTCATCTGCGAGTACGTCATATTTACACAAAAAGAAGAAAGAATTCCGTTTTGCAGTCCTATGTCAAAATTTTCAACACGTCAACTTTGTTTCCCTGAGGTCATAATCGTATTGGTGTGGTAACTTTGATTGGCGTTGTTTACCCTGAAATCTATTTTTAAATAATAAACCAAAGTCTCTTGTTGTCTTTTCTCAGACGGCCCCTTAAGCGGCTTCTGGCCGTTTATAGCTTTGTGTATCATGGTTCTGCTTATGGCTGTTTAGGGATAGTTCAGTATTCCGACACATTCATGTAGTAACAGCTGTTGAAGCGAGAGTTTAATTTGTATTTTAAAACGTCTCACTAGAGATATGGGGTAGTCGCATTTGTTTTAGAGACAAGTATTCGACATTCGCATGATTTTCAAACATGTTCGCTTCTTCTAAACGTGGTTTGTTCCAGTCGGAAGAATGTTCCGGTAATGGAAGTCATTTTTTTGCTCTAAATAACATTAAAACTACAAAACGGCACGAAGTCAGCGAGAGTTTGCTAAGTTTAGCAAATGAAGAAGACGACGATGTACACTTTGACAGTAAGTAGATATTGATTGCCTTATATATAAAGCCATTTCCCAGTATCTTAAATCCGTACACATAAGGAAAACACATTTTCCTTATTACATTTTAAGCTGTACGTGAGGTGAAAACTCGAATTTAATTGTACAGCCCATATTCAAAACGCATATAAAGGTAGTAATATAATCTATATCATTCATTATTATATTAAATATATATTGAGAAGGATATTGGATTTTTGAGTGTTTTACAATTTAATTTCAACATTATCGAGATAAAAACATCATTATGCCAGCTATATTAGTATATCCCTTACAACAATAAATTTAAAAGCTTTGTCTCATTCAACCTTGTACAGTCACACTAGAAACAAACAACATGAATTAACTCAGAATTGTTTAATAAAATAATTAAAATAAATTAAATAATCACAGTATCTGTAACGTTAACTGTTATGCTGTTTTTGACTTGACTGTTTGTTGTTGTAACATGGTTTGTGTCACATGGTTCAAAGCTTTGGATGAAGTCCAGGATTATTGTGACGTTAAATCTTGGTTAGATATAATTTGAATGTAGATCGCTCCCCCTAGTGGCAGTCAGTACATATACTCTATTAGTTAGTTCAGGGTTTGTTTGTTTTTTGTTTTAAGTAAAACGGCCTCTTATTCTTTTGCCCCAGACACGGTGACCATGTGCCTCAGTGGGCTGGTCATGTTTACATGGTGCAGTAGGTGTAGACGACTGGAGCGGACAGATAAGCTCTGCACACGCCGCCCTTTATGTATAATCAAGATGAGCTCTTTTAGTGGCTTTGAGGTGAAAAGGATGATCATTACTTCAGTTCTGATGACTTAATATTGTATCAAAAAGAGTATTTTATGCTGACCAAGATGGACCTAAAGGAGAAAAACTTAGTTGAAATGATTGCCAAAGTTATTGAAGAAGGTAAGATGCTTCTTTGTATTAAATTACCTGATTAGAAAACTTCAAGAGGGAATTCATTTTATTAAGACTTTTAAGTATAAAATAATGATCTTTTCTTGACGTTTTCACTCAGCTTCAGACACAGATAATAACAACGAGGTGTTGATGGCTGGTCAACATTATCCGTCCATCCATGAGTTTGCCTCTGCCATTCCCAACCATCTACTCCTGGGATCGCTTCTGGAGCATCTGTGCTTTGTCTATGAGAGTAACCCTTCACGGGCACATGTGCTGTTTAAGGGTAGGAGTTTTAAAATTATATTTTTTAAGCTCTATATCACTATTTTAGAGTCAAACTGGTGTGCTGACCGATATCCAGAATTGATTTAGATTTTCAACTGGATTCAATTGAATTTTATTATAAATGTATTGAAATAATTTTTTTTAATTACTCTAATGCAAACTGTATACAAACCTGTACTTCACTGGATCATTGGATGAAATGTCACTCTACCTGTGTTTGTTGTGCTGCTAATCTGGCACGAAAGAAGAAACAGGAAAATTGATATTCATCTAAATTTAAGTATACATTGTTCAGATCCCCAATTCAAGGCTGATAAGCCTTCATGTTTGAGCTGAAAATAATGACCAACACAAACCCAGTTCTATCACAGACCACAGTCAACATTTAAAGACTGTACACTGTATTTGCAGTGTATTCACACATGATGTTGTTTCCTTTCTAACAGTCATTGGCCAGCGTTTAGCAGCCATGAACCTCCTCTCTCCACTGGCCATAAGTGATGAGTTCAGCACAGTCAGACTGCAGCACAACCGGGCCTTCACAGAGCTGCTTAATGCTGCCACTTCTTCATTGTACCCACAGGTAAACTATATGACACCATGGAGTCCAAAACTAGAGTTCTCTGTCATTTAGAATTGTTTTTAAAGAGCCATAAACTTTATTTATTTTAAAACTAGGCTCAGGTCATTCTCTTAACGCAACTAAAGAGTCACTGCACCAGTTAGAGATGATACTATTGCTGTTGGAAAAAAAAATTATCGGGCTGGGGTGTTCTTTACATTTGATAAAACTGTCCTGAAGGTTGTCAAAAAGCCCCAGGAAAAAAAACCCTGGCTGCAGAAGGTATTAGTCTTTTTTAATCACTTGATTTTGTCTTTTTTTGCAGAATCTTGCTGCAAGCCCACACAATCCTTCTGTAAGGTAAAGTGTATTTTTATTTCATCTTGTTTGTGAGGAATATTTTGGATTTTATTTAGAATTTCTGTGTCTTCCCCTCAGGCCAAAAGAAGGACTATTTCAGGCTCAGACATCACGATACATCAGTGAGTTTGAAGAAATCTGTCGCCTTGGTAAAGGATCATATGGGCATGTTTTTAAGGTATTCATTTTTTTATTTCTCAACCTTCTGTTAAAGACATAAGAGAAGACATTAAACACAGTGTGTTTTTAATAACCTTGTAGGTGATGAACAAACTGGATGGACAACATTATGCTGTGAAGAAAATTCTAATCAAAAAAGTGTCCAAGGATGACTGTATGAAGGTAACAACCATTGTTATCTTCATGGTCCAGTGACATAATTACTGTCAAAGTTTGTGCTGAAAAAAATGTCTGGTCATTTTGTCGTAGGTGCTCAGGGAAGTAAAGGTGTTGTCCAGTCTTCATCATGTCAACGTAGTTGGTTATCACACTGCTTGGATGGAGCATGTACAACCGACTGCAAGTATGTTTACTTGGGGTGTGTGCATTTTGTGGGATGGGTACAAGACCTCATGCAGTTTGCCTTTGAACCTCATGAAGTCCTCTCATGAGGAATGGACAGAATGTGTATACATATAAAAATGTACTACCAGTAGATAAGCTTCATTGATACATTCAAATAAATACCTTTAAATTGCCACAGGTCCTACAGAGCCTCATCTGCCTGCACTGGAGTCACCTGCAGAACGTGACAGGTGGGATGAAGGTGGATTTTAACATCCACTTAATTATTAGGATCAATCTTCTCTTCGACTAAGTGGCTGTCATGTTTTGTGTTGCAGTCCTGGTGGGCAGAGCCCTGACAACAGCAGCCATGGCTCCTCCATAGTTTTCCAAAGCCTCAGTCAAGAAACTTCAGCTGCTGCTGCTGCCACCGTAACAATTGATGACTCTGAAAGCGACAAAAAATCAGTCCAAGCTCTAGTCCCAACTCTAGATGTGGGCCAGATAGTGTGTCCCAAGACCAGACATGGCATACCTGAGAACTTTGTTCCCTGTGTCTTCCTGGGAAAGAGGACTCCCCTGAAAAGCTCCAAATGTCCTGCCATGGGCTGGGACAGCTCTGTGTTGTTGGAGGAGGAGTCCAGCAGGAGCAGCATGGAGCTGAACAACAACTCCTGTATTGACAAAGACTGTTTGCAGTGGACTGACCAGCGCTCACACAAGTCTTCTAATGATGTGGGTCCAAAAGTCAGTTGGTCACAAAAGTCAGCTCTTTGCAAATTACTTCAAGTTAGAGCAGGAATCTTTGGAAGAAGACCTAGCAACACTCATGAAACATGACTTAAAATTAAAAAATAAGACGAACTATTTTTTTATTATGTATCATTTGCCCAGGAAACATTCAAGGTGTTAAAAGTCAACTGTGTCAAAATGTCCAAATATTTTTTTAACGTTTGATACATTTGATCTGTGCAGGTGCAGTTCCAGCTGATGCTCTACATCCAGATGCAGCTATGTGAACGTTCACTGAAGGAGTGGATCTCTGAGAGGAACGCCAGGCCCAGGGGTGAAGGAAACAAAGGTCAGATACTTTAAAAATACAACATTTGTCTTGCATTATGTTATGTCATGGCAGATATGAGGCGCCACCACAGAAGGGCACCAAAGCACAGTTTGACCACACCTGCAAAAACGTTAAAAGCAGCAGGTCTTTGTCTTAATGAATGTCACCACCTTTGGAGTGTGTTCATGTAAATGATCTGCCTCTCACAGAGTGTTACAATCCAAAATACTTTTATTACGGTACCTTTTTTTTCTCAGTAGGTCAACACTCCTTGTAACACTATGATATTTAGCCTGGAGGTTGTGGCAAAAAAAAGTCATTTTTCATTGGATACAAAGTTAAACGGATTTTGTTGAAAGATTTACTTTTCTGCTTTCAGAGGGATGTGTTACTGGATAGTTTACTCCTCTTTCAGAGGGATGTGTTACTGGATAGTCTCCAGTGCACCGTATAGCGGTTAGCATTGCTACCTTGCTATGAAATCACAAGCAAAAACACTTTTACTTGTTTAAGCTGATTGACTACACCCACTGATTCTACTTCCAGATCCCTACAGCTGTGTTGATACTGAACATGCTCTCTGCCTGCTGAGAAACATACTGGAGGGAGTTGAATACATTCACTCCAGAGGAATCATGCACCGGGACCTGAAGGTAGGACGATGATTTTATTTTTCCTGTTTGAAATCGGTTCTGTTCGAGTCTCTGTTGCTGTGTCCTGTGGCTTTTACTGATGCAAGGTTTTCAGCGAAGAGTCACATTAACTTGTTAATCCCCAGTCATAAATATAATATTGTGGGTTTCCCAGCATTTAAAAATTAAGTTGTACACCCTCCCAGGCAAAGATTTTTTCAACTCCTCTTTCAGGTGTCGGACGTATGTCAGATAAACACATCGCTTGCAAATTTCCTGCAGCTTCCTCGGCGCCTGACTGAGCTTCACGAGCTGTTCTCGCTGCTTGAAGAAGTGTGGTAGAGTCAGGGTTGAGGGCAGGCGGTTGCTGTGATTGTAGATGTTGAGCGGCGAGGTCAGGTTGAGCAGTTTGGCCAGCAGGGAGTTGTTGTGTATGTTGGGCCTGTGATCCAGGAACAGAAACAGACAGTTTTCACCCGTACAGCTCAGTTTATTGGCCTCAGCTCCATATCTAAGCAGCAGGTCCACCAGCTCCTCGTTCCCCCTCATGCATGCCTCATGTATAGGTGTAAGTCCCGCCTTATTCACAGCATCGGGTTCAGCTCCATGCTCCAACAGCTCAGAGATGCAGCTCATGTCATTTTTCATGGACATTCTGGACTTTGTGGCAAATGCTGTACACGCAAGGTGTAGGGCGGAGTTTCCACTTTGTTTCATCTCCTTAAAAACAGTCAGAAATTCACATCAGTTGCTGAAGTAACCAAAAAAAATGCAATTTGTATTTTCAATTGTGAAGCTAAGGTGAGCTGATTTATACCATGGTCTGGTCAAATAAAAAAGAGACTGTTGACTTTTAGTGATTCCAATACGCCCACCACCCCAACCCCAAAACAAGCTGTGTGTAGATTCAGTAGAGACTAAAGTGATGCCTTCAATTTCTTTGAAAAAAGGTTAGCTGCTGCCTATTTCACCAGATCTGGAAGATCTTGGTGTAAACCTCTCCTCTTGCCACTTGGCTGCAGCACCCTCCTGTATTTGAAAGCTTATTGTCTAGACCAGTCGGTTCAGACTGTGTCCAAGATGATGTGAGTTTTAGACTCTTAGATTAATGTGCATAAAAAACAATCATTTTCACAATTATTACATTTATTATTAACCTCTTGCAGGGATCATTTGTCACTTCTTCCAGTAAGCCAAAAAGGAGTGGTACACTGTGCCGAGGTCACATTTAAACAATAATATTTCTCAATAAATATTATTGTTTAAAAAAATAATATTTCCTCAATTTTGTTGTACCCCTGCTGTATAATGACAATAAAGACTATTCTATTCTATTCTGTTCTAATAAAACCAAAACCCACCTTGTTGACATCTGCCCCATGCCTAATCAACCAGGTAATAATGTCCTTATGGAGTGTCCCAGCAGCCATGTGCAGGGGCGTCATCCCACTGTGGTCCACAGCATTGACATTTGCACCAAAGCTGGTGAGGATCTTGACTGCAGCGGGGGCAGCGTAGCGTACTGATAAGTGTAAAGCCGTCTCCTGACTCTGTCCTTCTACCTGAGGCAGGAAAGGAACCACAAGAGAACCACAGTTTCATCATGAAATTTAAAATGCTTTGAAACACAGATTTGATATTGGATAAGGTTGACATCATTCTGGGTGGTTTTCTCTGGCTGCCATGGAATTGATTCTTAGATTATTTGCACTGAAAAAAGCTGCTCACCTTTGTGTTGATGTCAACGCCCTGCTCACAGAGGAGCCTCAAACAAGCTTGTGCATTTCCGTACACACCCATCAGCGCAGGCTGCAACTTGAAATCCGGTTTTTGCCAAATCGTGAGCCTGCTTGGCCAATCGGTTATTGCCAAATGTAGTGTTGTTCGACCAAGTCGATCCCTGTGATGAAAGAAAAACCAACTGCAGCCATGGCAACAACATGCACAAAAGATTAATCAAAAGAAACATTAAATGATTTCAACATTTACACCAAAAACATTGGCGTAAACTAAACTGCAACAGCTGCAGCTTAGGCGCTGTGGTCATTGAAAGTCATGCGTTTTGCAAAATATTAATGATTATATAATTTTCTTGTCAAGATTCATGTGTCATATCATGTGGATTGACTGCAGTCACGTTTGGTCTATTTGACTTCTGCTTTTACAACATTTGCACCATTGTTTGTTGGTGATCAAACCCGTTTGTGACTTTTGAAGGACCCATGATTCCAGTTCTTCTTAATCCCTGAGCTTTTAGTTTACCTATATTTTGTCTTTCTTCTCGCTTTTTTATATTTAATCGTAATGGCAACACCAGGAAAGTTCCATCTTGTTGGGTGTGATTCTACTAGGTGTTCCTGTTTATCCTAATACTCCTGTATATGTGTGCATGTGTGTGTGTGTTCACCTTTCTTCAGGGTCTGCTCCCGCTGACAGCAGGCTCTTCATGCTCTTCACTTTCCGGTAACAGACAGCCAGGTGAAGGGGAAGGATAGAACCTCCCTGGGTCAAAACAAGTCCAGACAGACAAACTATGTGTTTTGTAATTTCTTCTACATTATACATGGGTAAAAAACATTTATCTAGCATTGTTTTACATCTTTTCCGTGGCTTTTTTTTTAAAAATTACCTTATTAAAAATCCTTTCTGGCACTTCATCCTTTACCTTGATGTAAACGTTGACCCCGTGCCTTTCTGCCAGGTCTGTAATCCGTCCATCATCTTGATCCATAATAGCAGAATAGAATTTGTTGTGGTAAAAGTTGCCATTTTGTGTTGGGGCTTCCATCACCATGTTCTTCCTTTTCGTCCAACATGACAAGACACTGAAGTCGAGTGACTTACTGTGTGGACTTGGTGGAGCAGATGGGGAGTGGTTGGTATCTCTCAGATGGTTGATCTGGTTGGTCTAGTTTGGCTCACAAACAAAATACTCTGCACTTCCCCTTTCTTTGACGTGTTTTGACAAGTTACTTCTGTTTTTTTTCTACCTCAGTGTGAGCTACTTTTTTTTAAAATTTGGTGACGTTTTTTTGTGTCATCACTAAAAAATTGCTCCACAGGATAACAATTACAGGGTCTGCTGCATCACTCTGAGGGTTTCTTTTGTATTTTTTCTTCAAAGAATTGTTGTTATGCATTTGCTATATCTGTATTTCTTCATTTTTTTCAGCATAAGACTAATACTTAATTTATTCTGTTGTTTAAAACAGGTCTAGTATGAATAAAGTGTACCTAATAAAGTGGCAATTGACCCTATAATGCCAGTAAATTAATCAGAAATTTAGTTCAGAAAAATAATTGTCATGACTTTCTTTGTTTGATGGGTCATGACATTTATTTAATTTTTGTGATGGTTATTAAAAATATTAAGAAGAACACTTTTAAACAGATTCACATTGAGCAATTCAAGTGCAAAATAACAACAAAAAACAAATTAAAGTTCTAAATCCAACCCAAGGTAATGTTTGTGTTGTAACAATAATACTAAAATGTATGTACATTTTTATTTGACATTTATTTTAAAAAAACATCGCATCTTGACAAAACGATTTGTTATATCTATTTTGCAGCCGAGGAACATTTTTCTTCATGCTCAGGACTGTCATGTTCGAATCGGAGACTTTGGTCTGGCCTGCAAGAAATTTATAGCTGATGGACATATAAACACTGTGACTCCTATCAATGGTAAGTCTGGATATGAACTAATAAGAACCGGTAGATGGCGCTGATTTCTCACATTAACTTTTCCTGTGTACTTGTAGATTCCTCTCTCACTACAGGCGTTGGTACTTTTGTGTACGCTGCCCCAGAACAATTGAGCGGCTCCGATTATGATTCAAAAGTAACGGATAGACTCAAGCTTTATTTTATTTAAAAAATAAACTTAATTTAAAATAAAACTAAGTTTTAATCTAAATCTGTTCTCCTGTTTCTCATTTAGTCAGACATGTACAGCATCGGAGTGCTGGCCCTAGAGTTATTCCAGCCTTTTGGGACGGAGATGGAGCGGGTGCGGACCCTAGGAGACCTGAGAGAAGGAAAAATCCCAGACACTTTCTGCCAAAGATGGCCAGTACTGGCCAAATACATCATGAGGCTGATAAGTTTAAAGCCTGCTGATCGTCCCACGGCCAGTCAAATGCTGCAGAGTGAACTCTTCTGTAGTTGCAGCAAGGACATGGTACAGTAACCAATAGTATCTGTTTGCATACTGTGAAGAGACTGTGATCACATTAACAACAAATGTTTTTCCATGCAGGTAATCCATGGTTTGCAGAGGAAGGTTGAGGAGCAGGAGGAGGAGATCTTGCAGCTGAGAAGGAAGATCAGTCAGCTCCAGAGCTCTAAAGACACCATTCATTTTTCTGACTTGAGCAAAACATGACACTTAAAAACTACCTAAAAACTTGAGTTTGTCCAACCACTGTACAAGTGGTTATGCCTGTGAGTGTGAATGTGCTTGTGTGTGTCTTGTACACCTAGATGTACCAGGTAGGGTGTAAATTATTTATCTTTCAAATAAAACTGCTATTATTATTACTATTATAACTTGCCATTACATAGTACATAAGAAATTGGTTTAAAAATGAGCACTTTCACCTCCTTCAAAGACCAGGAGATATATATAATGTTATAAAGTTACAGGACCTAACCTGAAGCTTTTTACACAACAGGAATGTTCAATTATTCATCTAAACTTCGTAAGAAAATCTTTTTAAGTAGGTTGTGGTCTACGGAAGTGAAGAGGTCTAGTACAAAGGGGAAGTTGGACACAAAGTGTTTCCAGGGATTTAAAACATACATTAGCAGAAAATAAAAATGTTTAAAATTTAGCTAATAACTGTCAGAAATGGTCTTTGCACCTAGGGATAAAGTAACAAAAGATTTTATTTTCTCCACCGACGACTACTGTATAGACATGCTGATCCTACATTACGCTGCCATAGAGATTCCCTGTTCGTGATGTAAACAAAAAAATTCATTTTAGTGTCATGACCAAGTACTTTTTGAAGGTATGTGCAGATTTTCCAACGCGTCAATTATTTTATTTTATATTAAATTTGTGGTATTTGAAATGGAATGTAAACTATATATAATAAGAAACTTAAAAATGTTTCACTATTTCTACAAACAGTACACGCTGCTCTTCGAAACACGTTTCGCACAGTGAAAGAGCCAATCAGGGGGCGCGTCTCATCCCAGGTACCCGGATGTACCCGTGGGGCAATTACCTACGTCATTGTTCACCGCCGGACACCCGCTGGAAATAAGGAATGGATTTACAGTCCTTAATAACGCATTCCTAACATATTACAGGTAGGTCTATTGTTTCTTTTAATGTCCCGTGACACTTAATATTTGTGACTGCGGTACTTTGGTTTGGTTGAGCAGCTTAAATATGCGGTAGTAGCCCTACACCGGTCTACTGTCATGTCGGAACGAAAGGCGCAACGAGCGCACACAGCCGGTGTCGAGCCCCTCCTTTTTAATGGCACCGAGACTCCCGTTAGCCGGGTTTGAGGGACTACTTTATGCACAATTATACCCAATATTTTCCAAAGTGGCAACAGGAAACTGCTGTTTTGTATTGAAAGAACCGGGCTCTGTTAATCTCCGCCATGTCAATGCGCGTCGCTCGGGTCGCGCAGGCTAGCACTGTTAGCTGCGGCGCTGCCGCACGAGTACTGCTGCACGTAATCCGCGATGTCGGCTTTTACTCGCCCATTGTTCGTATGGCTTTATATTTCAGCCTTCTCCAAGAACCGCTGGGTTAAATTTTTAGAATGGGTCGCCTCTTTATATGGCTTAGCAGAACGTTTAATGCGTGCTTTGTTAAAGTTTAGAGGTGCTGCGTGTTACAGGCCTAGCAGCCGTCTGTTAGCTTCTGCCGTCGCTGCTGAGCAGGTGGGAGGGAACAGCTGCCGTTTTTAAAAAACGTGCTTCTGACCAGGAAATATACCAAGACTGCTGGGTTAGACTTTTAACGTTCACTTTAAAAGTTATCACGAGTTCACACATGAGTTATTTGTGTTTTAAACACTGAAAGTTTTCGTTAACGTAACAATCTTTTTTTTAACGTTTGGTATATTGCTTGGTGTTGGCAACGTTTTACGACAGTTGGCAGAAGTAACAAAGGGGTAATTGACTGATTGTGCCCTTTGTTTAATATATGTATGAAATATTTTTTTCGCTTGATAGCTTGTTTGAGAAAATGTTATTGTTGAACTAAAATTATAACTTATAACTACAAATAATTAACCTTCTAACATAACGGATGTTAACTGTCGTAAAAACAAATAAAGCAGTCGAGCTGCGACTAACGTTTGTTCTAGTAAATGATTGTGTTTTTGCTTTTAAAGGTATTGTAGAATTATTTTAAATAACAGTCAGTACAATTTTATTATCAGTAGATTAGTTTGCAAAGCGCAAAAAATCATAAAATATAGATTGCCTCATCCTGCGCTCCCCCTTACTCACCTCCCAAAAAACAAATGCAACCACATACAATGGAGGAAATATGATTGTAAAACCAGGAAAATCATATTTTAAAATACGAAAAACAACTAAACCTTGAATAACATCTTTTGCATTCATATGTTATTATAAGCTATATACAGTGTAAGTATAAGCGAGACAAATGATGAAGAAAAACTATACAAAACAACTTTCGGGGGGGGGGACCCAGTCTTTCTAAATGAAAGCAAATAAATACAAAAGAAATTGATAAAAAATTCCATTACAAAATAATGACATCTATTTGCCATTGATTTGTTTGACAAATAAATAAATAAATAAAAACAGACTAAAAATGTTGATTGATTTATGTTCAGTTCCTTGTTACAGAAAGGAGTCTTTAGTTTGTAAATGGATCTACTGCTCAATGTATTTATAACGTCTCACTGAACTTCAGTGGATTACTGCCATCCCCTTGTTTTTATTTCTGTCATTTTGGCAGATGAAGCCATAAAGTGGCATAAAAAAAGGCAAAGGTACTATTTCAAATGTCCTAAACCACCCAAAAGAATAGTTACAACAGGCACCCCAGTCACCTATTCTGTTTATATTTATAATATATACATCTGCTCAATATATAATACATATAAAAACAGTTTAAAAAATAATATCTATGTTCAACAAGTACGTTGTATCGTTCTATCATACATTCAGTATACTATTTGTGTTTTGCAAACAAAACTCCTTTTATGTGTAAAAGGCAGGGCCAACATGGATTAAAGGAAGCAGTCAGAGAATGCACAATTACCACCAAGAATGGAACATAGAAGACGCCAGAAAGTAGTAAAAAAGGTAAAGCAGAATTAAAGGAAAAGCCTGTGATCAATGTGTATGCCAACTGCCGTTAAAAGAAAAAAGGTATCGCCAAACAACCACCTCACTGAGTGTCAGTATGTCTAGTGTATAGTCAGATTTGTATGCAGTAACTGCTGTAACTGTCCAATTAAGTCAGACCTGTTTGATGAAAGGTTAAGGTTTTGCCTTAAATACATTCTCGTGTATTTCTCTCAGCTCCTAAAATCTTGTACTTGTGTGTCTCTGCATTCCGCACAGCAATGAATGATGACCATAGTTGACAGATCTTCAGATAAGTCTGACTACCAGTCAGTGGGCTTTAAGCGGTCCCCCTTCAACAGTAGAGATTTGGCAATGGATGGGAGCTGTTCTAGCAGCTGGGTGGTGGGACCCACCATGCCCAGTGACTCTCAGAGGCTGAGGGCTCCAGGCAGTTGTCTGGGTCCAACACCTGGAGCTGCTGTCTACAATAGTACTCCTTCCTCTGTGGACAGACCCAAGGAGCAAGGTATGGACAAGCACTGTTTTAAGCTACTAGTTGACTAACTTTCTTCAGAGAGAGACTTACAGAAAAACATGGACATGTTTTCTGTGGATGCTCTCCTTTCTAATAGGTGTTAACAATTTAATATAATCTTTAATAATGCAAGAACATTACACAGTCTATTTTTTAGACCATAGAAACATTTTCTGATCTTAAAAATAGTTATCTTAAATATTTACTCCTTTGATGTAAGCCCAGTTAGACCTTGCCATTTGTAGGTCTATTAAGTAGTGACATTATAAACTAATAGATTTAAAGTCTATTTACCTAAACAGTCAAGTCTAAAGATGATTTTACTTCCAGCTCCATGTTTTTGGTTTCCTGTGTTTGTCTTAAAGTTTACTGTAAACTGTTTTAAAACCTTGTATTCACCTTTTGCTTTAGAATCTAGACAATAAGTTGTTTTTTAAACAAAAGATGTCAGTTTACATTATTGCAACATGCTTTTTACACAACTGAAGAGCAATTCTGGCTCCTTTTTTTTCTGTACCAAACACCAACACATCTGATATTGTGGGTGCTGCTTCCGCTCACACTCATCCAGTTATATAATCAGACCAGTTTTAAGCAGGCACTCAGCCAGAGGTTTGAATTAAGGAACAGCAATGAGGCATGTTCACAATAAACAGAGAGAAAGCAAAGTTTGTTTTGGTCATTTTATTAAAAATGTAAATTTTAATTACAGTAGATGAGCAACATGTGTGCATGTTAAATATACAGGTGATTTTGTTTTCTTTTCATGTCCAGTGATGCATAGTGGTGATGGCATCGAGTCACCTCAGAGGGTCCTGTTCCCTCTGGAGAAGCTCAGCCTGAAGTGGACACAGATTCATCGTGTGGGTGCAGGTCTGCAGAACATGGGGAACACCTGCTTCCTCAATTCAGCCCTGCAGTGTCTGACCTACATCCCACCGTTTGCTAACTACATGCTGACACGGGAGCACTCTAAAACATGTAAGCCGACATACATGTTCCTCTTCTACTTTGTCAAACAGACTTTTTGCAGCGTTCATCAGTTGTGTCTTTGTTCCTGTCTCTCACTTGCAGGTCATGAGCCTGGCTTCTGTATGATGTGCACCATGCAAAACCACATTACCCAAGTGTTTGCAAATTCTGGAAATGTCATTAAGCCCATCGGTGTGCTCAATGAACTCAAAAGTAAGTAAGATTTTCTTGAAAGCTTTGCCTCCATTGTGAGTTCTCTTACTTTACAGCAACTAGATTGTTTCACCAGCTGAGTTTTTTTGATAGTCTGGTCTTCTCCCACACACAGAGATCAAGGACTCTGTTAATGTTCACTCTAATATACAGTACATATATACAGTAAATATGAGGCTGTGTGCTGCAGTGTCCAGGATGTTACCCACCCTCACCAGATGGCTGCAGAAATTAGCTGCAGCCTCCTGATTAAACTGATTATATATAAATAAATAAAAGGATGCAGTCCGTTCATGCACCCACACGTTCTGTACCCAACATTGGAGACAGGGGGCACTGTTGGTCTGTTTATCTTTTCATTTTGGAGGGAAATTTTTTGGTGGCCAATTCGTGACTGTTTTCAGACATGGTGTAACTGGTAACATGTAACGCAGTGTATTGACAGGTTTTCTTCTCTTCTTATCATCTAAAAGGGATAGCAAAGCACTTCCGCTACGGAAGCCAAGAGGATGCCCACGAGTTCCTGCGGTACACGGTGGATGCTATGCAAAAGTCCTGTTTACCTGGACCCAAGTGAGTGACATCCAACGTTCTTTGTGTTATAATTAGCATTGGTTATATAGCGAATGGTAATTTATTATTCGCTCCTACTGCTAAGTTGTAATGAGATATTTGCAGTGCATATTGGATTTACCTGTAGCTGTCTGATGTATAAGGTGAAAGTGGAGCATGTTTGAAGATACCCAAGAAATACTCGCAGAAATAATATATTTGATAATATTTTTTAAAAAGTAGTTTAAGAACAATAGTTGTAAAAAGTGTTTGATATTATTACTGCCATTGTTGTTTCTATAAAGTATTTTCTTTTCTTCAAAGATTGGACAGGCAAACACAGGCAACTACTTTTATCCACCAAGTGTTTGGTGGGTACCTTCGGTCCAGAGGTAAGTTATGGGGTTTAATCGTGTCTACTTTATTTTCTCTAACTTATTTTTCCCCTCTTCTTGTCAGATTTTGTACATTTTCATTCTACTGGACTAATTTTTATTACATTTTCTTTCCAGTTAAATGTTTAAACTGCAAAGCGGTTTCTGACACATTTGACCCCTTTTTGGATATTGCTCTAGAAATAAAGGTAATTACAAAAACGAGCCACTAAGATGAGCAGTGGACGACTTATGGTATTGAACCAAATGTAAGCAGTTCACCTTCCTTCTCTGTGCAGATGGCTCCCAGCATCACCAAAGCTCTGGAGCTGTTTGTCGAGCCAGAACAGCTGGATGGTGAAAATGCCTACAAGTGCTCAAAGTACGTTTTTTTTTTTGTTTGTTTGTTTTTTGTCGAAACACCAAGATCATGTGTTTGAACCATTGATCACTTTGTTCTTACCACTGAACATATGCTGCTTCTCAGGTGCAAAAAAATGGTGACAGCCTCAAAGAGATTTACCATCCACCGCAACCCTAATGTCCTCACCCTCGCACTTAAGCGTTTTGCAAATTTCACCGGAGGCAAAATTACAAAGGTCAGACCTGCCATATCTAAACTACTCTATTCAATTCATATTTCTTGCTGAACTATTTTCTTTATTACTTTTTTTTGCCCACAGGATGTGAAGTATCCAGAGTATCTAGATCTACGTCCCTTCATGTCTCAGTCCCAGGGAGAGTCCCAGGTTTACGCTCTGTACGCTGTGCTGGTCCACTCTGGGTTCAGCTGTCATGCTGGACATTACTTCTGCTATATTAAGGTACTGATGCAGCTGCACATCACTGTTTTGTTTCATCAGGCCATTTCTGTTGTTACAACATTCGGTCGGCAGCTCACTACAGCAGATAAGACTAAATTTATAGAGAGTAACATTCAAAAGTTGTCACTTTATACTGCATAGAATTAATGTTGAAAAAAGATGTTTGAGTTCAGGATTGAAATTCTGGAAATGTCATGACACAAAAGGAGTGGCAGTTTGTGGTCATACAGGTGGAAACAGAAATTATATCTTGGGATATTTTTTGTGTGACACAGGCGAGTAATGGCCAGTGGTATCAAATGAACGACTCCTCCGTGTCTGTCAGCGATATCAGGTCTGTTCTGAACTGTTCTGAGCAGGCCTACGTCCTCTTCTACGTCAAGTAAGTGCAATGTGCTCACTTTCAGTTGCCTTCAATGGGACAGTTGAATTGAATTAATACCTATTACATTTAGTTCTTTATTGTCACGATTACAGGAGATGTGCTCTCAAAATGTTCTAACATATGTCCATGTCTAATGTTCAGTATAATCTGTGTCTAATTTATGTTGGTGAACAAAGAACTAATGAGTCACCAAAATGTCTCTGATTCCAGATCCAGTGATGTGAAAAAAGCAGGCGACTACAGCCATGTGAGTGTCCACTCAGGAGTGCCCGGTCACTCCTCTCCACGGCCTGTGGCGACACCACGCATCAACACCGCCGTCCACCACCACAACAACAACAACAACAGTGGCTTTATTGGTCCACAGCTGCCCCCTCACATGACTAAGGTGCAGGACCCCAGAAAGGATACTTAACTCTGTTAATTGATGTGTTTTTAATGAAGTAGTAAATTAATATCTTGTGTTTTTTTAAACTAAAAATGAAAATATCTGTGAATCCAACTCAGAGTACACTCCATGTGAATGGGAATGGATCTCTGAGTGACTATCCTTCCAGCTCCAAGTCCAGCAGCACCAGTGGGAAACCCAGTCATGGACCACCCTCTTCCTCCACCGTCTCCCACTCCATCAGTCGTCCCTCAATAATCCCCGACCAGGACAAACGCCAGAAGCTCTCATTCTTCATTGGACATAACAAGCAGAACCGCTCGTCTTCTTCGGCCTCGTCCTCTTCCAGTTCCTCTTCTTCCTCCACATCTTCTCACAGTCATCCACCTTCCTTCTCCTCCTCCAGCAGCAGCTCCTCCTGCAGCAACTTTTCCTCCTCACAGTCTACCTCAAATGTTCAGTTTGTTCCTCGTCAGCTGAACCACACTAATGGCGTGTCGTGCAGTAATGGAGGTCACCACGCTGCAGGAAACGGATCATCACTTCTGGTTCCCTATAGTCAGGAATCCTCAGAGGATTCTGATCAGGAGATCAGTGGCACTGTGGACAAAAGTTCCTCAAAGTTGAATGGAAAGAACGGGAGAGGGGGTATCTTTGAAAAGTCTCCACAGCCAAAGGAATTGGGAGTTAACCATATAGGAAATGGATTCAATGGGTCAATGAACGGAGTCTCAAAGTTAGGACAAAATGGAAACCATTGTGGACAGCATAAAATCAATGGACACACCTCATCCTTTGAGCAGGTAAATAATGGAGTGTTTTAATTCTACAGGTTCGCACAGTGAAGTCAGAGTGATGATGATGTGTCGTGTCTTTGTTCCCTTTAGATTTCTGCCACTCTGTCCTCAGCTGCTTTGTCTTCTTCCACTGATGCTGATGCCGATTATAACCAACCAAGGTGAATACAACATGTAACTTAGTTTGGCAAATCCATCCTGACTGAGTAGCTGCTCTCGTCTTCAGGTATCACCACGATGAGATAACATTATATGGTTTGGTAACAAAGCTTTTCTCACTGGAAATGAAATGTCCAGGGAAACATAGGCATGTAGTCTGACTGAAAACCTAATGATTTAACAATACTTCTACTTAATTTATTTATAAGTGGCATTTGATTAGTGACAACTGGAACTAAATATTTACTGAACTCTTGTTTCTGCTTTTATTCTGTTCAGTAAAGAAACCAGTAATTCATCCAGGTCCCAGGGCCTCCAGTCTGCTGCCAGTGAAAGCCAGCACCTGTCCACTTTTCCAAGGGCTAAACCTGTATCTGAACCTCCGCCTCAGCACACAGGATCCTCCACCGTCAGTGTCTCACCTTCAGCCTCTGCTACAGTCACAGGCACCCACTCTGTTCCATCATCTCCTCCAACTCACAACGGCAACCCTGCGGCCTTAACAACATCATCAGACGATGGAACTCCTGCTACTCCACAAAAGGTTAACGGAGCTGCGAGTAAGGCCAAAGATCCACCACAGACAAATGGATCCTCAGAAGGCACCGAAGGACAAGAGGTCACCAAGGAGCAGCTCCATTCCAAGTCCGGTTTCCGAAGCAGCGAGAGACGTAGTTCTCGAGACAGAGACAGACTGAACTCTGAGAAGAGCAGAGACAGGGAGAGACATTACAGGGACAGGAGTCACAACAGAGACAGTGACGGGGATCGCTACTATCACAGGCGTGACTACAGAGATCAGCGCAACCACTACCGCTCAAACAAAGTCCGATGGCCTTCTCACAGTCGACACACTAGGGATGACGATCGTTACAACAAGGACGACCGCTACTACAGGGACGAGTATTATCATTCTTCACAGACTTACTACCATCCCAGGGAACGGGACCGGGACAGGTGTGCTCACCATTATCATTATGAAAAACCCAGAGAGGACTGGGACAGTGACAGGAGGGGGCGGGGGTATTCCCATTATGAGGAGTGTCGCAGCTCAGGACGCTTGTGCGACGACGGTCGGGAGTCTCGGGTGCTCCATGAAAAGAGCAACGGCAGGGCGTCAGAAAGGTTGAAGGGATCACCTCCCCGGGGTCACACTGCATCTAGATCAGCACCGAACTCAGATGACCATGATCACAAGAGGACGGGTGAATGTCGGAGCAAAGACAGTGACTACATGTCGGAGGCCCGTTACTGTAAAAAAACAAAAAAGAGCAAGAAAAAGAAGAAGTCAAAGGATAAAGACAGGAGCTACAGCAGGTGAGTGATGCTGCTCATGTTTCAGCCTTTATGGTGATTGGTGTTTTGTTCTGCAGTGGATAATAATCAATAGATTAATCAGTTCCAAAACCGGCTCCAGGTGTTGAATTTATTGTCCAGTTTCACATGACACCTTTTTTTTCTCCTGAAAGCTCTGAGACAGATTCAGACAAATCTGACACTACAAGAAAGAAAAAGAAGAAAAGCAAGAGGCAGTGGGACAGCCAGAGCCCAGGAGCCAAACGGAGCCGCAGGAGTAAGAGCAGGGAGCAAAGAGAGTGGGAGCGGGAGAAGGAGAGCTGCAGCAGACGTTACCACAACGACAGCGACGGCTTTTCTCCCACAAAGTGGCAGCACATGGACAATGCTGATGCCAGCAGTGACCACCCTCCTGCCTCCCACTCTGGAATAAGCAACGGTTCAACTTACCCCAACCTCAACGGCCACACAGGTAGGTAAGACGAGTCATCCTCAGCTAAAGGGCTTCTTTAGAGCCTGCAGGCTCTAAGAACTTGTTCTGTTTTTGTAGGAAACGGTTACATTCGAACCAACGGTAACACCCACAAATTCTCCAGTGGCCTGAAACACTGACACTGTGAGTGGCTCCTATTTTACACTTTTACCCTATATCTGTCTGGGATGATATACATTTGAAGGTTGATTACACTTTGTGATGGTGAAGACCCCTGTGTACATTTGCTGCTGACATAAAAACAGCTCCGTCTTCTGTCTGGTGTGAAAACGTCAACCATTCACTTTATTTCGATTGTTGACGATCAACTCTCAGATGTGAAGCAGCAGCAGCTACAGTCAGGCAGAATAAAATGAACCAACACCAGTATCGTGAAACAAAAATTGTGTTGCTTCAGTGTATCAGTATTTTCTTACACCACTACGTGAAATCCTGTAAAATTGTTATTTTATTAGACACAATTTTCTGTTGTATGAACCTGTACATTAATTTGAACTCTGTGTCTTTTGTCATCAACAGTCACCTTGTTATAGTTTATTAACCCTGACCCCCTGCTTTTTTTTTTTGCTTGCAAAAAATTCAATGAAATTTCTTTTTCATTTCAGGAACTATTTTATTAACAGAAGAAGGAAGAGAGAAACTCTCTGACCTGGTGCTTCTCCATTGAGAAAATAACGTTTTTACTGCGTGTAAAAACGTGAAGTGTTGAAAAACTTTCTTTTTTTTTTCCTTTAAATTTTTTAAGGCATTGGTTTATTTTACCATAACTATATTAATAATAATTACGATTTAAAAAAAAAACTCATCTTGTTGAACATTTTTGAACATTAAAGTAATTAATATATTCTTGTTGGATCACAAACAAAAGCCTGGAGCTTAAACATCTCAACTGCTGCTCAGTGGAACTCAGGACTTCAAAACTAGAACTCAATGACACTAACATCTGGGACATCCACCTGCTTCAGATGAAAACAAAACACAAGTGGGAATGACCATAAGACAAGGAGGAACTGTAAGTCAAGATGTCAATATATACATACATAAATATATCCAAATACATAATTATAGAGAGATGCAACGTTTTGGAATTTTCACCAAAAGAAAAAAACGTGTGACGTTAATGAGTGAGCCAGAGAGGGGCAGTGCTGGGAACAAGGCGCAGCTGACAGATACCTCCACTTCAAACCTGGACAGACTTGAGGACATTTTCCCAATTGTAACTTTGTCGTTTTGTTTGTTTCCATGAAGCTCTGAAGCCTAAGATTCACACTCTGTACTTTTTCAAACTGTTAGCAAACAAGACGTTGATTTTTTTTTTCTCTCGTTTTTCCTCTCTCTCTCTTTATATATATATCTTTCACTCTTATTTCTCACATTTTTTACATCGTATGTTAAAAAAACAAAATTTATCATAGCTGTGGACCATTTCTGTTTGCTTTTAATGAATTATACAGAATTTTTCGTCTTCTAGCAACATAAAATACTGTGAATTTAAGTTTCTCAACTGTACTATCAGTTATTTTTATATATTTGTGTGTATACATGTATATATATATATATATATATATATATATATATATATATATATATATATACATATATATATTAAAAATCCTGTATCAGGATTAGCAGTACATGTGTTGTTGATTTGCTTTGTTTTTAGAAAAAAATTCACGTTTATTTTTAGTCCCTCAACCATAGACTATATAAAAGAAGTGGATGAAGCTGTCTTCACCCATCTGCTTGTAGCCTATGCTTTGGAAGCATCACTGAGGATGTTTTTATTGTAGGTTTTTTCCACCTCAGAGACATAGAAAAACTCCTGTTCATTATAGTTTAGCATGTGAGGATTTATACACAATGTACAAGGTTAAAAAAAACAGGCCTTAAAATACATTTGTTATTGTCAACAGTTGTATTTGCTTTTCTGCCTTTGACGGTGTTTACAAACAGCACGGACGTGTATGAACAAATGCTGATTTACTGATGGGTGGTGTTAGTTTTAGAGCTTGCTGCTGTTACTATTCTATACTGGAACAGAACGCTCACACTGAGGTGACGACACAGTCGGGACTGAAACTGAAGATGTGTCTTATTCAGGTTTTATTAGAGCTGCACTGCATAGGTTTTGATATCATACATAATACATGTGTGGAAACGTCAGAATGACCTTCAGGTCAACACATGTTTATTCCTACAAAAATAAAATAGGTCAGTGCTATTTCCTTACTGTGGCACAATTCAAGAAAATATTGAATTTTGGATTCACTTGTTGACCTGCGCTTTCTTATCAAATGGGTTAGTTTTTCTAAACTTTATGCAATGCAGCTTTAATTCCACACACATTCTCCTGCTAAACCACCAAAGAGCTACAGTTTCCTTATTATCTGCAGTATATACACACACACGCACACAGTTCTCTGATCATAATGCGTTTTTTTTTTTATTCAGAGTATTCAGGTTTAGGAGATTTCCAAACAAACATCAAACCTGGAAGCTAAAGTAAAACTGAGGATTTGAGGTGGTTTGATCAGAGCTGGCCCCATCACATGATTGGATTTCACAGTTTTGTCAAACCCCTTTTTCTTCTCTTTTCTTCTCTATTTTTTTCCTGCTCTTCATCATGATTCCAGGAAATGTCACCTTCTCACCACATCACGTCGTTGTCCTGTTTGTGGACTGAACTGTTTAACTTAGAGATTAACGGGTACTGGCTCTGACTCTGTTAATGATGAACATGCTACATTAACACAACAAAGAACAAAAAAAAATTAACTAGCACTATGTACATTATATATTCTACATGCATCATGTAACTGAATGAGAGCGGGGGAACTGCCTCCTGTCAAACCGTAAACAAATAAATACAGGAATGAACTGAGGCACAGAGGTGGCTCTTCAATGTGTAACAGAATAGAACCGAGATGATCAGAATGTATGAAAATTAGCTTAGAACAGGTGAGAACACCACTAAATGTTTGGTAATGTTCTGCAAAGTGGTTTAAATCAAAAGTGTATCACAGAGTCAGTGACATCAGACCAGCTGATTTAGAAAAAAAAGAGTTCTTATGTAGATGTTAATAAAAACTTCCAGGTGAAAGGAATGTGTCACTGGACACAGGTCCTCCCTGTGAATTTGTAGTGAAGAATTCTTAGTTCCATATACGTCCTACAGAGGGCGACGTTGCCTCAGACAAATTTTATCACAAAAATATCCTTGAATTCCAGACATGGCTGCTGCTCCTCCAGTCCTTATCCTTAGAGACAGTGCTCTTCCTCTCTTGTCCAGAGTCCGTCCTGCACCGTCACAGATTCGCATTCACCTCAGGTCCAAACATCACCTGATCTGGTTCAGTCCAGTCTGAGTCTCTGAGTCATTTCTTATTGGCTATCCTGCGTTTTCTGGTGGCCAACATGTCGTAGAAAGGATCTCTGCTAATACTTGCCCTGTGGACAGAAGATGGAGAAAATAATTAGTACTTTAGTTCTAGACTCCGAAGCCACCAGGTGGAGCACTAGTAGGCATAGTAACGTTACAGCAGGAAGGTCAGTGTGTTGAACAACAGATCGACCCTAAGCCAATCTGTGGGGACTTGTTCTTTTCTCCATGTTCTCCAGCTTTCAGCTCTCACTCTTAGAACCTGCCGTAGGTGGAGAAGGTTGTTTGGAGACCAGGGTGTGGACGGTTGTTTGAGAGTCTATGTTCAGTTACAAAGTTACTGTCCCAAAGTGTGTGCTTCATTAGATCAGTCCAATTGTGTGTTTTTATTTCTTTTTCAGATTCTTTATTTGCCGTTGACTTGACTGGCAGCCAGACTGAGTGATCTGCCGTGTTCCCAGCAGCATAACAGCGGACACACTCAGACTTCCTGTCACACACATTAGTGTGTCACCACAAGATCAACTGTTTCCACCCAGGCAGATGAGTCAGGTGTGTGTGTGTGTGTGTGTGTGTGTGTGTGAATCTGCTGACCACAGGACAGTCTGCCGCCGCAGCAGCTGAGTCCAGTGAATGAAGCAGAGCAGCTTCTGTCTCCACCAGTGATAGTTTAATTTCTTTTTTACACAGCCTGTTACACCGAGGGTTCTGATTATGTTCTCGTGTTTTACCTTCTATTCTTAATGTTCCAGTCATGTGGACAATAATCAGCTGGTGTGTGGTCTAATGATGACTTGGTAGCTTATAGATCTGGGCTCTATTCGTCTCGTGCTCCCCCGCCCCTTCATTTGTTGCCTTTCTCTACTGTTACTCCAGTCATGTCCTTGTCTCCTTGTCACCGCTGTCTCACTGTCCTAATTCATGTCCAATACCTCCCTCACTTACTTCTCTGCCGCTTCTCTCTTCTTTGCGCAGAACTCGTTCTTCTGCAGGCTCTCTGTCCAATCACAAGGCTTAAAGATGCTAATGTTTTGTAGAACTGTTTCCAAGGATGCACAAACGCACTAATTTGACCTCTGACCCTGAGTTGTTGATGTACAAAGGTCAAAGGCCTCAAAAGCGCTTTGAGGCCTGGAATAGAGGTGTGAAATGCATCACACATGGATGTGGGTCAACGGGAGGACAGCAGACACTTCAGTGTCCCAGGACCAGCTCTCCCTCTCGTTCTCTCTCTCTCTCTCTCTCTCTTTCTTTCTCTCTCTCTCTCTCTCTGGGGTTGAAGCTACTCGGCTGCAGAAAGCTTCACTTTGATCTAATCCAGAGACGTCCGTCAATGCTGAGTGGATTCTTAATGTCATTACAGCAGGGAGGAGAATGTGATGTGATTATCTTTGCTCTGACATCGATTACATTAGTCTGTCAGGCTGCAGCAGAGTGGATGATAAGCAGTGAGTTGATCAATTAGCAGACAGGTCCAGGTTACTGCTGCTCCTCTGCTCCTCACTGCTTCATCTGACCTGCTTTAAATGAACCTGACTTCAAGGTTCTTGGTAACTTCACTACTACCACTTTTCTCCCTCTTCTCCACCACCCTCATCTTCCTCCTCATCCTTCCTGCCCCTCCGTCCATCCTCCTTCATTCACGCATGTGTCTTCTGGCTCCGCCCTGCTGACCTTCAGTCCTCTGCAGGTTCTCCTCCCCCTGCTCCCCACTCTCCCCTCTGACTGGATTGTCAACATATATTTTCTGAGGTTCTAAACTTCTGTTGTTATTGTGAAACCAGCAGAGCATTTCCTGTCTCTCCTGCAGCTTCACCCTGCAACCGCAGCCTGCAGCCATTATGTACGGTCTATGATGTCGTGACGGCGCCTGAGTAGGTGTGTGTTCTGTCTGCACATGTAAGTGTTTGCTCTGCACTAATCAAACGGAAGTCACCTCTGAGTGTGAATTGTGAGGAAGAGTGAGAACCAGAGTCACACTAAGTCACCAGTTCGTGTGTGTTGGTCAGCCTGTGTGTGATTAGGCCTACAGTCCTGTGTTTGTGGAGGCACGGGGGGGTCTCTCACAGTCAAGGTCAGACATGAGAACGTCCCACATGGGAGCCACTGGGTCATTGGCTAAGTGCAAGTGTAAATGGATCTGCACTAATGACCCCCCCCTCCAAAGCTCCCACCCCCACTCCTCCTTACTTGATGGATTTGATCCACTCCTCCTTCTCCTCCGGCGTGGGGGCTGATATCCTGTACACCACATGGTTGCCCTCCACCACTCGTCCGTCCGCCTCTGTCTTACAGGCTTTGATCACCTGACCTTTGTGGTTGGGGTTGTAGAGCTCGAAGCAGTTCTAGAGACACATCATATCGACTGATAAACGTGGTGGAGATTTTTGTTTTAAATTTGGAAATTGAACCTGCTGTGAAAGACGGGGGGCGTCGTGTGAAGCAGCTCCTTACAGGTTTCCTGGGCTCGTCCACTTCTCTGATACTGAGGTTTTCCAGAGGAATGATCCCTCGAGGCTCTTTGTCCTAAAGACACAGGTACAACGATACAGACAGAGCTCAGCAACACTGCTCCACTGACTCAGGACCAGTGTCTTTTTGTCACCAAGGGTCAGTGGTCACTGGTGGTATAAGTGGTATAAGTATAAAAAATACTGTTCAACAGTCTTCAAACAAACTTCAAAACAAACAGAAGAAGAGGATTACCAAATATGATTTTTTTAAGTATGTGCTTTATACAGTAGTGTGCCCCCTACTGGCATTCATATGTAATCTAGCAAATCTGAAAGGAAAGGAAGGTGAACTCCTTGTCATTGTGACACAGCCCACCACTGCACACAGCCAAATGTGACCTCTGTTCTGATTCACCATATTGAACAGTGGGCAGCAGTGTGTGTGGACGGTGCCATGCTCAGTGGTAACTTGGCAGCTGGTGGACTCAAACCTGAAAACTTTCCAGACCCCAGTCCGCTTCCTTAACCACTAAGCCACCACTGCCCCCTTTGGTGTTTACAGAATAATGGGACGGCCACCAGACACGGACAACTATGGCTGGCATTATTTATTTATTATATTTATATAATTATTATAAAATATATCTGTCAAATCATAACCAGTCTGTTTCTGCAGCCTTTGCAGGATTTAAAAGTGAGCATTCGATTTGCCAGGAAAAACTGAAAAAAACATAAACTGACCCTTTAAAGGCCACAGGAGATTTTTAAACATCCTGGTCCTGTAGGGAACAGCACTCCAGGGACACCTTAGCCTCCACCGTCCAGTGAATAGTATTGTTTGTAGAAGCCAGATGTTAAGTGTGTGTGTGTGTGTGTTGGGGGACCAGACCTTGAGGCACAGCCCTGTGTCGAGCTTGTCATCTCCCCCCTAATGAGGGGACACTGTGGTGGGAGGAAGTGCTGGAGGACGACAGATCACAGCTCCCTCTGTGTGTGCCGTGTACTCCACTGCTGTGTGAGTGTGAGCACGGGTCGGGGCAGGATGTGTGTTCTCAGAAATGGGGATGTTGTAATGCTGAGGTGCCGTCTTTGAGGGAAGGCCTCAGTTTATGTCACAGCAGCCGCGATGTCCAGATGTGCGCCATACTGACTCTACAGATGTTTCCCATAATGCCTTGTGTTGATTAGTGGAGTGGGGTTTATTTTAGATGAAAGTGTGGCAGAGATTGAAGCCTCTCTGAGAGTGTGGACATGTTCTAATCAGACTGTGAGGACACACTGGTCCAGGTCCAGGTCAAGACAGCAGAGTATAGAACACAAGAACTGGACCAGTTCCTTCCAAGGGCAGTTGTACTTTGTCAATAAGCCCCCCGTTACTGCAGTACTCACTGTTGTGTATTCAAAGTAGTAGAGGCAGTTGTCGGTCAGAATGAACCAGCGTCTCTTCCACGTCTTCACTCGCCCCCCTGTGGAGACAAACACCACAACTCTTTGATTTCACTCTCCAGATGCTGAGATTTTGTTTGATCAAGTTCTGGTTCAGTTCTGGTCAACCTGCACTGGGACTATGTACAACACGTGGCTCTAAACCTCATCACCTGTCTTCATCATGAGGCTCAATCAGAGGTTTGATTCTCCCAGAAGTCCAGACTCCAGACCAGAGCAGGTGGACAGGCAGGAGACGAAAACAGTGAGTGTGAAAACTGAACGACTGCTGACTGATGAGATTATACAGTGACAGTCAGTGAGTCTGAGTTTATTACACAAATTAAGCAGATGAATTAACTGTTTTTCTCTCTCTCTCTCTCTCTCTCTCTGGGGTTGAAGCTACTCGGCTGCAGAAAGCTTCACTTTGATCTAATCCAGAGACGTCCGTCAATGCTGAGTGGATTCTTAATGTCATTACAGCAGGGAGGAGAATGTGATGTGATTATCTTTGCTCTGACATCGATTACATTAGTCTGTCAGGCTGCAGCAGAGTGGATGATAAGCAGTGAGTTGATCAATTAGCAGACAGGTCCAGGTTACTGCTGCTCCTCTGCTCCTCACTGCTTCATCTGACCTGCTTTAAATGAACCTGACTTCAAGGTTCTTGGTAACTTCACTACTACCACTTTTCTCCCTCTTCTCCACCACCCTCATCTTCCTCCTCATCCTTCCTGCCCCTCCGTCCATCCTCCTTCATTCACGCATGTGTCTTCTGGCTCCGCCCTGCTGACCTTCAGTCCTCTGCAGGTTCTCCTCCCCCTGCTCCCCACTCTCCCCTCTGACTGGATTGTCAACATATATTTTCTGAGGTTCTAAACTTCTGTTGTTATTGTGAAACCAGCAGAGCATTTCCTGTCTCTCCTGCAGCTTCACCCTGCAACCGCAGCCTGCAGCCATTATGTACGGTCTATGATGTCGTGACGGCGCCTGAGTAGGTGTGTGTTCTGTCTGCACATGTAAGTGTTTGCTCTGCACTAATCAAACGGAAGTCACCTCTGAGTGTGAATTGTGAGGAAGAGTGAGAACCAGAGTCACACTAAGTCACCAGTTCGTGTGTGTTGGTCAGCCTGTGTGTGATTAGGCCTACAGTCCTGTGTTTGTGGAGGCACAGGGGGGTCTCTCACAGTCAAGGTCAGACATGAGAACGTCCCACATGGGAGCCACTGGGTCATTGGCTAAGTGCAAGTGTAAATGGATCTGCACTAATGACCCCCCCCTCCAAAGCTCCCACCCCCACTCCTCCTTACTTGATGGATTTGATCCACTCCTCCTTCTCCTCCGGCGTGGGGGCTGATATCCTGTACACCACATGGTTGCCCTCCACCACTCGTCCGTCCGCCTCTGTCTTACAGGCTTTGATCACCTGACCTTTGTGGTTGGGGTTGTAGAGCTCGAAGCAGTTCTAGAGACACATCATATCGACTGATAAACGTGGTGGAGATTTTTGTTTTAAATTTGGAAATTGAACCTGCTGTGAAAGACGGGGGGCGTCGTGTGAAGCAGCTCCTTACAGGTTTCCTGGGCTCGTCCACTTCTCTGATACTGAGGTTTTCCAGAGGAATGATCCCTCGAGGCTCTTTGTCCTAAAGACACAGGTACAACGATACAGACAGAGCTCAGCAACACTGCTCCACTGACTCAGGACCAGTGTCTTTTTGTCACCAAGGGTCAGTGGTCACTGGTGGTATAAGTGGTATAAGTATAAAAAATACTGTTCAACAGTCTTCAAACAAACTTCAAAACAAACAGAAGAAGAGGATTACCAAATATGATTTTTTTAAGTATGTGCTTTATACAGTAGTGTGCCCCCTACTGGCATTCATATGTAATCTAGCAAATCTGAAAGGAAAGGAAGGTGAACTCCTTGTCATTGTGACACAGCCCACCACTGCACACAGCCAAATGTGACCTCTGTTCTGATTCACCATATTGAACAGTGGGCAGCAGTGTGTGTGGACGGTGCCATGCTCAGTGGTAACTTGGCAGCTGGTGGACTCAAACCTGAAAACTTTCCAGACCCCAGTCCGCTTCCTTAACCACTAAGCCACCACTGCCCCCTTTGGTGTTTACAGAATAATGGGACGGCCACCAGACACGGACAACTATGGCTGGCATTATTTATTTATTATATTTATATAATTATTATAAAATATATCTGTCAAATCATAACCAGTCTGTTTCTGCAGCCTTTGCAGGATTTAAAAGTGAGCATTCGATTTGCCAGGAAAAACTGAAAAAAACATAAACTGACCCTTTAAAGGCCACAGGAGATTTTTAAACATCCTGGTCCTGTAGGGAACAGCACTCCAGGGACACCTTAGCCTCCACCGTCCAGTGAATAGTATTGTTTGTAGAAGCCAGATGTTAAGTGTGTGTGTGTGTGTGTTGGGGGACCAGACCTTGAGGCACAGCCCTGTGTCGAGCTTGTCATCTCCCCCCTAATGAGGGGACACTGTGGTGGGAGGAAGTGCTGGAGGACGACAGATCACAGCTGCCTCTGTGTGTGCCGTGTACTCCACTGCTGTGTGAGTGTGAGCACGGGTCGGGGCAGGATGTGTGTTCTCAGAAATGGGGATGTTGTAATGCTGAGGTGCCGTCTTTGAGGGAAGGCCTCAGTTTATGTCACAGCAGCCGCGATGTCCAGATGTGCGCCATACTGACTCTACAGATGTTTCCCATAATGCCTTGTGTTGATTAGTGGAGTGGGGTTTATTTTAGATGAAAGTGTGGCAGAGATTGAAGCCTCTCTGAGAGTGTGGACATGTTCTAATCAGACTGTGAGGACACACTGGTCCAGGTCCAGGTCAAGACAGCAGAGTATAGAACACAAGAACTGGACCAGTTCCTTCCAAGGGCAGTTGTACTTTGTCAATAAGCCCCCCGTTACTGCAGTACTCACTGTTGTGTATTCAAAGTAGTAGAGGCAGTTGTCGGTCAGAATGAACCAGCGTCTCTTCCACGTCTTCACTCGCCCCCCTGTGGAGACAAACACCACAACTCTTTGATTTCACTCTCCAGATGCTGAGATTTTGTTTGATCAAGTTCTGGTTCAGTTCTGGTCAACCTGCACTGGGACTATGTACAACACGTGGCTCTAAACCTCATCACCTGTCTTCATCATGAGGCTCAATCAGAGGTTTGATTCTCCCAGAAGTCCAGACTCCAGACCAGAGCAGGTGGACAGGCAGGAGACGAAAACAGTGAGTGTGAAAACTGAACGACTGCTGACTGATGAGATTATACAGTGACAGTCAGTGAGTCTGAGTTTATTACACAAATTAAGCAGATGAATTAACTGTTAATGAAGATTTTCATGATTGAAACAGAAGCCAACCATCTGCCTACACAGTTGGATTAAACTGGACTACTGGGATTAACGCCTATTCTGTATAATGAGGTCTATGCCTGTGTGAAAATGTTGTCAAAATCTGGCCTGGTGGTTCAAATGTGGCACATAGATTGGCACGAAACACAGTAATTGTTTTCCCCTGATCTAACTCCACCTCCAATGAAAGTCATGTGGCCTTTGTTCCACAAAAGCATGGCTGCCTACATGCATGTGAGGTGTACAGTGGTCCAAGTGTAACAACATGTTTGCTGACTTTACAGCAGCAGTTACCATTGTCATCAATATGTAATGTTGAACTGACCCAGATTTGTACTGCTGTTTTGACTAAAACCTGACATCAGCGCTGCATTATTTATCATAACCTTCACCTGAACACAGCCACCGAACTGACTGTCTCTATACAGATGATATTCTTCTGTTTTGTTAACTTATAGTTATTTATGCCTAACATAGGGCAATTGTTCGGCAAGCTTTTAGCAATTTGTGCTATATTTGACAAACTGTTTTAGGCTATTCTTATAGCTATACTTATTCTTGGACCAACCCTTAGATCTTAGCTATTTTTGGGCTATTTGTTTAAACTAAATTTTAGTTTTTCAGGCAAACACTGAGCCACCTATTGGCTGTTATTATTTAAATATGTCTTGGAAGGTTTCTGTCATGCTTGGTGATGATGATGGAGTCAGACTCAGCAGCAGGCTTGTTTGAACAGTGTAGGGTGTTATGGGAGCTTATGGAGCTTCAGCTGCAGCAGCTGTGTGTGCGAGTGTGTGTTTATGGCACACTGAAATGTAGCCCTTCATTAAGCAGATGATCCTCTGATGGTTGGAAAAGAACATGAATGTAAAAGATGTGGCAGCAGCTGATATCTGGAGTAAAGAGCAGAGCAGGGAGAGTGGCTGATGGACAAATGTCATCTGGATGATTCAAGCAGCCCATTTATTGAAGCTGAAGAGTATGACTGCATGTTGTGGTCAACTCAGGAGCTGTGTGAGGCTCAGGACTGTCTCTAGTGGCAGAACGGTGGAATTTATGGTGGACTCAACAGGAAAACAGCAAAGATCGAAATAAAGTCAGGTTTCAGATTGTTTCAGTTTAGCTTTCGTTAGCTGGACTGAGGTTGGCCTAGTTGGGGTAAAGTGGTGCTACCTTAGATATGTTTGGGCTTTAATTACCTGCATTAGCTACAGCAAACCTTACAACTTTTTTTCCTTTGAAAGCTACAAAATAAATATGGCCCAGAGCTACTTACGTTATGAATCATCATTTCATAGCTAATTCAAGATAATATAAGATTTCCTTGCCTGAACATTTACAATATGTTACTGTCTACATGTCCCATTTAGTATTAGAACAGCCCCAAATTATTATTATTATAGTTATTGTTATTATTATTCATTGGCAGTCCACAAAGAACATCCAGGTAATCAAGGCCCAGTACTGTTCCTCCAATGTGCCATTTGAGGGCAGTGTGTGTGTGTGTGTAATATTGATTCATTAAGTGATTCTGGCTGGAACTTGATGATAGTTGCTGTTGCACGTTTGAGCCACTGGAGGGCGAGTCCTGTAGACAAGCTGTTGGCTGGACATGGTTGTTGACAGAGCTAAACCGAACAACCGACCAAATTTTTTTAACAAGATTTCATCATGAAATGAATCTGGTGATCTGTTTGCTGCATTTTCCTGGGTGCCTTGAACGCACCATAGTGTAGCGCATGTGTATTATGTTCTGTCCTCTCATTATTTTTGGCTTGTTTGGTCGAGTTCTTCCCCAATCAGTCGGCAGGTTCTGACAGCAGTATCTACTAAACCCCGTTGTTGGTTTGGACTCACATCACCAAGGTTGACTGCAGGGCAACTTTTGATTGATAACTTAATGGCAAATAACCATTTTGTGATGGAAGAGGGCAGGACAACTGTCTATTTTGATTGGATAGAAATTTAAGCAGACTTGCTAAGAGGCCAATTAAGTTTTTCAACTTCATGTATGATTCATTAAAGGGTCGGCGAGCTACATTTAGTGACAAGTTGGAGACCTCTTAACAGTAAGCATAGCATAAGGATAGTGTTCCTGTTGGTAGTGGACTAAGTTTTTGTTGTTGGCGTGACCACTTCATTATACTGCAGGGTCTAAGGTTTGGTCTGTGGTCAGTCCTGTCAGTGTCCTTAAACCTCCCCCTGGGCTACAAGTGTTTGGACGAGCCCTGAGCACCATCCAGTTTCCTCAGGAGTCAGGATGCAGGTAGAATGACCTCCACTTGACCTCTAACTCACCTCCTGTTCAACTCAAACGACACTAAATCAATTCTAAGGGCCGGCCTTATCTTATTGGCCCAGAAGCAGCCCTGATACGAGCAACCAATTACATGAGGTGACCACGGTGTTCCACAGTCTGCAGTGCTACAGCGGCAGCAGCAGCCAATGCCAGCGTGAGGTCACTCTGTAATGTAAGCGGGTGGAGAAACAGAGGAGGAAGGAGCGTACCTACCTCCTATTACAGAGAGATAAGGAGGAGGAGCAGCCACCACAGAAAAGAAACAAAATACACACAAACAGTGAGGGATCAACAAATGAGACGACAGCGAGCGCCAAAAATATCACCGCGGACACGACAAGGAGGAGTAGAGGGAGGTGATATAAAGCAGGAAATGAGATCCATGTGACACAAACTCTGGTACTCACCCAGCTTTAGGAGCCAGCCTTCTCTGTCAGGGTTGAAGAAGGTGTGCGTCAGATCATTCCCATCATCCTCTGGGATTTTGAAAGGCTCATTTTTGATGCTGTCGTAAAGGTTCTGCCGATAGAGGAGGGACAAAAACATTCCAATGAATCACCCACACAGATATGTCTACATGGTGGGAGATGGGGGAGAGGGGCGGGATAAGTCCTCACCCTGAGCAGCTCCTCTGGCAGGTCTCCTCCTTCGTTGATGCCTCTGTTCATGGAGATGAATCTTTCCACAGGAGGTTTGTCTCTGACGTTGGGGTTGTGCAGGCTGGTGTTCAACATGATGATGGCGAACGACAGCACGTAGCAGGTGTCTGTGGGCCAACAGGGCAGGTTTGTTAGTTAGCTAGTGAGCCTTTAGCTATTTGGCTGTGTTTTGAGCTAACCTTAGTGTTTTTACCAAAGCTTTAACCTTACTGTTGTCATTTTCAGGCTGTTTGGCCTTTTTTAACAGATCTTTGGTAATATACTAAAAGTTAATTTAATTTCCTGGGATTAAGTCTCCAACCCACGCGCTGTCCCCGTCTCTCTGTCCCCTCTGTCTCTAAATGATTTAGCTCCTCTTGTTGTTGCCGTCTTCAGCTGAACACGCCCTAGCTCAGCTCCGATCACTGAGGCGGTCAGGTGGTCTCCTCCTGAATTCTGGGTGTTTGATGGTGGATGTTGACTCTGATCCACAGCCACTGTGACTGTTATGTTAACCATTACAGTCCTGATGCAGACCCTCAGGCGGTGTTAGCATTACTGTCTGTTAGTCTCTGAGTCATCACACTGACACACATTAGTCATCACATGAAGGTCACGCTGGACAAATAGTCCAGTTTAGAATTGATTCAAATGAGATGATGATGATGACGAGGAGGAGGTGCTACAGTCGCTTATATCTCACAGATATCGGAGAGTATTTGGCTTTTTTAACACTTTTATACTTACAATTACCTAAAATAGTTTATTAAATGTTTTAAAATGACGTTTCAGCTGAGAATGAACTTTTCCTGAACTTATATGTAGTTGAATGACTAATCGTTTTCTTCTGATTTTGTTTATAGTCCTCTGCCCAATTCTTCTTTTTGTTGCTAACCTTTAGCTGTTATCTGTTATTATTTCTGGTATCTTTTAGAAAATGGATATAATTTTTGACTATCCTGTGTTTACCTGTTAGCTCAACATTAATTGTTTTGTGGGTACTAATTTGCACGTATCTTCAGCCTGACTCTTACTTTTGTCTAGTTTGTACTAGTAGTAACCAGTAATAACAGTAACCAGCTGTGTAATAACTGTCATCACAGCCACCTGTGTGCTCTGACTACCTGTCCATTAGTCTCACTGGTGCGTCACCCAGTGTGTTCACCTGGTGCGTCACCTGGTATGTCACCTGGTATGTCACCTGGTGCGTCACCTGGTATGTCACCTGGTGCATCACCTGGTATGTCACCTGGTGCATCACCTGGTATGTCACCTGGTGCATCACCTGGTATGTCACCTGGTGCATCACCTGGTATGTCACCTGGTGCATCACCTGGTATGTCACCTGGTGCATCACCTGGTATGTCACCTGGTGCGTCACCTGGTATGTCACCTGGTGCATCACCTGGTATGTCACCTGGTGCATCACCTGGTATGTCACCTGGTATGTCACCTGGTATGTCACCTGGTGCATCACCTGGTATGTCACCTGGTGCATCACCTGGTATGTCACCTGGTGCGTCACCCGGTATGTCACCTGGTGCGCCGCCTGCTGCGCGCCCTGGCGCGCCACCTAGTGCGTCACCTGGTGCGTCACCTAGTGCGTCACCTGGTACGTCACCCGGTGTGTCACCCGGTGTGTCACCTGGTGCCCCACCTGGCGTGCCACCTGGTGCGCCACCTGGTGCGTCACCTGGTGTGCCCCCTGGTGCGTCACCTGGTGCGTCCCCTGGTATGTCACCTGGTGCCCCACCTGGTGTGCCTCCTGGTGCGTCACCTGGTGCGTCACCCGGTGCGTCACCCGGTGTGTCACCCGGTGTGTCACCTGGGGCGCCACCTGGTGCGTCACCTGGTGCCTCACCTGGTGCGTCACCTGGTGCGCCACCTGGTACGTCACCTGGTGCGTCGCCTGGTATGTCACCTGGTGCGGCACCTGGTATGTCACCTGGTGCCCCACCTGGTGTGCCTCCTGGTGCGTCACCTGGTGCGCCACCTGGTGTGTCACCTGGTGCGCCACCTGGTGCGCCACCTGGTGCGTCACCCGGTGTGTCACCCGGGGTGTCACCTGGTGCCCCACCTGGTGTGCCTCCTGGTGCGTCACCTGGTGCGCCACCAGGTGCGTCACCAGGTGCGTCACCCGGTGCGTCACCGGGTGTGTCACCCGGTGCGTCACCTGGTGCGTCACCTAGTGCGTCACCTGGTGCGTCACCTAGTGCGTCACCTGGTACGTCACCCGGTGTGTCACCCGGTGTGTCACCTGGGGCGCCACCTGGTGCGTCACCTGGTGCCTCACCTGGTGCGTCACCTGGTGCGTCACCTGGTGCCTCACCCGGTGCGTCACCTGGTTATATAAGGCCCTCTCCTTCACTCTGTCCTCGTTGGGTCATTGTGACTGTAGTGTTTCCACGGTAACTGTGTTCCTGTGTTCCTGATTCTTTGCTTCCTTCCTGTTGCTCCTGCCTGGTCCTGTGTCTGGTGAGGTTTTGAATAAACCTTCTGCACCTGATCCACGTCTCTCTAGTGCTGTGTTTGGGTCCTGCCTGTTTCTTGGTTAACTAGAACGTAACACTAACTTGTGTTTTGTTTCCTCACGGTTCATTCTAGAAGCCTGTGGTCTTTGCTGTGTGTCTGACCTGTGGACTGGAAGACCCCTGGGTTGCACTGACAGTACCGGGAGGCGAAGGCCTCCATCATTCTGTCAATCTTCTGGGCTTCACCTGGTAAACGGAAGCTCCACAGGAACTGCCTGTCAGAGACACAAGACACCACCGGGTGAGNCTCCTGACCCCCCTCCTCAGGTCTGACCTCAGTGCTTGGACGAGGTTGAGGTCTGCAAACTCATGGAGCTCCACAAAGGCCTGCAGCACCTTGATGTTGAAGTCGTCCCTGGTGGAGAAGAAGAGAAAACACAAGAGTTATTACACTTCAAAGGAAAGCCCAGAGGACAACGGAGAGCAGAAGACACAGAGGAGGACAAACACGTTTCCTGCTTTAAATCTTTGAACCGGAATTCCTTCCTTTTCCTCCACATTCCTGTCATGGTTGTGGCCTCACTGGTACCAAACGCCAAAGACATCTGGATCGGATTTAAACAGCTGGACAGAACTGAAGTGTGTGTGTGTGTGTGTGTGTGTGTGTGTGTGAGTCCAAACCCACGCAGCTTTGTTTGACCATCAGAGGAAGTTTAAGAGGAGACTTGACAGCTGCTCTGAGGCTGTGGTCACTGGGCTCTGACCAGGTTCTGTTCTACACAGTCTCCACTTTTGACTGCAGTGTGAATACAGTCGTATGTTCTGGAAGGTTCTTCGTTTAGTTGTATATAACAGAACACAGCAGCTCCTGTGATTGAAGACTGAGAACCTCTCCCTATGTCCTTCTTTTACACACATCCCGCCAAATGCACACACACACACACACTGATCAGTATTTAAATATAGGTTTCTCCTCCTTGCATAAGCTTAATTAGAGATAATGAGTGAGTGTGAAGCTGGAGCCTGTGTTTACTACGATTAACTCCGTGGGTCGTTTGTCTCTTTGATGATTCTTCATGAAGAAAGAGGAGTCCCCAGAGCTGACACACACACACACACACACACACTCTGTCTGTATTCCAGCCTTGTTCTGGGAGCACGTGTGTGTGCTCCATTGTTTCAGCTACAGTGTGGCTTTTATTTACATTGTTGCCGACTCAGCACCTCAGGCTGGGCTTAATGTGATTTCCTGCAAAGGTGAAAAGGTCAAAGATCCTCCACCTTTTATCCTGGTCAATTTTTTTGTTTTTTTTAAGTTTGGTCACGGATACAGTAGAAACACAAGAATTCTACTGTTTATGATGAAAAAAGCTCATAGAAAAGGTCCAAAAACCTAAAAATGATCCAAGAATATTACAAAAAAAATCTGAACTGGGTAAAAGTCAACTGACGTCAAACTACAACATGTAACAAAAATATCCTGATCTAGGATCAGACTGTGCTCCAGGTCACTGGCTGTGGTTCTTCCTGCAGCAGCTCATTGACTTCTTAACCACCCTGCACTGGTCCTGTTTTATCACCACTTAGACCACTACACCGGTGGACGGTGACATCTGGCTGCAGGATTTATGTCCACAGGGCCCAGGTCCAATCATGTTCCTCCTTTTTAATCAATTAATCCAGACCATAATTCTCACTGTAATCACACAGCAGCTCTAAATCTGCCTCCGTGGAGGAACTTCCTGCCTCGCCCCCGCGCTGCTCTCACTCACCGTTCCCCCAAGTAGTCTCCGATGACGGTTTTGTTGAGACCCTCGCCTTTGTAGAGGAACTGGGCGATGTCTTCAGGAGTGTGTTGGAGCAGGTCGTTCTCCAACAGGAACTGGATTCCCTGCAGAGTCAGAAAAAAAAAGTACCGCAATGTAGGATGAGTACCAGAATCAAATGTTTCTCCAACAATCTGGAACTGAGGACGCTGAAAAAAAACGTCCACAGAAGTGTTTTGACTGAAGAAAATAGTGCAGGTCCCGGGTGAGGAGTCTGAATCCAGTCCAGATCCAGTCCTCAGGGTTTGATCCAGGGTCTACAGCACGTGAAATAAGACGACAGTTTCTTCACGCCACACGTCTGAATGTACCATTATATTTAGTCCACGACCCTGACTTGACCCCAGTCAGTAAGGTTCTCATCAAATGTGGCGCCTCAGTTTTTCTCTGTCTCCAAAGGAAAAACCTGAATCTACAGATTTAAGGAGAAAAAGCTGAGACTGTTCAGATTAAATAAACAGAGGCGTCACCTTCTTTGGATCCATGTTGAATTTCTTCCGGCCCATGGCAATCTGTTTGTTCCTCTGGGATGTTTTACTGCAACACAAACACAGGTGTAGAGATGTGTTCTTCTTCAGTAAAATATAATAGTACAAAAATTATAATTATTATTTTCCTGGTATGTCTGTAATGTCAAGAATTTCCTTTAGTGTAATTCTGATTCTGAACACCATTTGTCACTAGAAAAGTTACGTAGATGGCGTACCTCTCTCCGACGCAGGTCAGCTGCTCGATCTCCGTCATCACCTCTGCTATTTCAAACTTCAGCCTCTGAGAGAGAACATGGAGAAAAAAGTTTTTTTCTGTCTGTCCACAGATTAGAACGTTCCACATGTGGTCGTAGATGAGACTGCAGGATAACTGTGTGGAAAATTCATCAGCCTTTATTGGAGTGCTGGTGTGTGAGTGCAGATAAGCTGCCTGGGCCTCTGTTTCCGTGGTTTACAGCATGTAAGTCCACATAAAGTACTGCAGTAAAAGCAGCACATATGAAGGTTCGAAGTACTAGATGTAACGACTATATAAATACATGTTTTTCTAGTTTTACAGTTTAAACAGTCCTTGGTTCAATAGGCAGGAAAAGTGAAGCAGTGGAGAAGAAGTTGCAGTTACACTGTTGAATGACTGGTTTTTTTCAGTTATTTCACAGAAGGACTCAAATATTTTTTTAATTTAATATTTAAGGAAGGGAATACTGAATGATTCATCATTCCTGTGTTTCTGATCCTGTTTAGAGGAAAACAGATTATGACTGCAGGAGTCCCTACTTGTCAGCTCGCCCCCTAGAGGTCACAACCAGTTGACAACCAAGATGGCTGCTCATGGCATGTAAGTAAGAGTTGTGTTTTAACTAGTACTGGTCAACACTGCACTGTTTGACTGGTTGGTTAGAACCAGGTAAACTATGACAAACTCCTGTGGAGATTTACTGAAGATTAATTAAGGGCACTTAAAAAAATTGAATCAGGGTCAGGGGTCAAACTAGGTCAATACACAGACCATGAAAACATCATCATTTTGATGACATGTCAGCTGAGGGTCGACCTGGATTTGAATGCGTCCGCTCCCATACCTCGATATCATCCAACAGCTCTCTTTTCCTGCGTCTGATGTTGGACAGTTCGTCCCTCTCCTCCATAGACAGGTCCTCAGGGACTGCAACAGAGAGACAGGTCAAACATTAGACCTGGTACACCTGGACCAGGTTTGAGGAATAATCCCATCTTTATGTTCAACCTTTTTAGTTTACGGCACCAAATAAGATACTGTGAAATAACTGGACATTTAGTTCTGTCAGGAAAGATTGGATCTTTTTTCTTGTCTGGTGTCTGTTCTTCTCACACACCAATACATCGATCCCACTGCTGCCCCCGCAGTACCCTCTGCCCCCAGGTGGTGTGTCTATTATAAAGAAGTGACTCAGCCGCTAACATTGATTTGAAGCGTAGAAAATCAGTAACGCGTGGCTCTGTTTGCTTTTCAGACATTCTTTGAGCAGCTCCGTCCACCCCTGTGTGTGACACTAAACTAATTTCCTGAATCAGTCATAAAAGGTCAGAGTGTGTTTGTGTGTGTGTGTTAATGTGTGTGTGTGTGTGTGTGTTAATAATAGTAACTGGTTAATAAAAGTAATTGGTAGCCCACCTCAGAGGAGGAACCCCAGCTCCTCCTCTGAACCATCACTAAACCAGATTATCTAGTTGGTTATAAAATGTATGATGTCACAGACAGACTGTATTATCCAATCAGGGAGAGCTGGGCTGGAGGAGAACAGCCATGCTGGTCCATTAGTGGCATTGGGCCTTTTGTAAAGGAGAACAGCTACATCCTTTCATTGGATTAGTAATGGACGGAGATCGTAATCACACACACCGTGGCTGACAGCGTATGTCTCAATTTACTAATGCACAGCTAAAGGGGGCGCTAAGAAGCAGCGGTTTGTTACTACTGAGCAGCAACTTCCATGAGAACGTTGATGTTGTGCATCTGGGACATTTACCCACGTTCAGAACCGATGTCCAGATTACAGTCCACATTTTTGTTCGTTTGAAGACTGTTTAGCTTGCTTGCTAACAGCACTTTTTTCAGTGTTCTCATTTTCTGTCAGTAGCTCTGCCTTTCTCTCTGAAATTTTTCTACCTTTTTCTGGTAGAATATTAATTTACAAACTGGTCTTTACAGATAGAAACAACAACGTACATGAATCCGTTGTTTTTTGTCTGTCTGTAAAGCTAAGCCTGAGCTGTTAGCAGAGGCTGTACGTGACAGAATATTCCTTGTACTGAAGTTTGCACTTGTTTACAACAACACAGAACGGTTTTATTGGCCTTCATTAACATTTAAAGCTGTGTAGCTGCAGTGCTGCGATTTAGCCAGAGGTTGGCGTTGCTAATTAACATCTTTATTTCCCTCCCTTTCATCTCTGCACTGTTTGTTAAAAACCAAAATCCCACCGCTGGCTGTTGAACACACTCTCATCATTAGGATTACATAACTGGGTCACAACACGGATTTCTTTCTCTTTTCCTCTCTTAATGTGAATTGAATGCCAACACTTGGCTCCTCTGAACGCTGAATTTCAAACGCTTTGGAATTACAAGTGGGTCGGACGCCTCCTCTGGAGCCCACTGACCTTCTTTTCCTTTAATTGGTGCAGAATTCCTGCCTGTGAGGAGAGGAAATAATCAGTGACTGTTTTACACGGTGTTTCTCTGCTCTGAGAGAGAGAGAGAGAGAGAGAGAGCTGGTTTAATGACGCGAGGCTGTATGGACTGTGGCCGGATAAATGACGACGGTAATATGTGGGAGTAAATCTGACAGAGGAGGACAATGAGGTGGATCTGGCTGAGTGTCTGTCACCACAGAGTGTGAGTGTGTGTGTGTGTGTGTGTGTGTGTGTGTGTGTAAAAGCCTCACAGCTGGATCCGTGGGTTGTGTGAAATCACTAAAGTCAGATTTAATTAAAGAAAACTAGCTGTAGTTATGAATAGAATTCTTCGACTGAGCCTGTAAGGAGAGAGAATACGATCTGGAATCTTATTTATTCCAGAGGAATAATTAAATCCAGATCCTGCTGGATGTTTGGCTTTAGGCTCAGGGTCAGATTTGTGAAAATGTGTTGACAGGGTCTCCCAATATATAATATCAACTCAATGTATGAACGATGAAATTTGTACAAAGTTTTAATTCTTGGAAAGGGTCACGACCCCAAACCTGTATCACGTTCTGATTCTGGAGACTATACAGTTCAGGAACCCAGTTTATGGAGAGTCAGGGTTCAGGGGTCACATGAGTTCCTAAGGTTCAACATCTGCAGAGCCATGATAAAATAATTTCAGCCCAAAATAATCTCTAAAAACCTGGTCTCAGGTGTAAAACCCTAGCTGCTGCTTCTCACACCCAAAACCAACAACTGTCCCCAGACCATGGCTTTAGAACAGACTCAGTGAGGGGTCGGTCGGCTCTTAACGTTGCCAGGTTGAAGTCAGGACTTCAATATTCTCATCAGTGGAAAACAGAGAAATCCCTGTGAACACTGAAGTCTGGCTCCACTCCCAGGTCTCACCCATGTGTGTGAGGCAGGGAGGTTTTCTGCTCTGCCTGTTTTAAAACCGGCCAATCCCACGGCTAACATGACTTTACAGTGGATTCCCTGACCTGGTCCTGCAGTTCCACTGAGAACCTGCTCTGAGACCAGAACCAGAGACAGAAACGTCCTCAGGGTCCGATTATAGTTAGGAGAACAATGACAGAACGTTAGACGAGGGGATTAATCCCACATTAATCCCACACACTCCCCCACTTCCCCTGCTGCTCTTTAAGGCCAATATAAATGAATGTGTATTGATGTAGATCACAGCTGTAGAGGTTGGTGCTGTGGTTTAATCCACTGTGACAGTGGGATGATGGGTAAAAAGATGTGACTGATTCATGGTAAATGTTGGGAAAAAAAATCATCCCAGAGAAAGTGATGTGAGATGTAAACAATGTCGGTTTGCTGAGGAGCAGCAGGAGGAGCTCCGACTGAGCAGCACTAACCAGCTGTCAGCACAGGTCAGAGTGAGGAGGGAAAGGTTAGAGGAGACCAGTAAACACGTTGACGTGGTGGAACCTCGGCTGAACACTGTGTTCTTGTGAAAAAGAACACTGTGATAAAATGACAGAAACAGTTCTTTTCTCTTTCGTTGAACGTCAGGAAGTGACCGTAACTGAAGAAACGTTGTCTTTTCAACGTCACCATACCATAGAAATACATTCACAGATTGGTTCAGAGCTGCTGCTTAGTGTTGTTGAGTCATGATGACGTCACATCAAGTCCTGACGAGAGTGAAGAAGGACCCTCCTCCCTGAGGAGAGGGCTGTGTTCTCCTTCAGTTTCATTTGGTCCTCACCGACCAGAGACAAAGAACTCCAGGACAAACGGAGCTCCGCTCACAACAGAGGAGATGATGCTTACCTAATACACACACACACACACACACACACTGCCATGGAGATGTGAACACGTGGGGAAGCCTCCCCAGCCTTCACCCCTCTCCCTCACCCTCTCCCTCACCCCCACTCCTCAATCAGATCCATGTGTGTTACGAGCTCAGACCGCGCTCTGGCACAGGCTGCGTCTGTGTTTGTGTATCTGTCTTGTTGAGTGTGGTGTAATGTTCTCTATATTTAATCTTCTGACGCTGCACCACAGTATCCCATCATGCCTGCAGTCAAAGTGAACTTGTCTTCACTGTGATCCGTTAAACGCCGCGGCCAGACTGTCAGGTCAACGGGCCGGGCCGTAAAAACACAACGTTAAAGCACATTTTTGGCAGCGCGGTCCAGACAACCATGTTGCTGTGAAGACACTTTAGCTGTGGGGAAAAATATACCCTTCAAGTTTTAATGACTGCTGAGTTAATGCATTATATACTGACTTATATATATACTGTATATATTTACATTCACACTGTGGAGGTTTTTTAGTTTCCTGTCTACAAACCAACCTGGTGTCTATTATATATAATGTCTTCAATTTTCTACTCTGGAATAACTTTCTTTGGTTTGGAATTTTGATTTTTTTTTACCAGTCAAATTTATCGAATGTTCTGTTAGCTACTATTGTAGCTTTAAGCATTTTAAGACACCCTTACATTTTCTTCTGGGTTTATGTTTAACCTGTATGTTGCTAATTCAGTGCTAACAAATATATACTTCTATATCAATCTTAGCCAACTTAGCTAACCAAGGTGCTTATTGGAAATATTTTTACCCTCCACTTCCTTAGGCTAACATTTATAGCGTATTATTGACAAAGCTGTCTATAGTTTTGGCTAACCTTTAGCTATCACAGTTAACAGTTATATCTTTACGTTGCTGTAATTGTGTACAGTGTTACATCGGTGTACTTTAAAAGTCGTGCATGGAGAGTGTTTCCACCGACATGTGGCTCTCCTGAACAGACAATCAGTTGAGTCTCATTACGTTTCCTCTGTTTCAAATTGACTTCAAACGCTCAGTCATTCATGAAAATATATGCTGATTAATTGGCAGCTGATCGTCTCTAACGCTCATCGTCTCGGCTGTAATTCACTGTCGTACGGCGGACACACATGCGGCACGTCTCCACAGGGACGTTAGGCAGATGAAGGATGCAGAGAGAAACAGATGTGTGAGCTCCGTTTCATCGCCGTCCAGCCATTCAACACCAAACACTTATTGTAATCCAGCCAGACGCCCAGGGTGCAGTATACAGTGAGAGGACGGCCCCCGCAGTCGCCCCCCAGTGACTATCTGGTGTCCTCCTACACATTCTACTACAGCCACAACAAAGAGCCAACCTTCAGCACAACAACTTCCCCTTCGTACCAAATAATCCTCCTCTTCATATAAACCTCCCAGACGCCAGGAATTAGCACCGACCAGAGAATTACTGGCCACAAGGGGTTAAAAAAAACTGACCTTCGTGGCAGGACCTTTTAGTGTTCCCACTGAATCCCAGGTTAACGTTGGCAAATGAAATGAGTGAAAACATCCAGCTGGGCTTCTGTAGCACATTTAAGGATATGCCGTTTAAGAAGTTGTTGTGACTTTAAATGACACACGATTACAGATTTAAAATTTAAAAGGACTTTTAGCTAATATATATGTGTTAGCAGTTTTTACTAAAAGGA